CCGAGCTGGTCGAACAATCTTTTTTCTGTTTCTATTACATCAAGTTGTGACTTTCCTGCCCAGGTCGAATATAAATAAGTAAACATGTACCTAAACAAACGGCTTGCCGATTTCGAAAACCGACTCCAAGACCCGATCTGGACGACGAGTCGAGGCGGCAAGAAGACGGCGGCGAGCGTTGTCCTCACCGCCTGCCGCAAGATTCAGCAGAGACTCAGCTCGAGGAGGGGCAACAGGGGCCGACCGCGAACCTTGGGACCTCAAGGGCCTACGGCGGTGGAGAGAGCCGCGGGCACGGTCATGCGCTGGACGGGGGGAACCGTTGATACGAACAGGGTAGTAGAAGAGGCTTGGAAAGCCAGGTGGTTAAAGGAACGGGACGGCAGGGCAATCACCAGGCCGGCGGACGACTTTGACCATCAGCAGGAGACGCTATTCCGGAACGAAACCCTAAGGAGGCACGACGGTCTCAGCAAGGCAAAGAGCTCACTGCTGATTCAAATCCGGACGGGAGCAATAGGCTTACGGGACTTCTTGTTTACACGGGGAGTCCCGGAGGTTCTGACTCCTGCCTGCGAGTGTGGCGAGGGACGAGAGACTGCCGAACACCTGGTAGTATGGTGTTTGGCCCCACCGTTGACTAGAAGATGGGAGAGAACTGGAATTCGGACACGACGGGACTTTTACTCTGTTCTACACGGCATCAATCCCACGACATGCACGGCTCGCGAGGAGAGTTCTCGACTGGCTGATGGACTCGGGGAAGCTGCCGATGTACAACTTAGCCAGGAGGCTCGAGCTGGAAGCGGCGGCCTGAAGCGCCCCCGTTCGGAGGCCAGGAGGCCTCCTCTCTTTGTATATGTGGGCTCACTAAAACGCATCGCTCCTTGATTGTTGGTATGGGTTTTTCACCCGGCCCGGGAGGGCACGGTTTTCCTGTACACTAAATAGCTGAGGGTCCGGCACGCCCTAGGGCATAGCGGAGTATGAATAATAATAAATAAGTAAACAAGAAGCGGGAAGGAGCTTCGGCACTCCATCATCAATGGGCATCGCCACGGTCTATATTAAGAATGGAACTCGTGCTACCGTATACAATGGATTGTATTGAGTGGTAGACTGAGATCATTGGTCGTAGGTAGGAAGTACTATCTTAAGTCACAATGAATCCGGGCTGTATATTACCTAACTTAAGTTGTGTTGTGGCCGTCACTTTCCAACTGATCCTCGCTGCAGACCGTTCTGGTTTAGGCAATGAATGGTAAGAGCGTGTACAGACCTGATTAACCTCCTCTTTCAAAGTACTGCGAGATACTCCTGAGCTGGGCCCAGTCCATTTCTCTTCGATTTTTGTTGTTGGCCGGCAAGCTTATTCCCCTTGATTTTTGGGCTGGGTTTCCCGCCCTGAAGTTGAACCATTCATTGAAAGAACAAGGAAAAACAAGAAAAGGAGGGAAGGATGGGAGAAAATGATACAAGCAAAAGGAAGAAAGATCTAATCGTCAGAGAGGAGTGAGCTCGGAGCCACTTAGGGGAAAGAAAGCTAGAAACAAACATCGGCACCTAACTATTTCGTTCACACGCATAAACCTCAACTATCATTCCGTCATAAACTTCATTCAAGTCATGATCATGGCACCTTCTGGTCTCGCCACCCCGACCAGGGCAACCATTCAATACCAACAACTCCCACGGCATCCTCCAAACATTTCCGGCGGACCCCTTGCCACGGTCTCGTCCGTGATGGGGCACGAACCGCCTTGCACCATATACTTCCTAATAGCATGCACGACATTCTCCCTATCCTCCGTGCGGGGGGGCTCAGGGTGACCCAACATCTTCCACCTTCCCTCGTCCCCGCACAACCCGCTCCAGATAGTAGCGTCCTCCAAAGTGAGCATATCCCGCATCTCGGCTAGCGCAGAAGGCCAGTGGTCGTCGAGCCACACGGCAAACAGCTCGAGCCGGCGCAGGGTGTCCTTGTGGCGTGCCAGGACATCCATGAGCAGCGACTTGGTCAGGTTCATGCCGCCGAAGCTGAGCGAGGCCAGGTGCGGCCAGTGCTGGCCCCGGCGTACGACGTCTCGCAGCCAGCCCTCGCTCACGCCGGGACCCCTGGGTGACAGGGAGCAGAAGGCGATGGCGAGGGCGCGGAGGCGGGGCAAGGATCCCAGGAAGTTGGGGAGCATTTTGGCTTCGTTCAGGCGGGCATACTCGGCGAGGTCGGGGTGTTTCGCGCCGAGCCCGAAGCGGTCGATACCGCATACGCAAAAGTGCAGGTTTAGATCGGCGAGGTTGGAAAAGGGAGCAAGCTGGGTTGGGGTTTGTGGGAGGTCTCCGATGGATCGCCACTCTAGTCTGCCGGCTTTGAGGGTTTCCAGTTTTGTCTCGCTTTTCTCGAGGGCGCCCAGGAGCGCTGTCAGAACGCGGCTACCTGGCTTGCCGTGTTGTCTGTGGATGAGCGTCAACGGGGTATAGCTACCCCTCGCCCCGTATCTGTCCGAGCATTGGTGCCATCCTTCACAGTTGATGATGACGCTTCGTAGACCCGTCAGCCTGGGCAGCACTACGGGGAGTAGCTCGCAGATCAGCAGGTTGCCCTGGACACGCGAATGAGCGTCACGCTGCTGGTCAAGTTTGGCGTAGGCTTGCTGTCGGACCTGTCCATCGTCGCTTAGCAGTGTCCGCACAGGGCCCGCCGACCAGGCACCCGCCCAGCTCCTGCGGACCGGGGCGGGCGTGTAGATAAACGATTGGAGGTATTTGGACTTTGCCCGGTCCCTGGCAAGAATGCGGAGGAGGGAGTGGTTGTCCGGGTCCGCATGCACGACGAGGCGACGGAACACAACGCGGGCGCCGATGCCGCTGAACGTCTTACAGACCAGGCGGAAATTACCCGCATCAGGGAGATCGAGCAGGAAGCAGATCCTTAACCAGAGCTCCGGGGGGAGGCTATTAGGGCCGCCCTGTTCCATGTGGCCCGTGTCCGTCATGCTGGGAATGTCAACTGGCCGATCAAGCCGGAAGGTGAACAGTTTCAGGAGGAGTGGCTGATTGTGGAGGGGGACCTGAAGATCGGCTGGAGTGGTCAGCGCCAATCAGAGCATCAGGAGTCGGGATGACCTGATCCGGCTCTCAGCTTCCCGAAAACACCATGCCCGCCAAGTGCAGGGGGCGGCGGCCGCGCGTTCCGCTCCACGCAGCCGCACATATTATGTGTAGACGATCAGCCCTTCTTGCTTGAATTTGGTATCTTGGTATTCAGTGCCCACATACACCCGTGCTTAGCTCTCAAACTTCAACTCCCATTCGTCCGTTCGTCTCTTCGAAGCCGGATACCGGAACCCGATTCGCCCCAAGATTCCCAGCCACAGTCCACCACACTTGACAGTAATACCACTTACACGTATTACAACCTGCAACTATGTCAGTTGCTGATAGCTACCCTGAAGCTAGCATGGCTACTCACCCCTTCTTCCCTCCTGATCTGGAGCTGCCCGGTTACGTGGCGAACCCAACTTCAGTACCGATTCTCCTCGCCTTGTTCGCGGCCGGCGTGGGTTTCGTCTTTTCGGCTACCGTCATCTTGGCGCGTGCAGTTCAGGCCAGCATATCCAAGGGCAAGCTGTATACAGCTATGTGGTTTATGCTATGTGGTTGCATCCACCTTTTCTTTGAAGGTATGTGCGGGACTCGGACTGTTCTTACTGTTATCTGTTTCTCCTCTCTGTTTGGGCTTCTACTAACTCTTCTCTCACAAGGCTACTTCGCCTATCACAACGCCGAGATGCCCGCACGGATCGACGTCTTTGGGCAGCTGTGGAAGGAGTACTCCAAGTCGGACCACCGCTACCTGACACGCGACGCCTTTACCGTCTGTATGGAGACGGTGACGGCGGTCGCCTGGGGCCCGCTTTCGTTTCTCATCGGCTGGCTCACCATCAAGGACCACCCCCTCCGTTACCCGCTGCAACTCATTGTCAGCCTCGGCCAGTTCTACGGCGACGTTCTCTACATGGGGATCTTCTTCTTCGACGAGGCCGTCCACGGGGCTGTCTTCTGCCGGCCCGAGCGGTTTTACTTCTGGGTCTACTACGTCATGATGAACGGGTTCTGGTTCGTCATCCCGGGATGGTTGATTTTTGAGGCCGTTGTTGAGTGCACCAAAGCGCTGCGACTGGCGCAGGAGGTTGGAAAGCGGGCATCGCCAAAGTCGCAATGATACCAACGGTGTGAGGGGGTTTATAGAAGGCGATTCTTGTGGTGTGATCTCAACGCCTGTCACATTATAGCGAGATAGGTATTGATCTTGGGAGATACAGGTGGTTTCACTTGATAATAATAATACATTTAATCTTTTATCTTGGCCGTGACCACATCGAATCTGGGCCACGGACGATCATGTGCCCATCGCCTTAAACTCGCTATGGATAAGACGTTGTGGGTTGTTATGCTGAGAGTTAATGTAGGACTGAAGTTGTAAAAGGAGGTCCTAGTTAGGTGTTTGGCCGTTGGTCAATATCATGGATGCCTTTCTCACTTCGCAAGGGCCGTTGCCAGTTGGCACGTGGCTGAGCACTCATCCAACTCGAATCTCACACACGATTCGTGCGCGTTCAGCTTTCTAGACCTCCTATGTCCGCCTCGGGTGTCACCACTACCTACCCAACGGCGTCGGACTCGGATATATCCTCGGCATCTGCATAATCCGTTTGCCTATTAAAATGAAGCTACCATGTCAGCAGCATTCTCACAGACATTAAACATCACGGCTACTCCAGGGGCACTCACGGTCCTCCCACGTCCTCTTGGGGATATTCTCCTCGATCCGGATATGCCACATCCACAAACACCACAGCGCCACCAAACTATCCCGCGACCTCCGCGCCAACGGCACCAGAACCCTCAACCGAAACACCTCCTCCGCGCCCTCCACCGCCTCCCTCGCTTGCACCGCCACCGCCCTCCCCTCAGCATCACTCCACTCCCAATCCCTCCCGCCCCCCTCCTTCACCACAAAGTAATACTCCCCCTTCCTCACCTTCTTCCCCTCCCTCTCCAACCACCTCTTTTCCGCATCCGAGACCACCTTCACCGCGCGATAGCCATGCCGAAAAACCGGACTCTTCTCGACGACCATCTTCCCCAGCGCCTTCCTCGTCTGTGGCTCCAGCCACGCCTGAAAGGGGATGCCCGCGTGCGGCAGCGGCTTGCGGTGCTCGAGCCAGTAGACGTCCTTGGCGCGGCGCGCGAGGGAGGGGCCCGCCACCGCCACCGCGTCCGGATCGTCGTGATTGTTGTTGCGGATGCGCAGGTCCAGGCGCTGGAACTCGATGCGCTCGGCGGCGGCGCCCTGCTCGTGGATGGCGCGCGAGAGCTGGTAGACGGGCTCGGAGTCGGGCTCGCCGGATGGCAGGATCGGGTAGATGAAGCGGCCGTGGATGACTAGTGTGCAGGGGTCGAGCACGGCGTCGGGGTCGGGGGCGGTGGTGTCCGGGCGGGCGTTGTAGGCGGGGGGGTCGTAGGGAGGTGGGTCGTCGGCGGGTGTGGTGGTGGTGGTGGTGGTGGTGGTGGTTGGGGGGTTGTTGTTTTGGCTGCTGGTGGTGGCGGGCGGGGATCCTGGGGTGAAGGGAGGTGGTTGGTCGTTTGGAATGCCCATTTTCTGGTACTTAGGTCTGTTGTGGTTATTAATATTTTATTATTTAGAATATTATGTCGTATGTTGAGGTTGTTGTCAATAATTGGATGAAGTAATTACGATGGTGAGAGATGAGAGGTGCAGCAGTCATTGAGCGAAAACATAAAATGATGTCAGTCGTGAGATGGGGGCGAAAAGGCCATTTCAAGGGATTTATTTCATCGTTGTGGCTCGTGACTCGAGCCGTGAGCCGTTAACCGTGAGCCGTTTCATTGCTAGTAAGTTGAGCGCACAGCCCCGGTCAGCCTGCATTTGTACCTCTTCTGCTGCGTATTTACCTCGTTAGGCGCTCTTGGGCTTGGCTCAAACAAATGCCTCTCCGGGTTTCCTCGGGGCCTGTAACCACAGTGTGCTTTGGGTGTCGCGTTGCTGTCTGCGTTTGCCAAGAAATGATCACGGGGCTGGTAATTGCAACCTAGACGACGAGATGCCTTGGCGTGGCTGTTACAAAGATTGCAGCGGAAAGGCTGCGGATTTCCTGCTTTGGCGGTGCTTTATACGCTCGATAAGGCGCAGGCGATCAGTGGGAATGGGACAGTTGATGAGGGCGCGGATATCGGAAGGGCCGTGGAGTGCCGAGAACCGCTCCGATCCCGCCGACGGAGACCACGGAGTTCTGGGAATTGATAAAAATCGATAAGAGCCGGCGCTTTCCTTCCTTCTGAAGGGCGTGGTGGGGGGTCCAATGAGGGGTTGTCGAACAGAGGAGGAAGGTGAGATGATGGCCATTTTACGAGATGAAAACCTCGATTCGGTCCTCTTCGTGCCTTACTTCTTTCTCTATTTACACCACGGCCGCTTCTCTCGCTTTCTGATTGTCTGCTCGTCTTTAAGTTATTATGACCTCGAAAAGATCACCTTTGCCATCATTGACCTTGACATTAGAGTGCGTTTCTTAACTATTTAGTAATTCTTAATACCTTGCTTGACGTCCCGGAAGTTGCAATCATGACCGGAAATGTGAATCACCCCGCAACAAGCTGCACCTGGTGTCCAATGGGCATCGTGCAAGATGCAGAAACCCCGTTTCCGAGGAAATCCCCAGCCATTCGATGAATAAGAGACCAGAACAGAGATAACAGTGTGGTGGACCCATATGGGACGGATGTGCAGCTAAAAGAGTCATCACCTTCGTTACCCCTCCTTGGCACGCTTACAACTTACAACTGCTTCATCACGGGAAGTTGTTTTGATTTCCAGTTGATCTCCAAATTGAACGGGAAGGTTGCCATCTGTGAGGACCTTGACGACCTTGACGCACCATGCACACTTCCGCCATGGCCCTCGCTGGGTTGGCTGCCACGGCTGCGGCCGAGACCATCCACGGCGCCCTCGTCTTCACCCGCCACGGTGACAGTATGTACAGTTCGAATTCGGCCACTTGAGATCAGGACGGCAATGACTAACTAACCCAGGAACCACCAAGCACTTTGGCTCCCAAGTGCTCACCCCTCTCGGCGCCCAGCAGGTCTTTCAGGTCGGCAGTGACTACCGCGCCCGCTACCTCGACTCATCCTCCCCACACCACATCCAGGGCATCTCCGAGACGGAGTATGTCCCGGCTCAGATCTATGCCAGCGCCCCGGACCAACCCATCCTCCTCAACACGGCCACCTCCTTCCTTCAGGCCCTATACCCGCCCCTAGGTGACACCGTCTCGGCCCAAGACCTCGCCAATGGCTCTTCCGTAGCGAGCCCCCTAACCGGCTACCAGTACGTCACCCTCCACGGCATCAACGACGACTCCCCCGAGACGGTCTGGATCAAGGGCGACGACGACTGCCCGGCCGTGACGGCCGCCTCTGCCGACTTCAAGCAGTCCTCCGAGTACCAATCCCGCCTGGCCGCCACCCGCGACTTCTACCAATCCCTCTACCCGCTCGTGCACGAGGTGTACCCGTCCGCCTCAGACCTCAGCTACGCCAAAGCCTACGACATCTTCGACGTGATCAACGTCGAGAAGATCCACAACGCGTCCTCCCCCGCCCAGGCCGTCACCCCCGCCCAGCTGAACCAGCTGCGCACCCTCGCCGACAGCGCCGAGTTCGGGCTCAACTACAACGCCTCGCAGCCCGCCCGCTCACTCCACGCGGGCACCCTCGCCGGCGCCGTGCTCAACCACCTCAACCAAACCGCCGCCGCCACCACCACCCCCTCATCCTCCGCCCCCAAACTGACCGTCCTCGCCGGCAGCTACGACACCTTCCTGGCCTTCTTCGGCCGCGCCCGCCTGACCGAGGTCTCGGCCCAGTTCTTCGGCCTGCCCGAGTACGCCAGCACCATGGCCTTTGAACTCTTCACCCCTGGCGATGGCAGTGACGACGCGACCGACCTGCACGTGCGCTTCCTCTTCCGCAACGGCACCGTCGGCCGCCTGCAGCAGTTCCCGCTGTTTGGCAGCGGCAAGGCCGACCTGCCGTGGGGCGAGTTTGTTGAGGAGATGCAGCTGATTGGTGTGAGCTCGGCGGAGCAGTGGTGCGGGCTGTGCCGGAGCGAGGCCGTGTTTTGCGCGGCGTACCGTGGGGGTGATTGGGATGGTGATGGTGTGTATGGCTTGACGGGTGGGGACCGCGGGCTGGTGGTGGGCAGGGGATCGTGGGTTGCGGTGCTGGTGGTGATGGCGGTGGCTATTGCTGGGAACTTGGTCTGGGCGGCGATGTGGCTGGTTAGGAGCCGTCGGGCGAAGAAGGAGAGGATGGCGGCGACGGCAGCTGCGGCGGCTGTTGGTCGGGGTTCGGAGAGCGTGAAGAGCTATGACAAGGAGAGCGTCTAATCGTGATTTTGGCTTGGGTGGCAGGCCTAGGAATGGGAGTGACCTTGTCATGATGAGCTCGGGTTAAACTCGGCCACTGGTATGTTGAGTTCAAGGTTGTGACCGATGAATTTCGTCTCAGTGGAAAGTATAAACATGTATTTTGGTGGCGTAGAAAACACAACGATGACATATTTTGTCGCCCGTGGGCTCTCCCACTCCCGTCCCAGTGATTCCTGGGCTTCAGCATCTACATCAAGCACTCGCTGCCGCCTTCCCGCCCGGTTTCCGGCCATACACAAAGTGCCTACAACACCAAGTCAGCAAGCTCCACGTCACCTTCCGGGCTCTCTCAGCATCAACTCACATGGGCCAATACGAGTGCACCCGGGGGTCCTTGATCGCCTTTCTCGCGTTGGTCGCGAGCGCCATGGCGTCTTCATGGCTCCAACCGAGGAATCTTGTTGCCGGCGCGAGAATGGCCGGCTCAATGACCTGGTCCGTGTTGAGCAGCGACCACCTACCGAGCGTTTTGTACTTGGGATCACGCGCCCAGGTGTTGATGGGCCATTTGTGCACGATCTCGACGACGTCCTCGAACCCGACCTCCTCCAGGAAGGTCTTCCACTGCTGTGCAAAAGTCAGAGGACGCTGGGCGATCTCCATGGCTTTCATCAGTGTCGTGACCCAAAGCCACAGATCCGAGTCCTTTTTGAGCGTGCCGTCGTCGCAGCCGAGCGGGCAGGCCATGTCCTGGATCTCCAGGTAGCCGCCAGGTTCGAGTTGGCTAGGGGAAGGAGTTGTTAGTCAAGGGGCGGATTTATCATAATGTGGTTGACTTACTCGAATGCCTTCCGCACGATTTCCTTGGGGTCGCTGAAGGAGCCATTCATGATGCGACCCATGATGAGATCGAACTTCTTAGACCACGTCCAATCCTTTTCAAGATCATCAACCTAGTATGCGGTTACGGCCGTCAGCTCCGTTCGAACGTCTCCCGAGCTTGCCATTGATTTACCTCGAAACTGCAGTTCGGCGGCAGTCTGTTGCGGTTAGTAAGAGATGTTGATTTTAGGATTCGGGAAAGACAAACATGCGCGGCTGGATAGGACTGAGGTCTACACCAATAACCTGAAGAAAGGTCAGCAAGCACTCTGTATCCACAGGTCCAGAGTCAGTCGCACCTCTGCTTCGGGATGCTGATCCGCTGCGGGTGACCATCGAAGTTAGCTTCCTTCTTCCCAAAAGAAGACTGAGATCCTTACCGTAGTCGATACACCACATCCCGGTCCCCGCGCCAAGGTCGAGGACCCTGTTAGCCCCTTCATTCTTTGGGCATACGCAGAGTCCACCGTCGAGCGTCAGGCTGAAGATATGATGCTGCAAGTCTGCCACGGAAAGACGGTCAACTGGTGATTCCACACCTCCGTCTTGGTTCTATTAAGCTCACCTAGTCTCTCAATCTCCGCCTATGGTCGGCTGGTTAGTGTCGGACGCTGGACGGAGGAATCTCGGGTCATACGCACATTGTCGTTAGGGAAGAGGTATTCTATTCCTTGGTAAGCGAATCTGAGTTCATCAAGAAACGGTAAGAAGACGTACTTCCGGCGCTCATGGAATGATAAGTGCGTCCATTCTCAGTCTGGTAGTTCATGATGCTGGATCGCAGCGAACTCAGACTTTCCGTCAGGGGCTTGTAGTCAAACGAACCCCCGTAAGTTCCTCCATTCAATGTCTTAAACGGTCATTCCTTGGTAAGCTTACCACGGAGAGTCCTGAGTCGGTTTCCTCATTCTCGTCGGCCACCTAAAACCACACATTAATCAACATACTGCCTGAATGGGAATGCATAAAAGGAGACCCACGAGTTCGACGCCATGTTGCTGTGGGCCGGCGGCCTGCACAGACTCTGATGCCGTGGGCGCTGCTGGAGCTGCTGGAGCTGCTGGCGCTGCTGATGCTGCCGGAGCTGCTGGATCGGCTGGCGCGGCTGGAGCGGCTGGAGCTGGCTTTGCCGCCGCTGCTGCTGGCGTTGATGTTGCTGGCGCTGTGGGCGCTGCTGGTGGCGTAGTAGTAGACATGGCTTTGGCACTACCCGAGGAGCGTTGGAACCTGGAGGAGTAGGTACGGAAGGGGGGGGTATGCTGGGCAAGCAAGTCAAGAAGAGAAAGCCTGGGCGAGACGGTTGCCAAAGGTGCCTATGTGCGCAAACATGGGCCCATGGAAGCGAATTTAAATCACGGCGCAAGCCGCGGCAAGCGAGTTTGGAACCTGATAGTTATGGCCTGGACCGTCTAAGATGCATGCCACATGGCCGAATGGGTCATCTATAGCGCGCATCATAACGACTCGGGCCGTTGCGATTGGAACCAAGGAAGTAGCCGCGCGGGGAAGCATGTCGCGGCCCCGGAGGCCCCCTGTGGCTTGTTCGACCTTGCCTGGTTAGGTGCCGAGTGTACGAATTTGGATCGGTGCAGTACTAGCTTGACATCAATCACAAGGAGCCTCCTATTAAGTTTCCTTTTTCTCTTCCCTTCTGCCCCACACACTCTCAAGTTTTCCGTTTCTCCGCTCTCTCAAAGCTGATAGACACAAGGGCCAACCTAGGAGTGGCACGGAAAACTCGGCAAAACTAGAGACAGCGAAGTGGAAAGTCGAGGAGGTATTCGTACTTGGGCTGCCGATGATCAGGCCTTGGTCTCGCCAATACCAGGACCCATAATCAATAATCATGGGGCTTTGGGTATGTACAACGTGACAGCGTGTGATGTACCAGCCCAGGCCACTAGTATTGGCTCATGGCGGGAAACTAGCATGCGAATGGGGGGCCGCGCTGCTCAAGATGGGAAGTGTCTTGTCAGGCTTCGACGAGACCAAGTACCTAATGACAGCATTAATCCTGTCGAACCGAACAAAACCGTTGAAATTGGAATAGCCGCGAGGGCCTTGCCGGATCCGGTGTTGTAAGTGGAAGATCCTTCAGGCTGTCCAACAGGTGGCTTGGATCCTACCCCCAGCCAGCAACACCGGGAACAGTGCATTTTGCCGCGTCAGATGTTGCCCTAAACTCAATATGCACCGCCATCTTGCCCAACATCTCGCACAGATAACGCAAGATTTTATCCCATTCCTTACCCACCTAAGTAGCGGGACGGGCCGAGGGGGGATGCTGCTCCATCTCGCCAACAGTGACCCCCTTCTTTGCTCCACAGACCCCCCACGCCACGTTGGTTCTCCAAGCCCTAACCGGTGCACAGTTGCCCTACCAATATTCTAGCCCCTGCCAAACGGTTTGAGCGGCACCGCAGTTCCTCTCCGCGTGTGATGTATGTACTGTATAACCAATTGGGTAAGATGCAGTGTTTCTCTCTGCTTGGACAACACTTGGCGCCACTGGATGCTAGGGGAGAGCCAACATGGGGCCAACAACCAGGGCCAGCCCCAGTCTGCGGGAACTAAACTGACGCCCATAGGAGGGGGCAGATAATGGATGTGTGGACCGACTAGTGCACAAAGACAAGAGCGGTATGTCCATGTCTCACTCAAATCTAGGTGCTTTCATTTTGAAACTGCAGCCCCATTCTTGAAGCAACCCTGCACGTCGAAGTACGACGTCTTTCCCGCCACACCCTTCCATATGTAATTACACAACCCCCAACCCCCTCAACCCCAACCACAAACCCAACCACCAACCCCCTCCTAAGCAGCGCACTTCTCCCAATCATAGCTCACGCCCTGTTGGATGCCATAGTACTGCTCCTCGCCGTCCTGCAGGGTCAGGTCGGAGGCGACGGAGCCCTTGGCACCCTCCTTGGTGGCCGACAGCGTGAGCTCGGTGCGGTACTTGATGGTGCCCGTGCCACACGCCGGCAGCGGCCACTGCACGAGCTCCGCGGCGGCGGGCGAGGTGTCCGAGTACGAGTCGGCGGCGCGCGGGCCGGCGATGGTGATGCTGTCGACGATCTGTGGGGTGTGTCAGTGTGGAAAGGATGGGGGTTGGTGGATTAAGTTGAAAGGAGGGTTTGGGGCGAGCAGTGTTGGTGTTGTTCGCAGGGTTTTGGTAACTGACCTTGTCCGCTCCATCCGTGTCGTAGGTGAATGTCCACTTGGCCTCGACGCCCTCGTCAAGTTCGTAGTTTGCCAGCATCCGCGTGCCGTTCTTGTGCAGCTTCAGGCGGTACTCGGCGGGGTCGGCCGGTGCCCCGCTCTGTACCAGCTCGGTGTACTTCAGCGTCGTCTCGCACCAGATGGACGCCTCGGGGTTCGCGGCATCTACGTTGAGGTGGATGTGGGGGTAGGCAAAGTGCCAGTAGTAGATCTCGCTGCCGTCAACCGTGTTCATGCCAAACGTAGGCCTAGTGGCGCGTGCTTCGGTCTCGCCAAAGTCGGGGCATCCCGGGCCCTCGAGCGCCGTGATCTCAAAATTCCAGCTCCACGGGAGGATGCGGATCGGGTCGTCGGCGACCACCGGGCTGGGGCGAGCAATCGCCGTGCCCATGAGGGCGGCGAGGACAGGAAGACCGGACAGCATGTTGTTTGAGTAGGGGTTGTAAGATTTGGTGAGAATCGAGCAGCGAGTGAAGTGTGGGTGTCAAGACATGGAAGACGGACGTCGTCCAGCGCCACTTTATAGACCGTTAAGCTTATTCACGATCTCCCGGTAGCGCATCGGGACTTCGTTACATGTTAATCTACACTTAATCTCGATCTCCTGTCAACTGGTCTGGGGAGCATCGGTGGTCGGGCACTCACAGGGCCTCGGGGAGATGTTACCCCGCGTCGACATCGTGTTGGATGGCCAGTTTCTGGCAGAAACCGGAGGCACAGGGCCCGAATGCTCCCCAGAATTTGCTTACGGGCGGGCTCCCGGCTACGCGGTTCAAAAAGGCCCAGGAGAGATTCATCCGTTGCCTCATCGATCCACGGCGAGTCGCAGTCTTGTATCTTAATATATGTCCCGTCAAACATGTTTGGTCTCCAGCCGGCCTTCCTGCAGCACCGTTGCATCAGCTGCTGCACTGGCGCCTTGGGATCCAAGTCAACATGGAGTCCGAGAGCTCGGACTCCTTTGACAGGGAAGATCTGCGGTGCACGCTCGAGCAGAGGCCATGCAGAGCAAGCACCGGATAAAAAGAAAGTTCCAAAAGACAACTCCCAACAGTAAAGTTCCCGAAGAGTCTCATTTGGGAGCCAAGTCGAGTGAAGGACGAGTTCGAATTAAACAAGGCAACCGCAAGGATCCAAGATGACGGCAGACAATCATAGGAGAAAAGACATCCGGCAAGGCCTGGTATTCATATCAATGGTGTGGTCGATTGTCTGATAACTGTTTTCGTAGGAGGCCACTGAGCGTTATGGCGTCTGTAAGTCATCTTGGTGATTAACAATTGAGTCTCTTTTCAAAGGTGGAAGCCCCTGGACTCAAGCTATTAGAAGGGATTGGGTCAAGCTGCTGCCCAGGTCGTGGACACGGTGGCTCGCCCAGACATCGCCTACTACCTACCGAGGCCAAATGCGGAGATGGTGATTCCATAATCGGGGTCTCAACATAACAACTGCGGAAAGTTCCTATTCCCTCACAGGCCATGCATGCTGTATGTACGCGTGCCATACACAACACAGGAACGGATGTTGCCCTAAAGTTCGGGCTGCTATAATATCAACCAGGGGTATAATACTGACACATTGTAACCGTTGACGGGCATACACATTCCCGACCTCCGTCTGCCGTTGGGTAGATGAAGAGTTCGTTGCTGCCGATGCAACTCTGCAACTCGGAGCTATGAGGTAGGCCGCCGCGGCCGTGACCGTGGGCCGCGCTGTTTCGTGGTGCCATCCGCGCACCCCATTCTCGGCAGGGCGCGGTCAACGGCGCGGCAAGCCTAACGGACTGCTTCTGCCGCGGAGAACATGGTCCTTGGTCTGGCCGCTGCCACGTCTTGCCGTCTGGGTAGCCAATGACCGATGCGTGTTTGAGAGATGCGTAGGGACTTTGTAACACCGAGATAATCTCGGTCGCCATGACCAATATGACAGCGGCACCAAGAGCAAGGTCTCTTTTTGAACAATAAACCGGAGAGGTTTCGCGTTGTTAGAGACTGTTGGCTTGTGGCACAACAAGCAGGCTGGTATGACTTGGGATATCGTATGACTGCCGCCGAGACTGCATGTGGCGTTATCCTGAATCATGCCCAGAGTTCCGTCAACTTGGAATATGCGTGTCAAGTCACAGCGAAAGGGCCATAGCTGAGGGGTTTTCTGCGTTCAAGTGATGTGATGCTGCGAAGAACATGACGTTTCTATTGGAGCAATCCCCTTTCCAACCGACTTCGGAGTGCCCTGTTCGTATTCTTCGTATCCCCGACCGATTCCAGCCTCTTACGAGCGAAAAGGGGACTCGGGTAACGCACACGACTACCGATATCCTTCCCCTTTCTGCCAAGGAAGTTGATTAAGGGGCTCGATGGGTTGTGAAGATTCGGCCGATCCCCGGTTATCTCCGAGCCCGACCGTAACAGACTCAGTGAGCACCATGTCGGCACCCGGCCCGCCTGAAGCCCGCGCAACAATTATGGGTGGCGAGCAGAATATCCCGCGGAGACATTTCCTCGTGTCCGGGACGTCGTAGGACGTAGTACACAGCTGCACCTCCTGGACAACCGCCTGAACACTGAACATCTACCCAGATTTCTCTCTTTTCCCCGCCTCCCCTGCGGAACCTGCCTCCTCATGGAGATGTCTTTCCCGGCCACCCACTAGACGCCGCTGTTTTTCAGCCCTTGAAGTCACGTACGACAAGCCAGCGGTCCAGATGGCGAGGGCCACCGACGTAGCGATCATGGCGTACATCCCCCTCTGCACCCGTCAGTTAGTCAACTACCTTATCCTTATACGCAGCTAGGAACGAGAACAACAAAACGCAATCACTCACCTCAAACCAGGGCGCCATGCTCGCGCCATAAAACACTATACTCCACCACGCATTGACAGCATTATTCCCCAGATTCATCCCCGCCAACACGACCGACCTAAACACGGGCTCCCGATGCCTCATCGCATCATTTGCCCACGCAAAGAAAGTCGCCTGGCACGCATACACGGCGCCCGCCCAATAATACGCCGCAAACACCACGGTCGTCGCCCGCTCCCCCGCCGGATCCATGGCCTTTTGCGCGGCCAGAATCATGGCACAGGTCGCCACCCCGGTCACGCCGATAAAATACCCCACCAGATAGCGCTTCCCGCCCAGGAAATCCGTCAGCGCCGCCCAAAACAGCGTCGACACGATCCCCACGGCGGGCACCCCCGTCGGGTAGTCGTTGAGTTGGCGCACGGTGTAGTAGGGCGCGTCGGCGGAGGTGGATCTAGGCGAGCTCTTCATGAAGAGGGCCAGCAGCGCGTTGGAGGAGAAGGACTCGGTCTCGCCGGCGATGACCCACAGCATCACGAAGCCCCACCACTCGTGGGAGGTCAGGACGCGTTTGGCGAAGGTCCAGGTGAGAGGGGAGGTGGGTAGGGGTTGGGGTTCTTCGTGTGCGTGGTGGGTTGCGGTGGGAGCGGTGGTGGTGTCGTGTTGGGGCTCGGGTTCGGGGTCGAGGAGGTCCTCCCCGTCGGTGGGTAGGAGGCGGGAGATGGCGAGTTCGCGCTCGGCGGGGTTGAGGTAGGGGGCGGTGGTGGTGGCGGGGGTGTCCGGGAAGAGGAAGAAGCCGTAAGCGGCCACGGGCAGGGTGACGATGCCGTCGATGATGAACAGCCAGCGCCAGCCGCGCAGACCGTGCCTGTTGTCCATGCTGGTGTATATGCCGCTCTGGATAAAACCGCCGATCATGGTGCCGGCGAGCCCGGATGCAGTGAAAATGCCGCTGCGCTTGCCTAGCTCGCGCTCCGTGTACCACGACCCCAGGATGTAGTGCGTCCCGACGAAGGTGCTGGCCTCGGCAATGCCCTGAAAGAATCGGATGGCCATGATGGCCTGGGGGGAGTGGGCGGACGCCGTGACCATGGTTAGGCCCGCCCAGATGACCATCATGGCAGGGAAGAAGTGGCGCGGTTTGACATAGTGGAGGCTTAGGTTGCAAGGGATCTGGCCTAGGACGTAGCTGGGCAGGTACGTAGCTCTGTCAATACCAGGACCCGTTGAACAGTTCAGCTGGATGCTCACGATGCTCACACATACCCGACGGTGAAGCAAGTGTTGATTTGGTTCAGCTGGTCTCCCTGGAAACCCAGGTCCTCTTTCATGCCCGAAACATAGGCATTGGCCAAATTGGTGCGGTCAAGCTGGAAGTGCTACGTTAGACTGCCTAGCCGGTTCGATAGAAGGGGTCAGTCCGTTGGCTCACGTAATTGAGGAAGTAGCTCAGACAGCAAAATGTCAAGATGAAGAAGTCGATTTTCCGGACAAGTTTACGCTCCGCAGGATCAATCCGCCAAGCCGACGAGAAGTAATCCCTTAGCTTGGATGTAGCCTCCGTCATTTCATTAATCGGTGGCCTTCTAGAACGCCAACGTGGGCTTCACACGTTGGAAACGGTGGTGGTGGTAACGCGGCCACTTGCCGAGCACGGAGTCAGCGGCTGCGGGGTCCGTCGGAAGTTAACCCAGATGATCCGCGGCGACTCGGGAAGAACTCATATCGTCTAATCGTGTTGTGGTGATAAGAAGGTAGTGAAAATGCTGTTGAGGTTGTGTGTTGAAACGAGTAACGGGGTTGGGCTCCCAGCATCGCTCGGCTTCATGGTTCCATTTCACACATCCGACATGACGTTGGAGGGATGACGTCCCCGAGCGAGAGTCTCAAAGCTTCTTCTTTTCTGTTTGGGTATGATCCACGGTGCTCCCTTCCCGAGGTTCCAGCCCATTGCCGCCACCAATAACCAATAAAGCCGGTGCGTTTCTGTGGGGAGGACCCCTCGAGCAGGGCAAGTGAAAAAGTGCAGCCCCAGCTCCACCACTAAAAATTTGAACTCCTCCACCGGAAATTCGAGACGAGTGGACGCCCAAGACGGACGCGCAAAAAGGAAAGTTTGAAGGTCGTACCCGGGATCGAACCGGGGTCGCCGGAATATCCGTGAAATCAGAATCCGAAGTGATGACCACTACACTATACAACCTGTTGATTTGTTGGTGACTTCGCCGTTCCGAGATCGGCCTTGTGAAGGACAACAAGACATGGAGTGGATCGATGCAAGCCACGACGAGTCGAACAGGAGTGACCGTGCCCGCTGCGCGCGGGCACGCCAAAGGAAGCCTGGAGGAACTTGCCGGCTGCAGGTAGGCCCCATAGCGGAGTCAACGATGTAATTGTCTTTTTTTATTTTTCCATTTCATGATGGTTATTGACGAATGCTGGGAAAGTAAGGAAAGGTGGTTTCTCCAGTCAGACCAGCGTCTAATCGTACAGTCGCGCCCTCTTTTTTTCCCGCTGTAGACCTCTTGCTTCTGATTGGCTCGGGAGAGGGTTATCGCCCGTTTGGCGGGATCCCAATGGTCCTGTTCTTCGGGGACTTCTTCCAGTTCGACCCCGTCCTGCAGACCAGCCTCCTCTTGCCGGCGCCCAGGGACCGTGGCGGACAGAGACCGGAAAGCTTGGCGAAGCATCTCGCAGCGCACAGGCTGTTCCGCCAGTTCACAACCGTTGTCATCCTCCAGGAGCAGGTCCGCGCGGCTGGTTGCCCAAGGCTTCGGGGCTTCCTCGGGCGCCTGCGCAATGGCGATCAGACCGAGCAGGACTTCCAGCGGCTGAGCCAACGCCTCTATACACCGTCGTGCAAGGCGTCCTTCGTAGACGGTCTGAGAGCCATCACGCCCTTGAACCAAGACCGGTGGGACCTGAACATGGCCGCCGTCGTCCAGTGGGCCCGTGCCTACGGCAAACACATCTCCATCTTTGTGGCCAAGCATGACACCGAATCGGGGAAGCGGCTGCGCGTCGAAGAGCTGGGCGACGTGCTCCGCCGCGGAGACGACTCGCAGCTGCCAACCCCGGGCCTCTTCTTTTACGCCCAAGGCATGCCGGTCGTGGTGACTCGCAACCAGTTTGTCGGGCTGAAGGTCGTCAACGGGTCAACGGGGCACCTTTCATGGCCGTCGACATTTCCCCCGACCTCGCGTTTGGCACCATCGCCCTCACTAGTGACGTGACTCTCCATCTCGGACCGCCGGTGGCCGTCCTTCTTCAGTCAGACGATAGCGCGGGCCTCGCCATCCCCGGGCTCCCCAATGGCACCATCCTGATCAAAAGCAAGACGGTCGCCATCCCGAGCCAAATGCGGGGCAAGGAAACCAGATGGAGGGGCAAGCCGGGTTTTCGGCGGGTTACCCATAGAACAGGACCTCTTTGTACGCCGGCCTTCGCCATGACGGATCAGAAGAGCCAGGGAAAACAATTCTCGGACGTCCTCGTCAACCTCAAAGGCGTCCACTTTGGCGGCACGGCGACTCGGCCCAGCTTCATGAGCCTGTACGTGCAGCTGTCGAGGGCGCAGAGCTGGGACGGGCTGCATCTGTTTCGGAAACCGGCGCGCGGTGACTTTATCGAACCCAAGAACGTGCTTGATAAAGACATGAAGGAGGCCATCCTCAAGCTGGAACGACAGGGCGAGGAAACCAGACGGCGGTTCGAGCAGGACCACAGGCACGAGTCGTGGTTCCAGGAATGGGACGCCATGGCCGAATCAGTGCAGGCCACTGAAGCAGCTGACGAAGAAGCGGTTGCGTCGCTCTAGTAGTAATAGTCAACCCATAATAGGTGTCGACCCTGAACACCTCATTTTCGCCACTTTTTGACAGAAATTTGATTTCTTGGTTCGTGATTGTCGAGGATTGCGCGACGGAGGCACGCAAAGGCACGAGCGAAGCAGCGAGTCACAGGGGCCCTGATGCCAAAGTGCGGGTAAGCGGCTTTTTTCCGGCAATTTGATTGGCCAGAACAAAGCAACAACGGTCCGTGCACCTCCACCGCCAAGACCAACTGCGACATGCCAATTCGACGAAGCAAAATGCAGATGACGCCAGACTTCGAGATGCTATCGAGAGGTCGAAAAGGAGAAAAAAGCCAAAAGTCTACAGTGAGAAGTCGACGTACAGGTTTTAGAAATGACACCGTTTTTTGAGTTTTTTATGGAGTAAAAACTGGTCCGTGCTTAGAGCAGGCCATGGCATTTTTGACCTAAGGAACCTGGAGTTCCTCCAGGCAAAGAGCATTGAGGATGGATGGGTGGTTGAGAAAGTCGAGAAGTGTTCAATTAGAATTACACCGATGAATTATGACAACAGATGCCGCGAAATGTGCCATTTAAATTATTCGCAACTAAGCAAACGTATGATGATTTTTACAAGTCGGGATGGAAATCCACATCAAAGGCCTCCCAGCCACTGAAGCTTCCAATTGCTGAGAGAGAGGCGCCACTTCCACCATCCATTCCTCATTTGGTTCGTCACTTTGGCATGGCAACTGCAAAGATTTGGGCATCCACATCCACCTTCCGCTCACCTGCAGAACACCAAACGACAAAAATTGACCCAGAATCGGATGAATTTTAATTAACTGCCTCTAGGTCCCTCCAATTCACCACATCATTAACTAGCTACCACATCACACATCAAACCAAGAGTATAGGAACAATAATGAATGTCTTCGAACTCATACCGCCCTCCACCTCCCGTTCCCACCAGCCGAACACCATTGCCACTCATACAACCATCTAGTTAGCCACCTTGCACAGCTTGCCAGTCTGCAGCGTCAGCCAGTCGGGCTGGCCGGCGATCTTCCAGCGCTCCGAGCCGACAGCAGTCGGGGCCCAGAACAGGTCATACGGGTCGACCTTGCGCTTGATCTGGAGCAGGCGGTCGTAGTTGGTGCCGTAGAAGGCATCGGCAAAGTCGGGCTCCATGACGTCGCCCTCGTTGAGGTAGCCGCCGGGGCCGTACACGCGCAGACGGCCCATCCAGTTGTCGGTGATCTTGCGCTGGACGGCCTCGAGCTCGGTCTGCGAGATGCCGGGGGCCCAGCCGGTGCCCATGATGCCGAACCAGATGGCGTCGCGCCAGTGCGAGTTGGCGCCGCTGGCGGGGGTGCCCGCGGGCGCCGACGGGTTCATGTTGTACTGGATGAGCGCGGAGCCCTCGTCGACGATGGAGCGGACCTCGTCGAACATGGCGTTGCGGTGCGCCACGTCGTCCCAGGCCGACCGCGGGAAGAGGCGCGACGCCGTGCGCAGGTTGGAGTTGGCCACGGCCTCGGTGGGGAAATGCCGCGTCCACGCGTCGTAGAAGTTGTCGTGCTCGAAGAAGACGGGCTCGAACGCGAACCCCATGGCCGTCCACTCGTCAAAGAGCGGCTGCACCATGGCCTTGAAGTCGGTCAGCGACATGCCGGGGACCATCCACGGGTTCATGGTCCACGTGTAGCCCGCACCGGGCCCGCGCGGGAAGATCATCGAGTAGCCGTACACGTCCTCCTCGGCGTACTCGGGGAACTTGGCCCAGTAGGCGTACATGGCCTCCCAGAAGACCGCGTCCGAGTTGGCCGTGTCGTTGCCCGAGTTGATGGTCCACGTCACACCGGCCATGTTCAGCTTGGGGTGCGCCTTGACAGTCATGGCCGTGACGACGCCAAAGGTGGAGCCGCCGCCACCACGGAGGGCCCAGAAGAGGTCGGTGTTCTTGGTCTCGCTGGCCGTGACGAAGCGGCCGTTGGGCAGCACGACGTCGAGGCTCAGGATCTGGTCGGAACCCAGGCCGTACTTGCTCGACAGGGGCGAGTGGCCGCCACCAGCCGAGTAGCCACCAGCAACGCCGACGCCCTTGCACTCGCCGCCGACGGCAGTGACGCCGTACTTGTTGGCAGCAGCATACAGCTCGCCGACCTGGACACCGGCGCCAATCTCGAGGGCGGCACCCGTGTACGAAGGGGTCTTGACCGAGTTCAGGAACTTGATCTTCTTAAGGTTGTGGGTCCAGATGGAGAGCGCACCGGAGCCGCAGGACTTGCCAAGGAAGTCGTGGCCCGTGTTCTTGACGACCAACCGCAGGCCGAGCGTGCGGGCAAAGTTGACGGCCAGCTGGATCTGGTAGACGCTCTCGGCCTTGACGGCGTACGAGGGGAACCCGCCCAGCGTGCACTGGGACGTGGCGCCGTTCTGCGGCATGCACGTCTCGCCCGTGTAGAGCGGCGACATGACCGAGGTGGGGTCTCTGGCGCTGGGAAAAGGTTAGCCTCAGAAGACGAGACTGGCTCGGATGAACTGGGTAAACTTACTGGGTGTCCGACTGGGTCCAGTTCTCGAGGATATCGGCACACTTGGCGGCGTCGTACACACCGCTGTTAGGGTAGCAGACGGCGCCGATGGGCACGGTCTCGATGAGGGCGCCACCCGTCAACAGGTTGAAGACTCCCCAAGTCAAGCGCGAAGGGTACTTCCAGTCGCCGGGGTACGTCTTGCAGTCGCCGACGTTAGTCCACGTGCGCCTCGAGACCTGGGCGGCGTCCTCGCTATCCGTGTCGTCAAACAGGAAGAGCTCGATGTCGCTGAGCTGGTGGCTCGTGAGGTTGGCCAACACGTCGTCGGTCAACTGACGCGACTCGGGGTCCGCCGAAACGTCGGTAGGGGGGCCGGAGGCCGGGGCAACGGTGACCTCGTTCGCGGCTGCACATCATCAGCCAAACTATTCGCGCCCGTTGAGAAGCCTTCACGTCAACTCACGGATCACCTCGCCTTCGGAGTTCTTGATAGTCTGGGCAAAGCCCTGTTGAGCGAGCGGAAGCACGGCACCTGCCAGGAGCAGGGCCCGCTGAAGAGAGAGGACGACCATGATGATCGACAAGATGAACGAGTGGCTTGTCGAACTGGTCTACGAACTGGAGAAGGAGAATGAGGAAACCACGTTTTTCCCACGAGGCGCCATGGTTATATGTCTGAGGTGATGGCACCCTCCCTCCTTCTCCGGAGCCCGGGTCGGATGAGCTGCCGAACCACCAATCAGTACCCCGGTGTTTCGGGGAGCCTTGTCTTATCCCACGTTGCACCCCTGCACTGGAGTCGGAGAAGCAATATTGTTCCCTCGTGTGGGGTTGAGAAATCGATGGCGGGGGCAAGTTATTTCACATCTGGTAAGTCTGGCGCGAGCTGGCGCGGCGTGGGCCGCTCGCTGAGCTGGTGTTGGTCCATTTTGGCGAGAGCCATGAGTCGGGTTTGTCCTCTCAGCCTCTCTCACCAAGCAGCCGGTGGGGGAACAGCAGAAGATCCCCCGAAGCAAGGGGGCCTGGTAGAGTCGGCCCAGCGCTGTTCCATTTTAATGTAGCCAGGCCGGCCCCTCCACTGATATCAGCAGGCCAATTTATAATTGAGGATCCAGCAGTGTGGGGACATCCACTTCGAGCCTGCGGTCAGCACGGGAAAAAGGGGAAGTTAATATCCGGGTTGCCAGGCGGCCTCTCCTTCAACAGAACCTCATGAAAAAGTCAAGACTTCTCTCAATCCGGACGCGCCACAAACCGTTTTCTTCTCTCGCCAACGTCGCTTAACTCCGAGACAGTCGCTTATTCTCTTGGTGGTTTCTGCATCAGAAACTCGCCCCCAACTCCTGGCGCCGGTAACCTTGGCGCATCCGCCACCTTGGGAGCGGCACGGCAGTTGTCTCGGTTCCAATGCCGCTGGCCTCGGCAATCCGTGCCACAACGACCGCCCTGCCATGTTCTCAGCAACCGACAAGATGATGGATGCCAGACCCGAAGGATATACCTGCCCTCATCACGAGCTGCGTGAACTTTCGAGGATAATGGAATCATGCTGATGGGTCGCCGTCTGCTTGTCTCCATTCAAGCTGTCAAAGATGGGACTTTCCTCAGGGGCTGAGTGGACACTATTCTATTTTCCCATCCAGTCGCCCAGTACCAACAGTCGAGACCCGCTGTGCTTGTAGGGGTGACCCCTTATCAACGTCTCCATCACGGCACATTCCATTCGCATCGGAGATTGAAGAGGGGTTCGCAACCCTCCGACGCTAGTCTTCTCAGACTTTACTCCGTACAGCCAGGCCGGTTTCCCACCAGTTATGGCGAGGGCGGAAGGGCGAACGTGCCGAGTAGAACAAGCTGCGCGAGCTTTCGGTTTCGGCTCCAGCACGTCATGTGTGTAAATACCAGGGGGCAGATCTCCTCAGAATTACTATTCTCGTCTCCGAGGCATGCTGCTCGGACGCACCTTAAACGGCAGTGATCGGCTGCTTCGATGCGCCATACGATGTGTCGCAGGGATATCCTAGAGCGCACGAGATGCAGGGGAAATGAGAAAAACCCTCAACACCAAGGTCCACCACGCCTCCACCGACGCAAAGTTCTTGTGCCAATCGATAACATGGTGTCAACGAAAGGGCCGGCAGCTTGGTTCACCTTGTTCGCTGAGACATCGGATGCCCCGCCTCTGTAGGAATGTGGCAATTCGAGTTCCCATACAGGAAGGCCAAGTGCCTGCACTGCGCAAGACCAGCGAGACTAGCACCCACTAGTCAGGAAATTGTCAAAGCGTAGCGCGAAGGTGTCACGACCTTCTCAGACTCGTAGCCAAGACACAAATGCATGGGTGTAAGTGGAGGTCTGGTGCAGGTTACAGGGCGTCGGGGAGTCAGCGGCCGACCAGTCTCCCGGGATTCTCGATCTTTGTGGTCCCTGCCCCCTTTCGATCCTCCAGAGATCAAGGTTTTGCCTTGGTCGTTTTTAGGCCCGGCCACCCGTGTCCGCCTTTAGCAGCGGCACTCAAGAATGCCGAGTTTCCCCTTGATCCTCCTCTTGCCTTCCCGTCGACGTCGAGGACTCATGATAACCGGCCACTCCCGTTGATGACGGTATACGGATACCGGCCGTGCCGCGAAGCCTCTCGTCTTCCGCCGCCGTCGATCCATCTCTGAAAGATCGTGATTCGTCTCCGCCGATCGATCCCCCGGCCTCCCCAGGTCTTAGCTGTTCCACTGGTGTGTCGATCTTTGCAAAAGACACGACACCTCCACGATGGTCAAGATGGCCATTCTACCTCGCCGCCCCGAACATGTCGATGTGCTCACCATCCCGACGCCGCCTCTGCAACAGGCCGCCCTGTTTGTCATCTTCTTCTTTACTGCTCTCGCTTTTGTCACATACAGTTTGAGGGCGTACACGCGGCTCCGGACGCGAACATGGGGTATCGACGACTACCTGGTTACCGCCGCCATGGTCTTCTCCCTGATGATGATTGGGCCCTTCTACATGTGTAAGTAGCCTATGGCCACTTTGAAATCAGGCCACGACTAAGACAGGCTTGGAAACAGACATTAAACTCGGCTACTTTGGCTGGCATGCGGCGGATGTACCCGAGTTTGATCCGGCGCCAGGCATGTGGTGGTTCTACCTCGCCCAGCTCTTTTACAACCCGATCCTGGCGTTTGTCAAGGCCTCGGTGCTGTGCTTCCTGCTGCGTCTGGGCGGCCAGAAGCCTGGCGTGAAGTTCGCCATCCACTTCCTGAACGCTTTCAACGCCCTCCAGGCCATTGCCATTTTCCTCGTCGCCGCCTTGCAGTGCTTGCCCATCGAGGCCAACTGGGATTTTGCCGTCAAAGCGGACCCAAACACGGTATGCGTCGACAACTCGTTCCACGTCACCATCTCTTGCATCACCATCCTTACCGACATTGCCGTTATCGCCCTGCCGTTCTGGATCTTTTTGGGTCTCAAGATGCCCAAGGCCGCCAAAATTGCCGTGTTGGGTATCTTCATGCTCGGTCTTGCGTACGTTTCCCCTTTTCCCCTTTTTATTTTGGCCTCCAATCAAAACATGGCCACTAACCCCGACCTTCCCTCTCCCAGCGTCACCATCATCGGCATCGTCCGTCTCCAAGGTGTCATCAGACTCTTCTACGTCAAGCAGACCTCCAAAGACCCCTACTACGACATCACGGTAACGCTCTCCGTCGTCGAAGCCAACGTGGCCATCGTGTCGGCCTCGGCCCCCGCGCTCCGCCCGCTCTTCCGCTCCCTCCTGCCCGGCCTCTTCGGCGGCAGCAGCGCGCGCTACGGCGCCCACAACAAGTACAACTACGCCAACAGCAACTCTCCCTACGTCTTCTCGGGCGCGGGCGGCTCCGTCGCCGCGGCCGGCACCTCCCACCACCACCACCACAACCACGCGGGCTCGCGCCGCGACGCCAACGAGTCCTCGCTCGTTGGCGGCGGCAACCCCCACGGCAACATCCGCCTCAAGAACTTGCGCAGCCCCAGCGGCAAGGGCGGCCACGCCGAGTGCCGCAGCATCAGCCCCAGCGGGTCCGAGGAGGAGATCATGACGTATAATGGTATCATGCGCACCACCGACGTCCAAGTGCATTACGAGGGTGACCGCGATAGCCGCGCTGCGCATCGCCATGATATGCTGCGTGCTGGTGGAGGTGGCGGTGATACCACGGATGTGGAAATGTCGAGTCGCGCGTCGAGTGACTTGAAGGCAGGGGGGAGGGAGCAGGTGGAGAAGAGGACTTTGTGAGTTGAGGGAGGGGGTGTGGTTTAGTTAGAGAAAAGCGTGTTTGGATATACCATGGGTGGGAAAAAGGGCGTGGTTTGAGGGGAGGGTTTTCTTTTCAACATAACAACAACAAATATGCGGGATCTAGCGAGGTCCCAGCCAGGCGTCATTAATGCTTAGATACCTCGGGCGGCCAGATTGCTTTTTAGATACTCATGAGACATGCTTCATCAATGAATATATTATTCCATGAGATTACAGCTTGCATCCGCCCTACTCCCGCTCTCCCTTATGTATAAGACAGCCAAACCGGCCACATCCCCAGTCACGGTGACCTCCTCTCCTTCCTCACGCCCCAGAAACCCCATGGGTCCCGCGGGCGTTCCTCCTCTGCCTCCGCACTCCGCACGGGTTGTAGGGGCCGGGGCGGAGGAGGCGTCCATGTTGTAAACCCAGAGCTGGAGGCATAAAACTGGCGCTCGGGTTGAGGCAGGGTCGGGGATTGGGGTTCCCATCCCATCGGGTATCGTTCTGCTGCTGGTTGAGGTGCCAGTTCGGGCGCGACCTCCGCCGGGCGTGACACAGGGGATCTCTGTTTTCAAGGCTTGTTAGATACTGTGCTCGGGTCTGCCATCGGTGGGGTCATCACATGGATACTTGCCTTCATCTTTTTACCCTTTTTCTTTTTATTAAGTGGTAAAGGCCGCGCCATTCCAATCCGTAACGCCTGTGGCTCATCTACCGCGCGCGCCAATTCTTCCACGGGTTCCGGGTGTACTTCGGGAACTGGTTCTTGAGGGGGTTCAGGGGCCGGCTCTGGTTCCGGCTTGGGAGCAGGCTCGGTAGCAGGCTCGGTACCAGGCTCTTCTTCCAGTTCCGGTTCCGGCTCTGGTTCTGGCTCTGGGAGCGGGTCAACCTCCAGCTCAGGCTCGGTCAATCTTTTAACCTTCTTTTTCCGTCTAGGAACCTGAGGCTCCGGCTCCGGCTCCGGCGCAGATTCGGGCTCTGGCTCTGGCTCCGGCTCAGACTCAGGCATTGGCTCCAGTTTTCGGAGTGGCTCATCCTCAGGCTCAGGTCCAGGCTCAGGTTCAGGCTCAATGATCTTTTTGGCCTTTTTCTTCCGCTCATAAACTCGAGGCTCCGGCACCGGCTCATCCTGTGCCGCTGGCATGAGGTCAAGTTCAGGTGCAAACTGTGCAGCTGGTTCTGGCTCCGGCGCTGGCTCGACTTGTGGCTCTGGCTCTAGTATGGGCGCTGCTGCCGGCTCCATTTCTGGTTCTGGTTCTGGTTGTAGCTCTGGCACCGGATCTAGCTCTGCTAGAGGTTCGGGGCTCGGCGTTCCAAGGAACCCTTGATACTCTTCGTGATCAGATGCCGGCAGCGAGCCCACACCATATAGATCGTCCACGCCCCTGTCGGCCTTGCTCGTCATAATGTCGCTCCAATCGCTTCCTGTTGCCGGCGTGTCCGGTTCGGCAGCTGTGGCATTGCCAGCCGCACCATCCCGGCCACTGAGCGATTCGAGCATATCCGTGTATGTCTCAAGCATGCATTCAAACAGGAGTTTGACCACTGAAGTGCCATTGCCGGACTGAGAAGGGGCGACGGCCTTGGACAGCTTCCGGGAGTCCTGGAAGGTCTGCTTGACCAGCGAACGGATCCAGCGCGGAAACCAAGTGTCATTGCCGATGGGTACCGGGTAGGCCGCTTGAACAACCTCGATGACGGTGCAAACTTCCAGATCGCGTGCCACCCACTCGATATCGCTCCTGACTTTTTTGTCGAGACCATCCAACCCGATCGTCCGAGCCAGAGTGTAGATTTCGAACTTGAGCTTGAGCTCCCACAACTCGATGTCGAACGAAGGGTCAACGGGCCCTGTCCACTTCAAGAGTCTATACTCTTTGCTGTAGAGGTACTGGACCAGGGCATGGCCCGCAGTGCAAGAAAACCGACGAAGGTCGATACTCTCGGTGGACGGGTCGAGCAGGTGGACAAGTTTCGAGCATTGGAGGAGGACTGCGCGGTGGATCGTGAGCGGGAAACCGTCTGCGAGCTGGACTCTGATGGCAGGGCTGCTGAAGGGTCTGGAAATACAACGCGAATCAGTAAGTCCAACGTGAATAATAAAGGGTCAAACACAAACGTACGATATCTCGAACCCGGTGTCAAGTCTCCGCCCGCCATCGCGGGTTTCTTTGGGTCCTTCCATCGTTACGCGTCGGAGAGCTCCTTGAAGCCAACCGAATTTGATACAGTTCAGAGGTTGCAAATGTGGAAAACCAGGTAGCAACCGGGCCCCATCATTAAGGGATAAGTTTCAGGTTCCTAGTCTCATCGGGCCGGAAGCCCCTATGCCACTCCAGCGGCTGCATGTATGCCCGACTCAGTGAGAGTTGGAGAAGCCAACTTTTCAGCCAATCCGTGTATGCTCCGGGGAAGGCCAGTGGCGCGTGTCAGTCTCTTGTACTCACTGAAAGTGCAAAAATCTAACGAATGTTAAACGGTTGGGAACGTAAAGTGAATCTCCCCTGCCAATGAGACAAGAAAATGACCCCCCATTAGATAAGATAAATGCAAGCGATGAAAAGCCAATAGAGGGGCCAATATGCACCGGATATGCAGCTTGAAATCCGGGTGGCTGTTTAGATTTAACGATGCAACAGCAGCCTCGCCCCAGATGTCGACACGTTTCTCAGCGCTGAAGTTTCCCTCTTCCACTAAGATGCCAACATCACAGAAAAGGGAGATTTAACTTGCGGTACTCGATAAGGTGGCCTAGGAGAAACAAGAAGAAGAAGAAAGGAAAAAAGATAAAAATACAATGGAACCCAAACAGGAGACCTCAGGTAACTGCCGGGACAACCCCAATGACGAAGTGACGGTTGACAACAGATCCAGCTTCATGTTCTGGATTTGGGTAATACATGCCTTTCAGTGACCGAAAAGCTAATGTATTGAAAAGCATTATGGAACCGCCTCACGGGGAAGGGTAAAGTTGATATCAGGTTACTCGCTTATTAAGGTAAAGATGGAGCGAGCTCAAAGTAGGTACTTGAACGGCCAGCATCTGATCAACAAACTCAAACTTTATAACTACAATCAATTTTATCATACCCCAATACAAGTACCTCCAAAATCCAACAGCTTCAAAAGCGGTCTGACAAGCTAAAACCCCGCAAATCCCACAAGATGCACTCACCCTTGTCATCGAGCACGAGATCTCGTGTAGCCGTTCCTCGTATGGCACGGGCCGTATTGCTCCTGGAACCGCACACACACCGTTTCCGTTTCGGTTTGCCACTCCAAACACCTCGTCTGTGCCCTGTTTCCGAAATTTCACAAACCGACACAGCCACAACAGCACCCGTCCGTGACACTGTAGTACCAGCTCGAGACAGGCAAGTATCGGTGACCTTGTGCTAGATTCCCATAGAACTCAGCTGGAGACTGGCGTGACCGGTCATATTCCATGGATTAGCTTAGGGGAGGCCTCGATCAGCACGCAACCTGCGGAACCAACCCAAATAGCACCATGATACGGTATTGTAGTAATGTATTAATTAAGATCTATCGGTAAATATCAATGTCCAACAAACAAACCATGCATCCAAGGCATATCCCATTCCCAGTTTTCCCGGCCGTCGGCACGTCAAGTGCAAAACCCCAAGTCGTTTTCGTCCAGTCATCACACGGAAGTGGTGTTGAATAAAGATATTAAAAAGATACAAGTTATGCAGTGGTGAGTTAGTGGATGATGGTTGATAAGAGAGAATTAAGGAGCTGTAAGTGGCGGTAGTGTGTGATAAGGATAATGCAAACATGAAGCCTGGACCGAAGGGTATACCGTGATATCCGCCCCATGAACAACAGTATCATCATGCCCGCCAAGATTGTTGACCCGTTGTTGAACCCATCCCAAAAAAAAAAAAAGAAAAGACAGGAATCCAAAGTCAAACCGATTTCGCCATGCAGGATTACCATGAGATGATGAAATACGAAACAAGGAGTGAATGGGGTGGAAACCCCTCTAGATGCGGCCGGGAAACCGGCACCGCAGAGTTTGGCCGTGGTCACCAGATGGGAGGCGAGGCGAAAAGAAACGAGCAGGTTGTTGACGTAGGGAGGGCCGGATAGCGAGCTACCTGCCACAGCCACAACCTGCCGACGGCAACCCCCAAGACTCCGCGTCCCATCCGGCGTTGCCGCGGGAGGTAACCCAGTGCCAGCCGTCTGTCGCCATGCCTGATCAGCGTCCGCCTTGGGGAATGATATCAGGGCGGCGTTCCCAAGAACGATCGAAAATAGACAAGTCTGACATCGCATTCGTATGATGATGATGGTGGTGGTCTGGTGGATGGACGTTGATACTGGCGGCGGATAGGTAGTGGTTGCGTGTCCCGGGAATCCTCGGACAGGAAGGTGTGATCAACGTTAAAACGGCGAGCTGCATGGCCAAGCGAAGGGACTCCGTGACTGGCAGTGGTGATGTATGTAGATGAGTGTGTGGGGGGGCCGCAAGGCAACCTTGCCGGTGGGAAAGGTCTCGGGACTGACGGGACATGGATCGACGTCGAGACTATGGCCACTCAGGTGAGAGTCCAGGGCACGAGGCGCGCGGCCAAGGAGCGCTGGGGGGGTACGAGAGCCTGCTGCAGGTTTCGTTTCGTTGCAAGGGTGTAGAGGGGACATTCCGGGTCAACGAGGGTTTCGTCGATGCGGTCATGCAACCCAGGTCGATCGATCGTTAACTCCGCAGTGAACGGCCTTTACCCCAAACCGAGACATTCCAACATGTGGCCGCAGTAAATGACGCCCGACGGCTCATGCATGCTTGTCGTTTCTTCTCCGCGCTTAAATCGTGAGTCGAAAGCAACAAACTTGGTGACCGGATACAAACACTCCCCCGTGGAAGGTCGAAGCGAGATGTCATGTCGTACGACGAGAGCGTAGCATTTGTTCGAGATGGGCGACATATGAATCCAAGATTCCACCGCATGAACCAGTCGCGAGTCCGAGAGTCGATAAACAGAGTCGTAGAGATCTGCCAAAGGATGCGGGTCGGAGACTTTGACATGTCGCATTGTGGTAGTGTTGGGGTGGTCTCGGGATGTGCCTAGCGGTCGTGATGGAGGAGCCGATTTGCCCCTGATTGGCTGACGCAACAAGCAGCTGATCACTCCCTCCAACGGTCCCCACGCGGGGCACACCGCCATGGGCCCGCCCGGGTTGGGAGCAACGTCTCCGCTGAAACGGCATGTCGTCGTCTTGTTACGTTGCGGACTTCGTGTTTCTTTTTTGTTTTCCTCAGCGGGGCTCGAATATCAAAATCACAGGGATCGTCCCGGTTGCTAAAGAACCACCCACTCGCTGTCCCCATATTGCCTGCCCCGGCCCCTCCCGCATTGTCGTGTTCTGGTGTGTTGTGTGTGTATCTGATCGGACGGAAGTCGAAAGGAAGAGAGCTAAATGGGTATCCCCCACCGTCTTCAGCTCCCCTTGCCCGCCACCCGCGTGTCTGCCGTGACTCACGCCAAACCAGTCGGCTGCCACCCTAAACACAGATGACAAGGTTCACGCGTCGCCGCATCTCCCGCGTACACCCCTGGCCCTGCGGCTAGATTCCGGCATGTTCTGCCTGCCCCCTCGCGTAGCCACTGTTGCCCGCCGTCTTCCACCCATGGCCCTTCGCGAGGGCGGCAGGGCGCCACCCACCCCGCCTCCCCCCCTCCCCCACTGCCTCAAAACTCCATCAAGGGAGAATGAGTTTCGGAAGGGTCACGCACTCAAGCGCGCGGTGGCCCCTCCCCGTACCCACTGCTGCCATACACCTGGCCGTGGCTGTGGCCGCTGCTCGTCTGGCTTTGGTAACCATCCGCCACAGAGTAGCTTTCCCAATTCCTGGACGGGCCTGACGGAGCGGAGACGTTGGAGTGGCTAGCGTAGCCGCCACTGTGCCCATGGTGTGTGTGTGTGCTGTGAGGGGTGTGGTGAGATGAAGGTCCGGATAAACCGTATGGCGAGGTGACCGATGACACGCTGTGTGTCGAGCCGCGGTGATCGTAGGCCACTGGTAGCGTCGTGGAAAGGCGCAAACTTGACCCGGTCCCTGGTGAACTGGTTTTCAGAGCCGGCGACATGGCTTTGGAGGCTGGGCCATACGTCGGGCCCCAAGAGGAAGGTCCGCCGGAGAGAGTCCGTGGACTCGTGAGGGAGTCTGCATGGTGGTGGCCGGCGTAACTGACACCCGCAGCGGCCGGGTCGGCTGTGGTGCTCGATGTCGTGGAGACTGGTGTTGGCGGGAGGGCTGGATAGCTTCCGCCGAGGCCCATGGTCGTGGCAACGTGGGGTGATGTGGTCGGGGTCATGACGTTTGTTGTCGTCGAGGCGCTGTACTTGGAGATAATTTTGTACAGGGCCCCTGAGAGATCCTTCCAATGGAACACCTTGACATCCTTCTCAATGTTGCGCGGCTTTGGGTTGCCGAAGCCCATAATGACCTTGAAGAATTCCTCGCTCTCCGAGCGGGCTTTGCTGACGGTCGCCGGGCGGAATCCCTCGAGGTTTCGGCGGATGCGGTTCTTCTCGTCGACGCCGAACCGGTTTGGTGCGGCGAGGAGCTGCTCAAGCAGGTGGATAGTGTCGACCGACGTGACGTAGCACGCTTGTTTCTCCTCCCACCAGATACAACTAATGCAGATGCTGTGAGGTGGCCGCTCTGCCGCGCTGACGGCTTTAAAGCTGACGGTGAGAACGCTCCCCGTTTGCTGCTTCCGAAAGAGCACCAGCCTGCGCTTGCTCTCCCACTCTTCCTGGCTCCATCCCTCGGCCATGGTGGAGAGATCGCCAGCAATTTTCAGTGTTGCCTTTTCTTGGTAAACGCCATAGCCGGGGAACCCGCCGGCGGGTTGGGCCAAAGTGCTAGTTCGGATGAGCTGTGGTGTAGTTGATGCTTGGTGTTGTAGCGGGGTCAAGATCGAGCGAGACACGGAGTTGTGTGCACTGTGAGGGTTGTGTGCGAGGCCTGAATTAGGGGCCCGAAGGGGATCGAGCTGGTTGCCGAACATCCATCCGGCCCCATGGGGTGACCGGAGCATGGACGGATTTCGCGGGTAGTGGTCCGTGAAGGAACCGGCGCGGTATGATGACAACATGGTGTTGCTTCCTTGGTTGTAGGCTCCCGTAGTAGAAGGAGAGAAGTCGGCGTGTGCATGGCTCTGGGATTGTATTTGCGCCGCAGCACTCGCGGTCGAGACACTGGGGGAGAAGCCGTACGTATTTGAGGATGTTTCATGGGGAAGGCCATGTTGGGTGGCAGGGCTGTCAGACTTTCTCCGTCCCTGTGAAGCTTGGTGTGGTGGGCTGGCCCGGTGGACAGGTGATCGGGTCTTGGGAGACCCCAAGTCGGGCGGGCTACTGTCATCAGGCACCGCAGCGGCCCCTGCCCCTGCGCCGCTTTGCACGTCAAGGTATGAGAAAACACCCACATTTCCCACCCGTGTCATTTCGTCCCCGTTTCCGTTCTCCAGCAGGAGCGTCACGGGAACGTTGCTAAAAGATGGGCAGCCCGTGCTCAAAAACTGAGGTGCTTCGGCTGTGAGGGTGTAAGTGCAAACGCCGTTTGCATCTCTCGAATCCCTCGACACTTGCGCAGAACACCGCTGAGACCCGAAAACCAGCGACACGAACGGCGGAGACGCGGTCACGCTATTGCCGACAAGATCATACTGGCACGTCGCCTTCAAGGATACCTTAGTCCCGGGCGGGCCACGGCTGGGGTGGCAAGACAGGATGTTGATGTTGGCGCCAGTTGTTACTTGTGTTGCGAGGTACTGCCCCGCTGCCGCGTTGTTGGCTGCAAAGGCTATTTGGTTGAGTTGTGAAGCCGCATTCTCCGTTTGCTGGGAAAAGGACTGGGAAGGGTAAGGCGAGTAGTCTGAGTCTGCATACCCTAGAAGACCATGAACACACCAGTCAGCTGCTGAACCTCGCTCACGAGAAAGACGACAAACGTACCGTGCAGCTGAGCCGGCTGCGCCTTATACGCAGACATGGGCATTGGCAGGAGACCAGGCGGGCATCCCCCGCTGAGGTCTCCTCCGTTTCGAGCCGCTTCCTCCTCCAACCGGATCGTCAGTGTTTCGGGTGACTCGATCTGTTCGTCGAGGATGATGGTCCGGTGAGGATGGTAGCCGGGCTGCCAACACAAAGTTAGCTGTGCTTTGGCAAAGGCCAGAAACGCTGCATCAAAATGCGCTCTCAATGGAGGAGCAAGTCCCTTGGCAGCTGAGCCGGATCAAGGCGAACCACAGAAACAAGAGACAACACCGGCGCCCGGGTTCTCGGTTTTCCACTAACCTCGTACACCTTGTAAACAGGCTGATGAATCTTGGTCGCAGACATTCAAGCTGATTTCTCCGAATATTCGTGGGTATCAAATCGCTTTCTGGCGTCAACCAGGGCGGAGGGTGTGTCGAGCGCCGGGCGTCGGTCGTGGGTACAGCGTTGTTCGAGAACCCTTCCAAGGTCGATCTGGGCGCCAAATCTGAGATCTGATAACCCAACTCTGTCAGCCATCACGGTCCCACAGTACCTGTCGCTTAGATCCAGGACACTGGCTCGGATATGGGCCAAGCCCCAGTGGACCACTGCGGGGGAGAGAATGTCATTGTCGACTCACCTTCGCACGCGCCTCTGACACACAAGGCAATGCCGAATGCTGAGATTTGTATCTCTCTGAAGTCAAGTTCCCCCGTGTGCTAAACAGACCGTTTAAGACAGCCAGACCAAGTCTTTGACAAAATCTGGATGACGGACTGATTGCGCGGTGGGGACTCTGACTTGCAGCGTGGGAAAGCCGGCGAACCCAATTCTCAGACTGGGTTTCAGGCGCTGATATCTTAGCTTGGCCCAGATGACAGGCGTGCTTAAAGAAAAGCAATTTGCATAAAACTGCGCAAAATGTCGGTCAGCATCAACTTTGAGTACAAGACAGGGATTAGATCAAGCCCATGGACCCTGAGTTTCCAGCAATAAAGCTCCTCCGATGTCCCGACCGGGCCCAGGGCCTGCGCCGATGATGGGCGCGGAGCCTGAAGCCGCGGGGGGATGGGGGCAGGGGCACGAAATGGCACTTACTCGGCTGCTGATTGGCACAAAAGGCCTATTCGTCCTCAAGTATCAAGAGCGGTTGTCGGGGCGGGGATGGCGGAGATTAGGTTTGATTGTATGCAGCTATCCTGAACCTGTTCGCATGATGATATGTCAGAACGTTTGCAGTCGCCAGCAGCAGGTATCCGTGAACGGTTCGTCCGGTGTGTACGTGAGCCTGAGTGGTGGAGCGGCGAAGAAGAAAGGATAAACTGAACCCCTGAGCGGAGCAAAGATGAGGGAGCAGGAGCGGTACGCGAGTTGTGTTCAAGACAGAGTCAAGACAACAGACACTACGCCTTTGATGTTCTGGGGGCAGACGAGAAGATGAAGTGGGATACCGCGAGTGGTGGAATGGACAAGGCAACACAGACCAGCAGCAGCTTGCATATCTGGGGAGGGTTGGAGGATCAGCTCGGCGAGCGCTCAGCAGGCTCCAGAATGTGGGTTGTGAGCTTGAGATCAGGACAGGCGCGCCCACCGGCAAGCTTTCCGTCTCGCTCTTAGTTCCCTGGCAGACAGACAGACAACCCCTTCGGTCTTGTCGACGGCCCCGCGGAACGGTGTGCCAAGAATGTGAAAGGCGACTCAAGCGTCTCTCACCCGGGCAAAGTCCGGAGACTCTATGAGCGCTCGGGATACCAGCAGGTGACAACGACGACGAGCAAGCAGGAGGGATGGCGTGCGGGTGAGAACAGGGATAGGAACTGACCCAGCCGTTGAATGCAAGATTCCATGGTCTCCGGGAGAGAGATGTGGATCATGCAAGGGTCATTGGGGGGTGGGGAACCGGCGTCGACATATGTGTGTGTGTGTGTGTGTGTGTGTCAGGTTGCAAGGATGGAAAGAGTCGAGAGGTGGGAGAGCATGTCTCCAAGAGCTTGTTTGAGAAAGAGAGAACTGGAAAAAAGGGAACACGATGTTGCCAGCAAGGGCCGGTTCGCGGCATGGACCACGAAGACATGCTGAGAGAGCCCAAATGGCAGATCAAGACAAATATGGGCAAGACGCGACGCCAGTGGGAGCCCCGAAAATCTCGGAAGGAAGCGCAAGGCCAGAGAGAAAAGCAAAGCCTAGCGGAATGGTGAGTGCAGGGGGCGATGGCCGGTGGGCGGGAGGTACCTGTACTCGCTCACTCCCCTGTGGGAAGCTGGGAGGATATCTCAACGCCGATGGGGTGGCTTGTGAAACGCTGGGCAAAGTAACAGGGGGATGTCTGGCCGAATGAGGGCGAGGAATGGCAGAAAGTGAATGGCTTGGCCCACCTGCAAGGCTGGTCAGCGGAGTTTACTATTGGATGGTGTGTGGAGCGAGACCTGGTAACCTGCAAGCACAGGGGGAAAGAGATCGTCTTTCGCGGATCTGGGACCCCAGATCAGCTGCGCGGCAATCCTCTGATCCCTGTGATCGAAAATACGACGCTCGGTCGCCGGACGGCACTTCCACGGTCGCCGGTTGACGCGTTAGTGGCGATCAGTCGGAAACGAGATATGAATGCCGCCGACCGTGGCAGAAACTGGGGGAAATCTCCGACTCTGCCAGCTACCCCGAGGAGGGATACCGGAGGGACTCGGACGGAACCAACGCCGCAGATCGGCGGTGCAGCCCGGTCGGCCCTGGCAGCGGTACTGCGGTAGTGCTGAGTAGACGGAGCTGGGGGCGGGTATTTGAGTGGCCTAGGCGCCGATCCGTCAATTAGGGAGCTGCCGCTTCAAGCGTCTGAGGGGTGCCGTGTGGGGGGGAAACAGATCCGAGCACCCTCACGACGCTACCTCTCCGACGTTTGCTATCATGGGGTTACATGGCAGCTGTCATGTTCCCAGAAGCCCACGGCGGTGACGGCAGTGACTGGGAATCTCCAAGCTAGCGTTCACCGGCCCAGCTCGCCAAATCGCGAAGCCCCCTGTAGACCCGGACCCGGGCACAGCAGGCCACGGGGCGGCAGCACCCGCAGCTCGGCACGCTGGGATGGGACCAGCGCTCGCCGAGGTTCGCGAACGCCGCAACCAATGGCTCGACAGCGAGCTGAACCGGCCGGGCTTGAGACGCGGAACGAAAGCCTTGAGCCAGCTGAGTGGCGTAGCAGCAGGAGACGGCAAGGCAAAGCTGAAAAGAGGGTCGTAGTGAATGGCTTGGCAGCACTTACCAGGACCCCTGATCCAACCCTTGATATTCTGGCGAGAAGCTACCAGTATGGCAAAACAGGGTCGTGTCTTTGTCGGATTGCTTCCCACAATACAGCAGAGCGTCCAAGCCAAGACGGACAAGTGGTGTTTTGGGACGCGGGGTTCTTGTCCTCCAATTGATGATAGGCGGGATACGGAGCGAGTGATGAAAAGATTTGCTGGCAGAGGACCCAGTTGCAACAAGTAACCAGAAATGCGATTCGCCCAACAAGTTCGATAATTATATATGCGACGCGGTGAAGGGGCTGGCAAGGGACTCGTAGGGACGTCCAAGCGGGTGAAGGTTTCCCTGGGGACGGTGAGGATGCTCATGTTGACGGAGGCGTACGGCGCATATAAAGCCAAGGTCGAAGGTGGCCGCCCAGCCATGTTGATACGACGACACCGTCGTTGGCTCTGTGGCCTCACTCACAGCTGCGCAAGTTCGCCGCACCCTTTTCGATCACGACAGCAGGCATGGCCGCAGATAAACTGCAGAAACAGCGAGTATCCCGGGGGGTTCGCACGCCTGTTGGAGGCCGAGGCATCACCGATTGTGCAGCCAGGCGCTGGCCCGAGGGAGCACTGGTGGATGAGTGCGTGTGTTTCTTCCAGGGATCAGGCATGGTCGAAGGGGAAAACTGCGGGGAGGGGGAAGACACTTAGATGCTGTCTAGACATCTGCGAAGATGTGGTTGAACAGGAATATTGCTTTGTGGCAACTACGGACGTAGTGCATACCTGTCAAGCTGGCGTGCTGCACATGTGTCTGCATTGACAAGCCGAGATCGACCACGGGAACCAGGGTCCCCGATCTCTGTCCGCCGTTGGGTGAACTCAGGCCCTGTAATTCGACGTGTTGTGCCTTGGACCGTGGCGCGGGGAAACAATGCGAGTGGCTGAGCGCCGTGAAACGTGGTGTCTAGGGTATTATGCCGTTAGTGGTAGGCGAGCAAGGGAGAGCCGAGTCTGCCCGAAAACATGCATGAGCAACCTTCAGCCTCGATGCAGCATTCAACAGGCACTTCACGGCCAGCGTCGAACGGCCCCAAACTGCAGCATCATGATGGCACCCATCGTGATTAAAACGATCATGTGAAGATGCTGAATCTCGTCGCCAATGCACCCTCCGTGTCATACTTTTTGATTGTCCTCTGAATCGAGGACCGGCATCTTTATCGATGCACGTAAATCAGGTAAAAATTGGAATTGAAGATTTTCAGATGTCGAGCCCCACACACATGATCTAGATGCGGACGGTGAGAAAAAAAGAGATAAAAATAAAGTGCAATTGGGTGGAAATCGTGCCTGCCGGCCGACTCCGAGTTAGCCAGCTTCACGTTCCTTCCTAGGTAGGTACCAAAATCCAGGGCCAACCCTAAAAAATTGTTGAGCGGTACTTAGGTAATTTAGCTGCCTTCCGAGCTCAAGTTTACCTAGGTATTTCTCAAGGTTGGCGATTGCTCAAAACTGCATCTTGAATCCCGAGGTCTGTTTTCTGACCGCATTCTCCCTGTTCGCACCCGCTTCCTTCCACGGCTTCACCGCATGGATTTAGATCCGATCGCCCTCTCACCCGGCAAATCGAGATCATGCGGGAAGCATTCCACCCAGACGAGATCCGCTCATGTACCTGGTAAGCACTTGGAAATCAGTGACACAACACGCGATGAGGGTCGCCTGCATCAATCTACGGACCACCTCCCGTCAGCTGAGACCAGCTGAGACCTGGGATTTTCAAGATGGCGTTGCAGCATCTGCAGCATCTGCACATGCTCAACCCAGATCACGACGCCAACACGCGCGATCTACGGCCGTACAAGCATCTCCAGATTTGACGGCCTCCCGCGAACTTGCCTGTCCCTGGTGCAACGTTTGCGTCGACGGACCCATCAAGACGGCTTCCGGGAGGTGCGGGTACCCGCGCAAGGAGTGACTACTCGTTCGTGTGCCACAATGCACCAATGTGCACCATCATTCCCTCCCGAGTCTCCAACCAAGCTCGCACAAAAAGCTGGTGCGGAATCTGGGCCAAGATTAGGTACCAGGATCTCGGCAGTCCATCCGCGCCACCACCAAACATGTCGCAGATCTTAGGCTCGACCCCCATTCTTAGTTGTGTTCCAGGCTCAGCTCACCGCAGGGCTAGTGAGGCTAGAGCTCGCTTGAACCGCACTTTGCTCGCTGAGGCATTTTATGAATTCTGACCGGACCGTTTCTAAACAGACTCCTACCCAACTTGGACTACTTTCTCATTCATCAATTACCACTTGCCAACACACAGGCCTCAGCCGAGGCACAGTCAGGCAATGACCACAATGGAGATGGGATCGAGACAATGCCCGTTTTTGCCCACACACCGTCCAAGTGAGCCTGCATAAAATGCTACGTGGTTTGGAACTGACGCCGTCCCTCCTGCGGGAGTATGGAATAGTGGGAGTTGAATCTGGAGCAGACCCCCCGTCTCACTTTGCTGCATGATCGTGGTGTAATTAGGGAGCCCCACAAACGCATCTCATCTCAGACTTCCAAACGCAGGTCCAAGGGCGAAAAGCAGCTTTCCCGTTGCAGTGACCAAAACATTGAGCAGCGTGTACGAAGTATGCCATTAGTTAACGCACATTTAGCCGCCGTGTTCCGCAGAGATCGCCATGGGCGTCTGTCTGCTTGCGGTACCTCAAGGGTGTTTTCTTCAGAGTTCAAACTCTGCTATGTTGACACCGTCCACGCATGAATGCATCGAATGATGGGGGTGTCATTGTGCGTATCTCAGTCAACAAGCACCACGGTCGGTCATTGCACAGTACAGTTGACGACGACGGCGGCTGGTACCAGATGCATAACCCACCATCACAGAAAGGAGTTTGGTTGGCGAACCGGAATCGGCCCTTGAATGGTTGGGGTTTCCTGGTGATGTGTTTGAATTACAGTCGGGGGTAAACCGACACCGCTTTTCTGCTATGGGTAGGTGCTTGTCCTGCGGGATGCCGCAACCTCGCACCATCTCCTGCTTGATCCCTCGATCCTGCCGCAAGGCGAAAACGGCGCATCATCTCGAGCCATCTCAGCCAGTCGTGTGCTGCCGAATGTGTACCGTTACGCCCGTAACCGCTCTTAACCGCCAGCCAGGCGAACATTCAGACGCCGGCTAGATGATATTGCGCTATGTCAGAAGAGCAAACCTATCGCAACTTCCTGCCATGCAGCCATCTTCCCCTCTGGGACTCGACTAACACGATCCAAGGTCTTTATGGCGAACTGAACACGGCCGAACCAGAATGCATACAGTGGAACAGGAGCCAAACCAGAGCCAGATCTCAGACATGGAGCAGGCAGGTGGATTACAACAAGCGAAACTGCGTGTCCAACCTGGGTGTGCAGGGACCGGGTCGCTTGAGAGTTGGGACCAGAAACCAAACGTCTCACCCCAGGGGCAAGGGACCACGTGTTGACCGACCATCGTGGATTCTGGCCCATCCCCTGCTGCACATTCACTGGCATCTCGTGCATCGCAGCTATTTTGGACCATCAAGAGTGGCGGAGCATCAAGATCCTGATTAACCTTCTCTGTTGCTCCTCCTTACCTACAACATCCCGCCCTCAGACGTGACGACATGTCTGAGTCCAGTGGGACGGTCCGCCCCCAGTCAAGACTCCAAGTACGAACGGTGCGCCCTCTCCACGAGCGGGATCAAATGGCCCATGCTTTCCTTCGGCCTGGCACCTTGAGTATTGGGATTTCACCAGGAGCTCGATCGCGATGATGCCGGGTCCCGCAGTGAAATGCAGATACCCATCGCCTGACCCTCCGACGGCCAACAGAAAGCCGGGCATCTCGGCGAAGCGCAGCATGCCCGATGCAAACGTCCACCCTGTTTGCGGATCGTTAACGGAGGAGAAGGGCGAACCTCGCTCCGATCAGCAAAATGGATGTCCCTGAGCGGGTAACTTTTCCGGCCTCATGGATGATTCGTGCCATGTTGGGCGTTCCTAACCGCCCCGATCTAATTCGTCATGGAGCTTCCGCGGAGCTGCCCCGATGTAGTGCGGCGCCGCAGTCACCACATGCCGACCGCCTTCTCCCTCTTTCTTCCCAAGCTCGCGGAAGTTATTCCGTTGCGAGGACGGAGCGACACCGGCAGAGGAGTTTCGGCGTCGTGCTCAGCAAGCCCCAGTTCAACAAGCAGCGCATTTGTATCCGACGCTGACTCGAGAGGAAAGCAAGCCCAAAGTTTCACTGTCATCTTCAACAAAAAGCCAGGCTGAGCCGCGGCCGCGGCCACTGATCACTATTAGCACTGAGAAGCAAGTCTGTCTAATACCGTGCAAACGAAAAGAAGGCCAGTTTGCAGTGATGGCCCCTGTGTCATTTCATGCAGGTTCTGATCTGCCCAAGGAGCCCTGTCAGTTATGACCCTTTCTTTTGATCCACGATCCCAACCCTGGCAGGGGCGATCCCGCACCCCTGGAGTGTGATTAAGTACCCAGGAAGACCGGGGCTGCAGTGATCGCCGACCAGGATAGGCGGACCAGTCCCCTTGAGGACTGAGCCCTTGCTCTTCCGATCCTAGCGTCGTGATCCTCTGGCCTCCCAACATTTCCAACTCGCCATCGTCAAGCTTTTTCCAATCTTAAGGGTGCTGAGAAAGGAAAAGAAATTTCGCGTTCCGTCGCGGACCGGACACGTGTATCCGGTACCTGGCCTCTCCCCCTAGTAATCCTCGCAATTATCGGCCTGGGCACAAAGCCATCGGTGGATTAGCGGCCCGGTAGCTCGCCGATCTCGTTTTTAGGGCGGCCTGACCGCCTGAGACGATCTCAACGGCCCGCAGTCAGACATTTTCACACTCCCCCACTGTTGGCGGCGCCGGCTTGTTCCACCCGCAGGCCAGCGAAGCAAAGACGCCCGTTCCTAACGCCTCCCAACGCCTCAACAGTCGGTTGGAATCTCCGGGACTGGCAATTGGGAGCTGGCAATTCGGGACTGGCACAATGGCACCCCGCGTCCCGCTCTTGGTGGCTGAGAGACGCAGCCCCGGAGTGACCCAAAGGGTACCCCCCCTGCGCCGCGATCCCGGCAGCCCAATTCGACCGTCTGGATTCTTGCGTATTGTGGCTTGTTTCCCTCTTCGCCGCCACCCGCTTGATCGCAAGCGCGCTTTGTTGGTCGTGTGTTGCTTCCCAACCACCCTCCCCCCCTAAAACGAACTGGGGTTTGTCACTTCCAGACACACACAACTCAAGCAACGCCCAATGCAAGAGACCTAAAAGGGCAGGAGCAGAGAGAATGTGACGGCTTTCTCGGAACTGTCAGCGGGGATTATCGCTGCCCGGCGACGAGAGAATAGGGGCGGTGCGGATACCATCGGGCAGGTCGGGCTGATGATCCCTCTTGGCGCCATGTCCCGATCCGGGCCCCTGATCAGTGATCTGCCGGAGGATTCTCGATCCCTCTCAGAGAGACCTCCCTCTTTCGTAGTCCTCTGCTGTGATGATGAGCATGACGATAGCCGAGTGCCCACGCCCTGGCTCTCTGGTGGAGGACGAGCGTGCGAGTTACATCATCACATGCACCGCTCGTCTCAGGCTAGTTAAACGAACAACGAGACCGGTGTTGTTCTTGTCCGCAGCCTCCTCAGCATCCCCTGGTGAAGATGTGCAGCACCGAGGCCTTTTCTGGCGATAAATTACTTCATGTTTTCGCCAACGAGCGCTGGGGTGAACTCCTCGACGGCCAGTTACTGACTAATCGTTACTTTGGTGGCTCTTGGTCGTACCACCGGCCTCAACTTCTCCCGTCTGTCCGTCCTCCACCTGCTTCCTCGACCGTGGCGTGACGGGGGTCCTGATGGCGGAAGATCCCGCATTGTCCACGTCCGCCCCATGTACCGGTACCGAAGCTCATCTGACGAGATCGGACTGGGTCGGAAAGAGAGGTGTGAAGTTTTCCGAGCAAAAACAGTCATTAGCAACTCGTCACGAACAAGATCTCGTAACCAACATCCACTCATGAGGCTCCTAGCGGCGATCACTCGAGGCTGTTGCCAACGTAAGAATGGAGCGGCCAAGCAGTTTTCGTGTCTTTGAGACAGACCGGGCTAGATCACGGATCGGCCAGATGGGGATTAGGATGACGATAGCCCATGCCGTGGACTCGGATCGGTATTGAGGCCAAGCCAGGGAATTACAATTACAATGCGGCGATCGCCAACCCGGGGAAGATGACACGCGGGCGATGGATTGCCCGACCACCCGACAGATCCGAATAGGGGCGGCGAGGGCAATGAGAGCCAGCCCCAAATCGGCCTCGAGAACCGCACCTGAACCAATTTGATATCGGAAATATTATCGTAACCCAGGGCTTCCCTACCATTCCGGTGCTGTTTCTTCTGCAAAGAATGCTAGACAGATCGCACTTCTTTTCTCCGTGTCTTAGCATTCCGAACAGCCCGACTGGCAGGGCATCTTCAAGACAACCCCCACCCCTAGCAAGAGATTTGCTCGAAGGGCGGAACGTCTTCCGTCCGAGGGCAATCTGATTGGCCGACTGGAATAACATTGGGTTCTAGGGAGAGAGCCTACGAAGCAAGACTCAAAGGCAAGAAACTGTAGGTTGCTATGTATGAAGTCGTAGCTCACCTCTTCTCACTGTAACCTGCGATACTCATCATGCTTGCACTTTCCTTCGCGATGACAGACTGCCATGACTTTGAAATACCCATGCCTCTTGAGAAAAGGCTGTAAATCATGTGTGACTCCATACATGTTTGCTACCAGTCCGACGGATTCGTGATCCAACCCGAACGCCGAGTAAAACAGTATTGCCATCAACCATCCATGCCTACTCAAATGAGTAGATCACCGCTCTGTTGATCTAGTATCGGTTGGACATGGCGGGAGAGGGGAGTTGTCGGGCATGGAAACAAAAAAAGAAGCGGAACGGACGTCCGTCCTAACCTGGAAACTCTATCGACTAGCAATACAACGTCGCAAACTGATGTTCGGCCATGTTACCCAAAAGGGCACTGCCGCGCACAAATACATCCTCAAAACGTGACGCCGTTACAGGCTGCTACGTAGGCCGCAGCAGGTGCAGAAGTCTTTTTCCCGTCGAGGTCGCCCGCTTCCGAAAAGAACGTGGTAGATACAGCCTCAAAATCAAAGATTACCTATTTCGTATTCGGATATCAACTACCAAATTGGTCTTTCGCCATCGAATAAGTACACCGGGTAGGGTAGCAGCCCGCCTAGGATATGTACAAACAAACGGGCAACAGCCTCACCTTCGAAATCTCCCAAGCCAGTATGCAGACGACACCCGAGAGCAGGCCCCTGTCCGCCGGGGAGGCCCTTCCCGAGGGGACCACCATCGGCAAGAGCACCGCGGAAGAACGCCTCTCGTTACAAGTACCATCGGAAGACGTCCCACGTTCCCGGCCAGGCCTGCCGGCCGACCTCACCCTCTTAGGAATCACCGTCCGAGATGGCAGCCAACCACAGCCTGAGTCCGTGAGGGCTGACAGCAAATCGGGGTATCTCTCGGGCTGCTGGGAGAGCAAAGTTCCTGCCAGTGGCGACGACGAGGTGTCTCTGCGTGTTTGCTCTGGTGTTGACCTCCATTCCCACTTTCACCGACTCGGCCAGCAAGGTTCCCGAAGTCCAGTTGACATGTGTTGATTTGTCTGACCGTCACTGGTCAGTAGCGTGCGACAATTCTCTTTGCGACACAAGGCATACCCAGCAAGGCAGCCTACCTTCTATCAGCCCACTCTCTCTATCCTTGCTCCTGTTTCTTTATCTCTGTTGCTGTTGTAACCCTAAGCCAGGCAAACGAAACGCAACAAAGCGACACGAAACGAAACCAGAGGGGGCGCGGCAACATGGCTACCCGTTTCGAAACCCCGAGATCATCTCAACCCCTCCAACAGCGCCACCAGCCTCTCCCACTCCTCACTCCCCTCCCAGTTCTCCTTGGCCTTGCCCACGACACTCCGGACGGCGCTCCGGGCCTTGCCCTTCCACCTGGTGCCGATCTCGGGCACCTCCTCGCCATAGTTCTCGAGCATCGACACCAAATCATCCGTGCGCTCCACCACCGCCCGCCACCCCTCACGATCCTCCAACCAGCTCCGCCCACCGCCACCACCATCCCCCTTCGCACTCGACGGCAACAACCCACCCCCACCCCCACCCGCACCAGCAGAGACGCCCGAGACGCCGCCCACCGCCGCGCGCCACGCGCGCTCGGAAGCGTCGACAGCGCCCGCGTAGTCGGCTCGCCACACGCGCTCGCGTGCCACCAGCTCCCACAGCTCCGACCGCGCCGTCACCAGCGGGACGACGGTGCCCTCGAGGAAGTCGCACACGTTCCTCTGCGGCGTGCCCCGCGGCGGCTCATACACACCCGCCTTCTTCGTTCCCTGTTTCCCACCGTTTGTAGTCGTAGTAGGTGGAGCAGAAGAAAAAGAAGAAGGAGCGGGCTTCTCTGGGCCCAGCACAGCCTCGTTTAGTAGCAGCCGCAGGATGTCGATATCCAGTGCGTCCTCGGTGGCGCGGATGCGCGCAACGCTGCGCAGGGCTAGGAGGAGGTCGGACACGGGTAGAGGCCGCAGGCGGGCGGCGAGGGTGACGACGTTGTCCCAAATGCGCCAGTTGTCGTGGGCGATGCTGGCGCCGCGCTTGTAGGCGGCGAGAGCCTGCGTGAGGAGCGCTGAGGGGTCGGGTTGTGTGCTCTTCTTGGAGGAGGGGGTTAGGTCTTCTTCTTCGTCGTCGGCCGCGGCTGTTGCTGCAGGGGCCGTAGCGGTGGCAGTGGCGGCGGGTTCGTCGGCTATGCCGGCTTTTTTTTGCTGCTTGAGTTTCTTGACACACTCCACGTAGAGGCTGTAGTAGGCGCTACCTAGGTTGCTCCATGTGCGGGCGTCCTCGCCGCCGGTGATGTTATCGGAGGAGGCGATGGCCCTGCCGAATGCCTCAGCAGCGTCGGAGAAGTCTCCAAGCCGTAGACTGATGTCGCCCCATGCGGTTCCAAAGTTCCGAGCTGAGCCGGTTGACGGTAACCGCCTTTCGGTAGGCGTCCCTTGCACGCTCGATGTCCTTCTTCTGTAGGTAGTACTCGCCGAGGGATTTTTGTGCCCTCGCGAACCGGTGTTTGGAAAGCTCCCAGGCTCGTTCGTAGTGCGCGGGGTCGTCCTCGATGTCACCGAGGATGCACCACAAACGGGGCGCGTTGGGTGGAGCAGGTTGGCGTTCTGGCCCGTGGTAATCTGCCTCCTTTAGCTCATCAACATCCACCTCTTCTATCTCGCTAGACTGATCCTGCTGCTCCAGCGACGTCCCGGTTTTGTGATACAAGCGCCATCGCAGGATGGCCTTGGCCTTGGCTTCCCCACTGCTCCCCCGTCCATCCTCGTCCTCTTTGGCCGCGTTGCTGGCATAACACAATGCGACTTCGGCCCAGAGTCGGAGCCGCTTGAAGATTTCGAGAGCAGAAACCAACGAACCGACACCAGCCCACGAGTAGGCGAGCTCTGACTCGAGATGCCACCTGGGAGGCGAGCTCAGGGCGTGAAGGTGCTCGAGGCGGACATGTGCTGGAGCCGATTCCGTTGGTTTCGCGGCGGGGAAGAAGGAGGTGGGTTTGTTGTCCGGCTTGGGGGCTTCATCGCGATCTCCCGTGATCTTGATCTCCGGAACAGCGGCCTCCAATTCCTGAACGGGCTCGGGAGTATCCTCGGCAGTTGGTTGAGTGGTATCAACAATGACTTGGTCAACCACGGCCTGCATCTGGAGCACACCTCGCTCAATGGTCCTGCTGCGGTGCATCTCGATCCTGGACCGCACTAGAAGTGCGTGGGTGTAAATTTGCCAGTTGGTGGACTTGTCTGAGATGACACGGACAGCGAACGGAAGGACCTCCTCCGAGGTAAGGGTATCGGCTGGTGAGAACGCATCCTTCACTGTCGCCTCGGCGAGGAGGATGATCTGATCCATGGGTGACAGTTGTGGCTGCTCATCCGGCGACAAGTCCCTCAAGGGTGCCGGTAGTTCCGACTTCGGGTCCTCCTCCGCCTTCTCCTTAGAGAACTCGACATCTTCCAGTAGCGTATCGTCGTTGAGCGCGAGCGCCTGCGGTTTCGCCTGCTCGTCGTCGGTTTTCACACCCTCCCCACTCTTCGCCAACACCACAAGCTGGCTGGTACTCTTTTCCTGGAACTTTGTCCTCTTCCCTAGTGCACCAGAAAGAGCGTAAACGAACCCGCTCAGTGCACTTGCCTTCTGCAGCGCCTCCTTAGCCACGCGGTCTAGCCCCAGCGAGATGCAGACATTCGCCTTTTCCACCAAGAACTGCACCTTCTCCAGGTCACTCCACGCTTTCCCACCGCCCACAATCTCCTCCTCCAACGCCTGCAGCCCCTTCTCGATGTCGCCCTGCAAACTCGGCACATCACACCACTGCGACGCCTTGTTGAACACCGAGCCAGGCCCCAAACTAGGCTGAGTCAACAGCTTGTAGTGCCAGACACGCACCCTCAGGGCCAGCCACTTGGGTGACCTGGCCGCAGCCTCCGCAACCCCAACAGCACCCTCATCCCCACCACCCACCCCTTCCCCAGCCGGTTGTGCCGCTGACGCAACCAACACATGCCGGGCCAAGCAAAACACCTCCACCAAGGGCACATACTCATAAACCGACACACCATCCACATCCAACGAGCGCAAGCACGCCTTCCTCACATCCCGCTTCCCCTGCTGCTGGTCGCCCGTCGTCGAGCAAAACCGCCCCTCCACGCGCCGCAGGGTCTTGTCATCCAGCACCGGCCCCGTGACATTGCCCTGTAAAAAGGCATTCAGCGCGGCCAGGCCGACAGCCAGCCTGTCCTGGGGGGACACATCTGTGGTTTTTGTGCTGGCGCCGTTGGTGTCTTGCTGCGTCAATATTGTTGGTAAAGAAGAGCTGACAAAGTCATCGATCAGATGCCCCGCGGCGTCGCTGAGTAGAACATCGAGGTACCTCCCGGCGTTGAGCCAGTCGGTGAGGGTGGAGGCCATCGTAGATTGGATATACGAAAATGCGTGGATGGGAAATAATGTCAAGAAAATGTATTCACCCAATTTCCATATCACGAGGATTCCCACCTTCTTCAGTGGGTTGGCTGTGCGGTTCGATGGAGGGGCAGCCGAAATTCTTCAGCACAGAAAAATAAAGTGGGGACTCTGATGGCGGGGTTGTTGAACGCAGCCTAGCGATTAGATAAGAGAGGTCAACGGCCCGCTCGAGAATGCCATCAGCAACTATTGGAAACCAGGAGGGAAGCCAGTCATGCACACATGAATGAAGTAGCGAAGGATACATGTTTTCCTTGTTTTCTTTTTCCACTCGTTAGTTACATAGTCAGCTGTTCCGTTACATATAGGTAGCTACTACCAGAATACAGCGCTTTAGGTCCAAACACTGCTACATACTACATGCCGCCTCCACATGACCACCGCCCAAAGTCAATCTCACGCTCAGTTATCCATTCTGGTTTACCCGCCCTCATGTGCCCCCGGAGCTTCAACCTCCTCCGTATACGGAAACTAGTCGACGGGGAATTCGGCCTATTTCTTGCCTTTGTTCTTCTTGCTGGCGACCACACGGAAGCCGGGGATGTCGTCTCTGGGCGCGGTGGAGCTGCTGCCGCCCGCCGAGAGGCTGGCACCGCCGCTGCCGCTGCCGCTGCCGCCCTTCTTGGCCACTTCGTTCCAGCCGCTGTTCTTGCCCTCGGTCGTCGCACTAGCCGGTTCCTTCTCTACGACGCCTCGGTCGGCCAGCTTCTTGCGCCGGACAAACTCCTCAGCAAAGTGCCGACCGTCCATGGTCGTGCTATTCCCATACACAGCCTCGGAAAGGATGGCGGGATCCAGGGGCATCTCCAACAAGGCAACAGCAAATTGTTCGACTAGGAGTCCGACTTGTTAGTATGCACGACGGACTGGGGGAACGGGGTATGAGTAAAACTTACTGTCTGTGACCCCAATAAGGCCACGACCCAACTCGCGGTGCAGCCACTTCTTGAACTCCTCCATCGCCCAGTCCTTAGCGTCCCTGGTCGTTGTCTGTCCCGGCCTGGTCGCCGGCTTAGCCAGGATGGGAGACGACGTTCCCTTGGCGTTGCCGACGCTCGGGGAGCGGCTCTGAACCGCAGGGCCCGTCGGAGCCTTCACCTTCCCGCCTGCGCCAACCGTTGCCCAACCGCCGCTCTGGGCGGGCTGCGCAGCCATTGCAGACGCCATAGGGCCGGGCGACCCCGAGCCCTTACTGGCGAGATCGGCGTACCGCTTTCCGATCGAGGGCACCGGCGTAATGCTGGCCTGCGTGGCAGCGGCGGCAGCCGCGGCCTCTTTCGCAGTCTTCTGCTTCCGCAGCTCTTCCTCCCGCTGAATGTCGGCGAGCGTCTTCTTAGACGCCGTGCTTCCAGAAGCCGCCGCAACTACCGCCGTCTTCAGCGTGGCAGGTTGTTTCCACGGGCTACCGGCGGGGGCACCCACCGGCGATCCGGTACCCCAAGTGCTCGCCGCCGGCAAGCCGGAGCTGGCCGCCGCCGCAGCTGCCTTCTCGCGCTCGCGCTGAAGCGCGACTTCTTGCTCCAAGGCTGCCCTCCTCGCTGCAGCCGCCGCCTCTTCTTTTTTGGCCGCTTTCTTGGCCTCGGCCTCCTGAATCTCTCTTAGGCTCGGGCCCTTTTGTGTCTCCGCGCCAGGCTGAGGGGCCCAGGGGGCGGTGGGGGGCGGCGCGAGGGCGGCTCCGTCCGAAGTCGTGTCCGGGCTGCCCGACCCAGAACGGTCGCCGTATCGAGCTGGCAGATTGGAGGCCAGGCGTTGGGCTGTGGGAGCTGGGAGCGGTGTGGCTTGTGCCGGCGGAGGGAACGGCATCGGGAGGTCCGAAGCCGGCGCCGGCTCTGATCTGGCGTTATCGGCTTGCGTCTTGCGCACCTTTTCCGTAAGGGTGAGCTCCGCTTGGGTTCTGGTCATGCTCGCTTCGGCAGATCCTGAACCGGCCGCGGCAGCTTCCTGTGTGGATTCCACTGTGACGTTCGCGTTTGCTTTCTCCGATTGTTCTGCGCCATTCTCTCTCGACTCGGAGGCGGCGGTAGCATCGGCTTGCTCAGCGTCAAATTGAGCGCGCAGCTCGTGGAACTCCTCTAGTCTTTCGCTAAAGCCCTCGGAGTCTCTCTGGAGCTGATCGACGCTAGGGAGCTGGCTTCGCAAACCGCTGCCCTCGCCCACGGGGCCACCAGGGGCTTGAGCCCCAGAAAAGGCGCCTGAGAGGTCTCCGGTCGACGGCATGTTTGCTAGCATCTGGCGCTCGTTGAAGTTCAGCTCCTGGTAATGGCCGCTGGCGGGCCCCATCGGTGCCTGGGCGGGGCCTGGAGCCATGTTAAGAGCCGAGTCGAAAAAGCCGCCTGCCGGGGCAATGGGGCCCAGGGAGTGCTGAGGGGTGACCCCGATCGGAGACGTCATGCTTCCAAAGCTAGGCTGGCTCTGGAGGCTGTGGGCACTGGAGTGGTGATGCAGGCCACCGGGCTGGATGGGTGGCAGTCTTCCGAACCCGCTGTGATGGTGCATCTCCCGCTGCCGAGCGTGAAACATCTGGTCTTCCTGCTTACGGCGCTCCAAGTCGTTTTGTTGCTGGGCGGTGAGGGTTCGCCCGAAGGAAGGGAATGCGTTCGGGAGCGGCGGGACAGCCTCGGTGGTAGGCCCGCCAAACGGTCCGCCCGAAGGAGGGGGTCCGTGGGGGATACCCATCTGTGGAACCAGGAACGGCTCCCTAGAGTTCCCGATGCGCCGAATGAGTTGGCCAAGCGGCTCAAAGTCGTTATCTTCAAGACGCTTGACGCGGAGATCGGGGGTGAAGAAGTGGTTTTTGTACCAATCGTGCATCTCCAGACCGCTGAACGGCCCTTGGACTGTGCCCTGGGGATCCAGATAGACCCAACGCATCCTGTCTGGCATCACCATGGTCCGAACAGCCGCGGGTTCGGCAGACTGGCTGGTTGGGAATGATGCACCGCCGGCAGTCGTGGGAAAGGATTGGGCCTGCGTCGTCGCAGTGAGGCCGGATGGGCCATGCTCGACCGTCGAGAAGGGTGACCGGGCTGAGTCCGATGTTGGGATCAAGTCTTCGAAGCCGCCCCTACCAGACCTCGCCGGACTGTCCGTGTCGCGCTGCAAGCCGATGGTACTTCGGCCGATGGCGCCGAGCGGGTTGGCTTGACGAAGATCAGGCATAGAATCGCTCAGGCTATCTTGGTCGTGGCTGTGCATCTGGGCCTGCATGGCCGGAGGGAAAAGGGACTCCAGCTTGCCACGTCCCAGCCTTGAAGCGCTGGGGGGCCCAAACACGCCGCCCAGCCCGCCCAGACCGGGGGATGGAAGGTCATTAAACGAATTGAGGAAACCCCCGGGAAAGGGATGTTGGAAGGGGGCGCGCTCGCGGTCGGGTGTGCCGGCCGAAGGACCGGCAGGCCAGCCCGAGAGAGGCATGACGTTGGCGAAGCCCTTAGCTCCTACACTCGAGGTCTGGCTTCGGTCGCTGCCATCGAACGCGGCCGCGCTGAAGGAGCGGGGAAACGTGCCGAAGTTCGATTGATGGTCAGAACCGGGGCCGGGGTGGACGAGCCGGTCCACGTCGGCGTCCATGTGACCGTCTCCACTGCGGTCAGCCATGGGGCTCCGAAACGGGTTGGTTTCGGATGGGCTCGCCGGGCCGGCGCCGTCTCCATGATTGCCTAGATTGAGGCCAGCCATTCCAAAATCCCCGGCGTTTCCCTTGACGGGGGTGTCAAAGAGACCACCGCGATGATGGCCAACCGTGGCGGGCGGGCTATTGTCGTGGGTTCCGCCCAACATGGCACCTCCAGAAGAGCCGTCGTCGGCGGCAAAAGGGTCCGTATCTGTCCGTTGACGGGGCCGCCAGCTCGGAGCATCGCTTGGCTTGGGGCCGGCACCGTCGACCGAGTCTTTCGGGATGAGGTGGGCAAGGCGGCTGCCCCCTGCAGCACCAAAACGCTTGTCGCCGGTGCCTGGGGTCGTGAGAGCAAAATTGCCAAAGGCGCCGATTCCGGTGCTCGTCGGCGCGGGCGCGGGTGCAGGGCCCCAGAGAGAGCTCTGGCCACCAAAGCCAGAGGTACCCGTGGTGTTACTGCGTGGCAGCCCGAAGGGCTGTTGAGGTCTGCCGAGCGCGGCGTCGCGTGCGCTCGTCTCCTCCTCCGGCTCGTCGGATACCGTTTCCTTCAGCTCGGTGCTCCGACGGGGAAGCCAGGATTCCTCCCGGCCGTACCGGTTCGCTGTCGGAGACGCAGTCGACTGGCCGGGAAAGGGATTCGTATCGGCCGTCTCCCGTCGGCGGGTGCCGGGTCGGGAGGCAGTGGACGGCGACGAGTTCGGGTGGTGAGTCGGATTTCCGACACTGATCGAAGCCTTCCGCCCGTTGAGTCCTCCAGGGCCTGGATGAGCGCCTTCCTTGTTCTGCTGGGGCGGCTTGAGTGTCGAATTAACATCGGTAGCGAACATCTCACGCTCCTCTGCCGACATGTCCTCGAAACTGATCGGCTGCTGCGTCCCGCTCGCGTCCCAACACACACTGGGGTCCTGCGGCACATGAGGGGAGTCGGAAGACTTGCCCCATGGCCGCGCATGACCCCCGTTCACTTGCTCTGGGTTCCAGTTGGGCATAATGGCCGATGTATCGAATTGGGACGGGTCGTAGCTATTGTAAACTTCCAACATTTTGTCCTTGTTGTATTGACGGGGGCTCTGCGAGTCGGGAGCGGTAGGCGGCGTGTGGGAGGACATGTTTGCGAGATCGTTGGCGGTGTGTTGTGACATGTCTGCCGAATCTGTAGAAGAGGGCTGGTTAAATGGGGTGGTGGAGGGTCGGCGAAAGGTCCGAGTGCCGTTCGAGCGAGGCCTATTGCAAATTTTAGCATTGGCGAAATATCGCGGGCAACATGACGCGAATTATGCCGCCACGCTCCTCATGTTATCCGTTGCCCGCACGGCTTGGTGTCGTGGTGGACTCGGGTGGGAAAAACTCTTGTTCATCTGACACGCGATCCGAGTCCCGCTCGAGTCTGTCGAAAAAGAAGGTGGGAAACCCTGAAGGATGAAAGGATGGGAAGGGCGTGGGACAGGCAGACGGAAAAGAATGCACGGGACTCACCATTCACCACTTCCAGCCCCGCGAGAAGAATCGCTCCGTCCACTTCCTCTCGAGTCCCGATTCTGGCCCGCAGCGGCGGAGGCAAAGCTGGATGTTAAATGAGGCATGGTGGATATGCTTGCTGGCAAAAACTGGAGGGAGTATGCAATTGCCGCAGGATAAGATAGAAGGTTTGTTGATAGTGTTATGCAGGAGTATATCGCGTAGGTGAAAGTGATTCGTGGTTGGGCTAGTGTGACGAGGTTTCGTTGACTGAGGTGAACTTGGCTGGGAACGGGATGGGTGGGCTTGCCTTTTGAAAGGTACGCAAAGTTTCAACCGGTCGTGGCAGGTGAGGTGCCAAGAGTTAGACCTCCTGGACCGAAACGTGACCTAACCCGTGACTGGCCCAAGAAATTTCTTGCAAATTTGGCACAGCACAGTGTGGGCGCGAGGGGTTTTGCCCGGACAGATTTTAAGATTTTGCAAAATAACACTGTGCGCGTTCTGCACGGTGGAAATCGAGAAATCGAGAAATCGAAAATGGAGAAATCGTGACTTTTGCACATGCATCGGCATTTTGCGGATGGATGACGCTTTCATTTGCCCTTTTCTCCTTCATCCGAACTCATGTTAATATTCACATCCTCCTCGTAGGACAAGCGTCGGCACAAGCATGGGTGAAATTGACGCAGTTGACTTCATGTGCACCTGTTTCGGGTTTAGCCCATCCGAAGTCGCGTTCGTCAACGCTTGTCGTTCGATCCCGATACTTCCCGGGTCTCGAAGGCGAGCATGCTGTTCGATAGCGGCGTCTTCTCGTCTAGCAGTTTCTTCGCCGTTATCCCACCCGCAACAGGCACTCGATATTCGACATGCTTTCCGACGGCCTGCTCCTTGTCTTTCGGAAGGGGGTACGGAAAGGGCAAGTATTCCGGGAGCAAGCCCAACTGCCGGAGCACGGTTCCCTGGTCCCAGGCGATGTGCTCATGGTAGAGGCGGTCGCCGCGTATGTTGACGATGCTCGTAAATGGTATGCTCAGGGGTTTGAGCGTCGGTGGCACACCTGGGATCCTGTATCGCACGCACGCTTGTCAGCCTGGTTTTCTTCAAAGTTGCCATCACGCGCCCCACCAGGTTAAAGCAGGTTAGAGGGTCAGGTCATACAGCCAATCTATGATTCGATCGTGCGTGCAGTTGAAGAGGAACTCGTCAACGATCCGATCTATTCCCACGGTACGGCTGACCAGCTCTAGCGCCACATCGTCCGGGTTGCTGAAGATGAAGTGGTCCCGGTAGAAAGCGGTCAGCTCCTCCCTTCCGACGCCGCCCGTGAGAGTGGGCACATGGTTGACGTAGGGCTCTTCGACCATGGTGGCCATTGTCTCCTCGACACTGCGCTCGGCGAACTCGTAGCGCGTGTGCTCTTCCCAGATGGCCTCGAGGTCAAAGTAGGGACCCCCCATCAGCGGCTTCAGAAACGACAGCGAGCGCGTATGTGCGACAGCTGCGGCACTTCCGCGGTAATCTGTGTGCGCCGGGACGGCGAAAAAAGGGCCTGCCGCTGCTGGGTACGTGTGGATTCTTAAATCTTTGTCGCCGCCGTCATCGCGCCCGCCACCGTCATCGCGCCCGCCACCGTCATCGCAAGCTGCGTTGGTGTTGCCAAGCGGCGCATGCGCAAGCACTGGGACAGGAAACTCGCCACCGAGATAACTGCCGTAGAAGACTGCACCCACTATCTTGGGGTGTGCCCCGATAGCGTTGATTAGGGGGGCGTGGCTAGATGTGGTCTCCGCAGGCATCACTTGTCACCACGATTCAACCCAGTCAGCACGGCTGGTCATGCTCAATAGAACATCGTTCAGATGAAGCGCGATGAGGTCATACCAACCAATCCGTGCCTGTCACCCGAGCACTCCGGCAGTTCCTCCAGCTTTGCAAGCGCGATGCGGAACTGGTCTGCAATGTTGGACTTGCCGTCGTCAAGTATTTGGGCGACGGCGTAACCCTCTTCAGCCCACTTCTGCCGAGGCGGGGGATCCAGCGTCTTCTCGTGCCTGCTCAAATTCGAGATCTCGCGGGAACAACCAACACCAGTCCTGGGCTCGTTCCCCCGCCGAGAGAGCGGGGGGTTTGAAGCGAGGATCTCCGGCGTGACTTTGGACGCTAGGCGCCCGAAGGTCTCTGAGATGTCGGTGCATTGGCCGTCCATTTTCGTCTAGTTTCTCCCCTTCGAATTCGGTGTGATGATCCGTTCATTGAGAGGGGTGGCGAATGTGGAAGTCCCAAATTTCACGAACCCTCCCCAGCTTTTGTGGGTGCATGGTAGGTAGGCAACCTGAATCACCGCCCGGGTCCCGTTTGCCGGATCCATCCCGCTGCGGTCCCCACCACACCCCCGGACCAAACCGGAGAAACAATGGATCGTCTACCTACTAAGTAGTTCAAAAGTGTCTAACGTTCTACTACCACTTTTTGGTAGCAACAGCTAAGAATTTGTTTATTCACCCTCAGGTCTAGCTACAACTATCGGCCAAGTTTTAATGAACCCGCTTACCCCTGAATAGGTCCCCCGAAGCCCGGGTAGCGAGGCATGATGCCCACCCGCACTCGACTCTATCTACTCTTATGTCTACCTCTTTTCCCTTTCCTATCTTGTTGTTTATGGTACTGTCACAATGCCAATCCCGGCGTGTTGGGGGGGACGTGGTCGACTGCCAGTCCCACCGGCCGGTCGGTTCGCAGCTCGGCGTGGGCTGGTCGCACCGATTTATTGACCGGCACCGCGGTAGCTGGTTCCACCGGCACAGGTGGAGGCGGAATGCTGTATATCGAACCTCTCTCAATGTCCTCTAAATATCCCCTGACCACGCCCCCCAGTCTTTGAGAACCCCCGCCCCGCCTCGTCGACGTGGACGCGATACTGCCCACTCTCACCACGGGACCCCCTTCGGTTACCTTTGCGGCCTGCCCTAGGGAACGCCGACGGCTGCTGTCCATGTTGATGAGTTCGGCGACGCTGCTAACGTTGCCGATAGTTCCCTTTTGCGCTCTGGCATTTCTCTTGTCCCGCCTGAGGGTGGACAGGGACCTCATCCAAGGAACGCAGCCGCAGATGATGCCTAGATGGACCTCGAGGGCCGTCCACAACCACAGATGGAACCCATACCATGTAACATCATACGTCTCCTGGACCACATAATGGATCCAGTAGCACGGATACAGGCCGCGATGACGACGAACATGCCGAAGCTGAAGAGGGCGATGACGCCGAGCCGTTTCCGCAGTTCCATCCGCGTGCAGTAGAATACCGGTATCGGCAACACCCACACGACAAAGTCGGCGACGGCTGTTGTGCTGGCTTGGCTCAGCAGCGTCGCCGCTTCCGACACACAATCGCGATGGCCTTCGAGAAGGTTCCAGTAGCTCCAAAGCGGTCTGGCACGGCACGGTGACGGTCAGTATCGCGACTCCGGCTACTTATCTCACAGTTCCCCTAGACATGGCTGACCCACCTGCATTGGAAGAAAAGGACGAAAATGAAGCAAACGTTCAAGGCCACGACGAAAACCATAGCGCCATCTGCACATTTCGTCAGCTACACGTCCAGGGGGGCTTATGTGACGAAACATACAAATCGCGCGTCTGAACCTGGGTTTAGTCTGTGCGAGGCGGAGATAACTATACAGGATCGAGAGCTTTGCCAGCGCGGTAGCAGGGACAAACAGGGCCTGGGCCGCAAAGGATACCTTGCGGCCGGACAGGATCTTTTCGAAGGTCAAGTCCCAAACGTGGACATCCCAACCATACCGGACAAAGGCCAGAACGACGCAGGTAGTGACACCGATACCGAAGGGCTACAAAACTCAGCATCAGCTATTATAATAACACAGTAGGATAACGGAGGGCCGGCACGTACCGCCGCGGCTATCATCAACCAGTCATCCGCTGCAAGCACACCCAACCTTTGTTTCCGTGCATAGAGCCGCAAGCCGAGACAAATGAGGGCAATTGAGAGAGTGGTAAGCTCGACAATGAGTAGCGTGGGTCCTTGCTTCTCTGGGTTGATGTAGTTGGGGACGGGCCACGAGGCCACAACCTCCGGGGGTGGCAGCCGCATTGCTGTCGTTTGGGGGCAGGGGGTAATCGAGAACGTGAGTTATCGACCGCAAGGGTCGATAGAGAGGACCGAAGAACCGGGCATGCGTATCCGTGAATCGTGCTAGTACAAGAAGTGTCGACGAAACCTCGGTTCGCCAAAGGGAGCGTATGTGTGCGGAAGTATTGACCCGACGCTGGCTATCACTGAGCTGATGAAACAAGATCGATAGAAGTTGAGGTCAATACGAATGATGCGGTCAACAGTTGGAACTATGGCTCTCGATACAAGTCTGCATGCCATGGAACCCGTTGTTGTATGTAGTTCCGCGACTCGTTCTTTACGAGTGGGAGGTGAGTTATTAGGTACTTCGCAACTCCGCGGCGGTGGCGTCTTCACCAGCTCCGCAGACGGCCATCTTTCGACCCGTTGGAAGCTCGAGCTTTCTTCGGCGGCCAACAGTGACCCCACTGATGTGAATCGCCATCCGTGGTAATTGGGCCCCCCCGGTTTGTGAGCTGCCATTTCGCTCATAGTTGGCTGATACAATCAACAATTAGCCATGTCCGAAACTTAGACAATACCAACAGATGCAATCCATCACTATATACATGCTGGGGTGTGTACAGCAGACCATGGTGCCATCCCCAGGAGTCTAGGGGGGGTGAAACAAAGAAATCCCTGGGCACCCATTGTAAGCCGACGAATCTACGGGCGACAGTACGTCGTCGGCCCACGGCCAACTGTTGTCATGACTTGACTTTAAAGCCCCGGATCTCCACCTCTCCGCGAACCACACACCCAGTTGTCACCCACTTGTGGAGAGCGCTGCCGCGAAAATCTGCGGGGACGACTGTTGCCCACACCAGTGTTTCTTCTTCTCGAAACATTCTCTCCTCCCGATGGGACGGAAGACGTGTCTATTGGGTATACACGTGTCATAGGTAGAGGTGGTAGGACTTGGAAAGAGGGACAAACTGCTTTGCTGCATAAAGCACCCCTCTCCTGCCCGAACGTTCAAGTTTAGGACACGTGGGATATCCTGGATAAAGACCAGCAAACATCTCTAGTCGAGAAGCTCGGGGGTTCCACGGGAAGAAGTAAATCCGCATGGCAGAGTAAATGCTTGGATTGTCCGCCAAGCAGCATCCCAGCCCATTTTCATGATGTTCCGGGTTGCTATCAACATGTTGATCATATCCGAATCAAGGCCGCCGCTTAGACTTCGGCACCGCTCAACATTCGGGTCCGAGGGGTTGACGTAGATCCGGGGGGTTTACACGGCAAAGTGTCGATGTTTAAGCCAGGACTGAGGGAGCCTGGTGGAACAAGATAAGGCGCCGTCGTTTACCCTGTTGGGTTAAGTGAACTCCGAATGCTCTTGGGTTGGGTGAGTTTCCCATCGTGGCTTCTGAGTGACGATATCTGCTGAAAAACAACTAGACGCCATGCGAAATTGCACTGTCCACATCCGTTCGCTTGCCTCCTGCTGAAGTCGGCAACAAGCTACGTTTCCCCTCCATTCGGCGCCTTGAGCTGTGTGGGCCCTCGAGAGGACGGGCGCAAACTTTCGTCATATATGGAAGAGCAAGGGGGTTCCACGGCCGGGAGAAGCCTTGTTTCCGTTTCCATTGTGTTATCACCTCTTAGCTTCGCCGGGTGGCAAAGAAATACGTACCAAACCGGGAAATTCCCTGTCAAATAACAGCTGAGCACCACGTAGTGATTTGAGAAGCCTGGAGATGCTTAGGTGTGGGGAGGAGATTCAAACGGTTGGTCATGCTGAAACATGTTTGTTCTACCCGCCACCCCAAGCGGTAGGCTGTCCATGACCGACCATTGTCATAGACCTCTCTCTCCGAGCCCCCTTTCACATGCCTGAGTCAGATACTCTTTGTCCATATGCCTCTCGTCCACCGTAGGTAGTCCCACCCCGCTTGGATCACTCAAGAGAGACTTGCAGAGAGTGCCTGACTCGCAGCAACCAAACGTTCAGCTAGCGGTGCGGGTAACCATCTGAATGCGGCCCTCGACGCGGGGAGCAATGGGCTTTGTCCACGTCACCTCGATCTCGCCCTCGGTCAGCTCGTCACAGGCCGCCCCACGAACGCCCGCTAGCCGGCACCACTTGTGAAAGACGCGGCGCATAACCGCTAGCTCGCTGTCGAGCACACGGGCGTTCTCCCGGGCCCGCTCCAGCTCCTCGCCCGAGTCGCTGTCGCTCTCGTCCTCGTTGGGTCCCAGCATCGGCGGCACGCTGGCGCGCCTCTGCCTGAGTCGGGTCTGAGTCCACTCAGCCCAGCCACCGCTCTCTTGGCCCGGGGTTGGACCACCATGCGACGACCTCACCCCGAATGGGCTGACCGGGGCGGAAGCGGACGGGACACCGACGGGGTGGTACTTAGCAACGCTGTTCGCCACCTCCGACCTGTTCCGTCGAGCACATGACAGTCAGTCACTCGGTCACGGCCAGAATGCCCAACCGGATAGGTAGGAATGGGACATGGGTGGAACCAAAGGCAAGGTACATACCAGTGACGGTCTAACGACGGACCCCAGCCCTTCCACTTGGCGAGCACAGTCAGGGACATGAAGTACTGCCGCAGCATAGCCGAGATCAGCATCCCATTCTCCTCCGAAACGACTTCCTCGCATTCTCCACCCTCGGGCTGGACGAGTAAGCTGCGGTAGCCATCCTTCCCGCGGCCCATGTAGCCCCGTGTGGCGAGGACGTAGAGTCGGTCCTTCTGTAGAGGCTGCCCGCCGATCTTGACAGAGACAATGCGGGAGCCGGGAGGAAGTGAGGGGTCGAACTTGTAGATGATGTTTGAGACCTGGGGGAAACGGCCTGGGATCGAATCAAGCGTCAGCGATAAGCCGTTGGTGGTAGGGGTATGTGGTGAGGGGAATCGTATGATTACCTTCCAGGGCGGGATACAACGACACCCCGTTCTCCAGCGCATCCCATATCCCTTGGCCCGACACCTTCATCACAATGACAGGATCCTCAAACGGGAAACAGTCTGTGATATCCTTGATCCGTATCGGCCCCGGAGCGTACACCTGGTCTCCCCTGATGGTCCCCGCGGCCATGAGCCCACATTCAGCGTTGTAGTGGTGGCGCATGATATCGCACACGAAATTGGCCAGGTTGCTCTCCTTGAGTCGCACCGTGGTGAAGCGCGAGTCGAGCGGTGTCGCCGTCCACCCAATGGCCTTCTCGAGGCTCTTCTTCAACTTGGCCGTGAGCCGGTGTACCAGCTCGAGGGTCTCGGGGTCCTCGGGGATAGACCGCACCATGTCGCGTCGCCCAGATGTCGATATCCCACTTCCGCCCGCTGTTGGTGCCATCCTCAGACGGTGAGGCCCGTCGCACCTCGATGTAGCTGAGTTGCTTAAAGTCTGACCCCGACCGCAGGACGTGCGTCCCGTTGATAAAGCTGTGGGCATAGAAGTGGTCGTGTCCACCGAGGATGAGATCGATGTTCTCGCCGCCCAGCTGGGTAGCAAGCTTGTTGTCGTTGGGCTCGCGCATGTGCGTGATGGCGATGATAATGTCGGCACCCTCGGCGCGCAGCTGCGGCACGAGCTCCCGTGCGACTTCACTGGCCGAGCGGTAGATTATGTCGGGCGGGAGCAAGTTGATGGTGTCGAGCCACTCACGCTCTCCGAGCCCCAACAAACCGATCTTGATGCCATTGGAGGTGGTGATCATGTGCGTCTTTTTGGCGTTGCCGAGGGGAACGCCATCCCCAAGGGCCGGGTCCAGCACGTTGGCCAACAACCAGGGGAAATTGCACTTGGAAGTGAGGTGGCGGAACTGCCTGACACCAAAGTCGAGGTCATGGTTCTGTTGGACAGGTCAGTATCAACCAACGTCGCGGCAAGAGCGAGTCTAACATACCCCTACGCAGGCACAGTCGGTCTTGATGAGGTTCAGAAGAGGGACCATGTGGCTACCTGTTTGGGTTGTGAGCAGCATGGTCAAGTACCACACGGTACCCAGGTTGCCATGAAGAAGTAACTAACCCTTGGTAATAGAGCTCTCAAGACTCGGGTTGAAGACATCGCCAGAAAACAAGGTGACCAGCTCGGGCTGTCCCTGGTATCGTTGGGCTTCGCGATACTCCTTGCAAACACTGACGAACCTGCCAACGCCCCCAGCCGGTTCGGAAGACGAGGGGTCGAGGTGGTAGACATCGTTGTAATGCAACAATCTGAGATCGGGGGGTGTGTTTACATCCCGGCCTGAGCTGAAGGTGACCGTCGGCTCGGCGGATGCCGAGGCAGATGAGGGGCTCATTTTGTGCTAACAAGGGAAACCCAACGGGTCCTTGTCATAAATTGGGTACTTGTTGGGGAGGGATATTTTTGGAAATCAGGGCTGGAGATATTCTTGATCTTCCCGAGATCTCGGTGTGTTCCGGCAGATCACTCGAATTTCTCAAAACTGGAAAGGGTGAAAGTGATCCTCTCTTCTTGGTTGTTGTCACGCGAGGATGGGGGAAGCCATGAAGTCAGCATGGAGCTGAAACGCCCTTGGCGGCTCCCGATCGGCAGGCGAGCGGTGCTACCCAACGGTCGGGAGGCTGCAGGATTGCTTCTTCGGGTCTCCATCGTCCTTCCATTTGCCAAGTCTGCTCCATCAACGACGGGAAAGAGAGAGAGAGAGAAGGGCTTGATACTGTTCTTTCGTTCCTAGGTCTTCAGTTCAAAACTTCAGATATCTGGGCCTATCATGGTTCCTCGGTGTGCCCGGATTTCCCGGGAGCCCATCTCGTATTGCCCCTCGGTCCTTGCTAGAATTATCCACAGAATTTGACATGAGCGCGCCCTTCGCGACTGGGAATACCCCGCCATTCGTTGGAGTCGCGGGGCAAACTGTTTACCCACACGCGCTTGCGATCTTCGGCGGGGACGATAAAAGGGGCCATAGGGACGTTGAAGGTAGAGGCCAAAGTCCCGAGCCAAAGCATTTTTCCTAGCATATACGCATTTGGATCACTCGCCACCAACTCACAGATATACAATTATGGCCTCCAACGCCCCCAATGTCCGGCAGGCGCGCTGTGAAGGTCTTGTGCCGTGCTCCCCAGATTTGTTGTTGCCCCCCCCCTGGACTGACAAACCCCTGGATTAGACGTCCCCGCGATCCTCGAACTGATCCGTGAGCTCGCCGACTACGAGCACGCGTTAGACAGCGTCGAAGCGACCGAAGCCAAACTCCTCGAGACCATCGCCTTTGCGCCCTCGGACCCGTCTTCCACCACTGCCACCGGTGTTCTTCCCCAGACAGAGCCCACATCACCCTCCAAACCAGCGCGCTGTTTGGTGCTCACGACGCCGGCGGGCGTTGTCGCCGGCATGGCCTTGTATTTCTACAACTACAGCACCTGGCGCGCGCGGCCGGGCATCTACCTCGAGGACCTGTACGTCAAGCAGAGTGAACGCAAGAAAGGTTACGGCAAGCGGCTGCTGGTCGAGCTGGCCAAGGAAGTGGTGGCTATGCGCGGTGGTCGGCTCGAGTGGGTGGTGTTGAAGTGGAACGAGCCCTCCATCCAGTTTTACGAGAGCATCGGCGCTAAGCAAATGAGCGAGTGGGTGGGCATGCGGGTGGACGGGGAGGCGCTGAACAAGCTGGCGACCATGCTGGACTAAGGGGAGGGAGAAGGACAGGGCCCTGGAGTGGCATGCCCATCACCCCGATGCACCGCCCCCTCGCTTTCCGCGTTTGCGTTGAGATGTGGGGTCCTCTAGGACCGGAAAATCCATGAAGAACTCCATGTTGCTTGCGGTCGCTGGCGGAGGCAGCAGCGTTTCCGAACCGCCCCAAGTGATATCCCACCCCTTACCCCCCGGCTTCTTGTTCATGGTTGGGCTTAATTGCCAGATACTTCCGAGTAGACGCCGCCAGGACCGCGCGGTGTACTTGTGGCGTCCAATCGGCGGCGGATCTCCAGTTGGTGTGTTGTCGTCTACTACTCCGCTTAAAAGCTTGTTCCTCCGGTTGGCTTGCCTGTCGACAGCGGCGACGGGTTTGACAGCGTATGACTGCCAGTCCCAAGTCTGGCCCTGTTGCACGTCCTCAAATGTAGATTGTGCTACAGACCGCCGAGGAGGAGGAAGCCAGTCGCCCACGACCGTTCCGTTGGCGATGGCCTCGAGCTTTTTCCACTCCTCCATGGGGAGTGGAGGCAGGACCTTGTCCGCCAGTGCTTTCCACAGATTCTTCAATTTTGTCCGGGCGAGCTTGAGAGGGAGCGGGCGGCCCCAGGAATTCTCCTTGGGCAGGTTCTTCTCCGGCGCGGCCTGATTCTCAGTGACGGTCGCCTTCGGGGTGTTGACCAAAGTGGCTTGCGCCTGAGAACGGGCGAGGGCGCGCAGCTTGTCCAGGTCCCAGTCATCCATCCAGTCCGGCGTGTTGTTCTTGGCTCCAATATCAGCCATCGCGATGGCGTACTTTTCCAGCTCTTCTGTGTTGGCGGGTGTGTCGCGATGCACCAGTTGGGAGATTAGCTCTCGCCGTCGCCGGCCAATGCGGCCGAACGCCCGGAGTAGCACCCGGCGCATACGGCCCATGTCGCCAGCATTGGCTGCCCGTAGAGCACGAAGGTCATGGTGCGCTTGGCGGAGATATTTCGCAGTTTTATCTTCATGGTCCTGGTTTCTTCGGAATTTGTCTTTGATTTGCTTGTCGATTGGCCGCCGGGCGAGTGGGGGGAGATATGACGCTTCGCGGAGGATATGGCGGTAGAGATGAAGCGCCGTTTCGGGTTTTGGGATACGAAGAGGTTGCGACATTATCGAATACCCCGGGTAAAAATCGAATTCCGTTCTTCCTTGTTCGCGATTGTTGGATCATCCGGCTCCCGCTGGCACATGGAAATAAATTCTTAGTTACGATTCGGGATTGTTTTTGCGACTGTCTCGGTATCCCGGGTCTGTGCACCTGGATTTTGTTGCCAGTGCCGTCTTGGCGCGTTGCTTCATCCAGGGTCTCTTTCGTCGGGTGTCCCGTGCGGGCGCTCCAGCCCCTCCCTCCACACCCCGGGAATTTATGGCGCGTCTTTTCGTGTGCTCCAGACACGCACACCAGAACACGAAAGTCACACGTCGACCACCCGTGTCTTAATTGAAGTTCCAAAAGGGGAGCTTCTCGCTGCGAAAGTCTGACATCAGGTTGACAGAGCTTGACTCCCTGTCATGTCTCCTGGACATATTTCTTGATATTTATCTTTTATATTTCTTGTCGGCGCCAGCTTCGTCAACAAGACGCATTCTCCTGCAGGCGACTCGGCAAGCGCATCGACTCCCTGGACCAACCCCATTTCCCTTCGCCGTGGTCCACTGCAACGTATGCTGGGGGTTTTGTGCGCTCATCCGTCCTCTCGTGAGCGCAACGCCGCATTCCGACCGCATCGTCCTACCTTCACTCAAACCAGCCACAGAGCGACGAAGAATTTGATGTTGAACGTTTGACTGTCGGACTTCAAGCTACCGTATTGTTCTATCCGAGCGACTTACGTCTTGGTATTCGTTGAATGCACATTTAATTAACAATTTTGATATCGGCCACCGTCTCTGCGCTCCCCTCCACGCGCCCCTCTGTGCCGAATCGGCATCGCACTCCCGGAATCTCCTCCGACATCTTTTGTCTGTCGATACGCGACCCGACTTTCGCCCTCGTTGGGCGCACTAAACCGTTATGCAACCGCCACAAATCCCCGCTGGCTCGCAACAGCAACCGCAACAATCCCAACCCTCCTCACAACAGTCCTTCTCCATGAGCCAGCCTTCCTCCCAACCAACAGGCTACCGCCAATACGCCGACATGCCCCAAAAGGCACAAAACGACACAGACATGGGAATTTATTCGGTGCGCGCGAAACCTGCATCCTTACCTTGTGCGTCCTGCTAACAATGACGTTCTAGGCCGTCTATTCGGGTGTCAATGTCTACGAGATGGAAGTCAACAACGTCGCTGTCATGCGGCGCCAGACCGATGGGTGGCTCAACGCGACACAAATTCTCAAAGTGGCGGGGGTGGATAAGGGCCGCCGCACCAAAATTCTCGAGAAGGAGATCCAGACGGGGGAGCACGAGAAGGTCCAGGGAGGCTACGGGAAATACCAGGGCACTTGGATCCCATTTGAGCGAGGGTTTGAGGTCTGCCGACAATACGGTGTAGAGGAGGTGCTGATGAGGCTTTTGACCCACAAGCGAGGCCAGGAAGGGGGGATAGCCGATGTCGACACGCCGACCAAGGAACAAGCCATGGCAGCTCAAAGGAAGCGAATGTACAACGCGAGCTCGCAAGAGAACCGCGCCAATGGCCTGTCTGGCACCTTTTTCAAGAACATCTCCTCGACGGCGTCGCACGCCATAAACGCAATCAGCAAGGCTCGATTCGATTCCCCCGGGCCCAGAAACCGCAACGGTCCTAGTCGCGCGCCCAGCTTCCACCGTCAATCCTCAATGCAGGACTCCTCCAACGATTTCCCTCCGAACTCGCAACAGAGCTTCGTTTCCGACTACAATCATGCCGACTCGGCTTTTGGGTCACAAACCACACAAGTGGCGCCGGGGGATAACGAACAGCCTCCCAGGAAACGGCAAAGGGTCCTTACGCCCGCGAACAGCTTTGGTGGCTTGACCCCGACCTACCCCCAGTTGGACGGCTACGCGGCTAACTACCCGGGGTCGCCGACGGAACCCAATGAATCGTTTATCTACTCCCAGGCGGGCGTCCATCTGGAGCAGGAGCCTAACTACGCTCCGGGGCCACTCCGGCCCCTCCCGTATGACATGTCTCCGGAGGCTGAGGCGAAGCGGAGCATGCTCATGGGACTCTTCATGGACCCCAGCGGCCCGGATGAAGCTAAGAGAAATGTGCTGCGCAACATGATCCCGCAGGAACTCGACGCTCCGATCGATACCCAGAGCCATACTGCCCTGCATTGGGCCGCAACTTTGTCTAGGATGCCCCTATTGCGGGCCCTTATCGAGGCCGGCGCGAGCCCATTCCGCGTCAACTCGTCGGGAGAGACGGCCCTGATGCGGGCTTGCATCGTCACCAACTCGATGGATCATAACTCGTTCCCCGAGCTGCTCGATGTTCTGGGCGTCACCATCGATGTAAGGGACGACAAGGGCAGGACCGTGTTGCACCACATCGCCGTGACGAGTGCCGTGAAGGGGAGGAATTCCGCCAGCCGATATTACCTCGAGAGTCTTCTGGAATGGGTCGTGCGGCAGGGTAGCGCCCCTAGCAGCCAAAACATCCCTGGCAGCCTCAGCGCGCCGGCAAAGATGGGTATCGGCCGGTTTATGAGCGAGATCGTCAACGCGCAGGACAGCAGCGGTGATACCGCATTGAACATTGCCGCGAGGATCGGCAACCGCAGCATCGTGTCGCAGCTTCTTGAGGTGGGCGCTGACCCGAATATTGCCAACCGCGCGGGTCTAAGACCCGTGGATTTCGGTATTGGCACAGATGCAGAGGACAATCGAAATGGCGAGGTGTCGGACAAGAACGGTGCCTCGCAGGGTGGTTCCAACCAGAAGAATAAGGAGAATAGCGACGAGGTGGTAAACTGTAAGCACTAGGCATTTCCACACCCCGTATTTTGCGGCGTATTGACCCGTTTTAGCAATCACTCACCTCATCACCGAGTCATCATCACTGTTCCAAACCGAACTGAAGAAGAAACAAGAATCTATCGACACACTCCACAGCTCCCTCCGCACTACGTCGGCGCAAGTCGGCGAGGCCCGCCGCACGCTGGAGTCCCTGCAGGAAAAGCTCAAGGCGCAGCAGCTGGCGCGGCAGAAGGTGGTCAACCTCAAACGAGCCTGCCAGGAGGAAGAATACGAGCTTCTCCAACTGGAGCAGCGCCACGGCCGACTTGACATAGATTCCGCGAACGCATGGGAGATCGACCTGGAGATGGTGCTGGACGGAATTGCCGCGGCCAACACGCAACAGCAGCAGCAGCCGCAGCAGCAGCCACAGCAACAAGCGCCCACGGACAACGGGTACTTTCACGGATTGGCGGAGGAACACCTCGCGCGGCTACCCAGCTCTGCGGTCCTCCGGGCGCGGGTCAACGCCCTGCGTGAGCAGTCGGGGCAAACCCACCAGGCGGTGGAGGCGCTGCAGGCGCGGAGCAAGGACAGAGAGCTCGGGTACCGGCGGCTCGTGGCGCTGTGCACGCGGCGGCCGGAGAGCGAGGTGGACATGCTGCTGGATACGCTGACGAGGGCCGTCGAGTCGGAGAAGGGCGAGCTGGAGATCACGAGAGTCAGGAGATTTCTCGGCGGGGTCGAAGGTGTTGCATGAACCGTGGTGCTGTACTTTGCAGTCCCGGTCGTCTGCTGTTTATTGTACATATTGGTGCGTGGCTCATACCTGCACCCAACATTTTCGGTTGGCGGTCTCACGCCTTGTAAGGGGGTAATGGGTTGATACCTTGTTGGCTGTTATTTGCACCTTCATTCTGGCGTTTGGTACGGGAGGTTGTGGTGCGTCATAATGGCAATGTTATTTTTATTAGCTTCATATGGATCCAGGGGTATCAATCCCCTGCTCGCATTGTCTGTAACTAATTGTGGTATCGCGCTGGTCCAACACCTAACCTTTGGAGGATATATGAGATGCAAAATCGAATCTTCGAGCCTGCCAACCTAAGCCCCAACACTAAAGCCGAATGAGCCGTCAAATGCATCATTCCCAACACTGGCATTCGCGCGCATGGCCTTGAGATCATCTAACGGCGGGACGGTGCCAGCGGGGTAGAAGCGCAAGAGGTTGCCGATATCCTCTTCGGTCAAGTCACACATCTCGTCCCAGGGATAAGCGTCGCTGACTTTCGTCATCCACGCCATCCGCTTGGGTCCCTCCTCCGGCCGGGGGGCAATCTCGCGCAGTTTCACCCGCAGCTGTCCCACCGTGTCGATGGCCCTCCCAGCATTGGACGGCAAGAGTTTCGCGATGAACTTGCGGATGATGCTCGCCAGCCTCGGCCCCTTCCCGTTGGTGCTGACCATGATCTGTAACGGGCCGTCCCGGTGCACGCTACCGAAGTAGAAGTCGCACTCGGGGGGGACGTCGGCGATGTTGGCGGGGATGCGCCGCTCCTTGCACAGCTTCCAGATGACCGTCGAGGCGGCCGGGTCGTCCACTGCAACTAGCACCATGTCGGCGCCGTCGAGGTCCGAAGGGATGAAGTTGCGGTTGACGTGCGAGACTTGCTTCTGGGCGACTCGGTAGGCCACCTCTGGGTTGAGGCGGGCGGCGGGGGAAACGACCGTTACGTTGGCGTCGGCATTGAGGCAGTGGAGGATACGACCCGCGGCGACCTACAGACAGGGTGGAAAAAGTCAGTTTACAGGAATCAATGTACCCAAATATTTGGCTTTAGACAATAGATGTTCGTTGCTCACCTCGCCCCCGCCAACCACCAGTACATGTTTCCCCTTGACCTGCCACGCAATGATCAGACTCCCCCCGCCTTGCACCTCGGGGAACGTTGCCGGTGTTTCAGCCATCGCTAGCTGTACCTGGCAGCTGTTTTGGAACTAGAGTGACCTATGAAAGCTGTGAGTTGTTAAAACACGGCTACATGGTGGATTGCCTTCTGGACCGGTCTCGCAGAGTTCAGGATCCCCGCCGCCATTGGGTAAGTTGCTTGGTTCAGCAGCGCCATTGATAAGGAACAGGGACCAGCCCCACCGAGACCTGCACAATGAGTGGATGCTGCGCCAAGCCAACACTGCCATCAATCCATCCCATCCCTGTAGCTTGACTCGACCGTCTGCAGCGCATTCCAGTTACCCGTCCTCCATGCTTCTGGCAGGTTGCTTTTCATCATCCTTCGTGACGCCCGCCGCCTCCGCCTTTTCCGCACGACTTCGATTGAGAAACCATGTCCATGCCATCATTCCACCCCACGACAGCGTAGTGGCCCCAAGGGGGTGTTGAATTACCCACCTCCGGGAGACCGCTTTCAACAGCGATCATGTCTGCCCGGAAACTCGGAGGCGGCAGGGTCCTAGGCAGCGGCAAGGGCCTTGCCCCTCCGCCTTCTTCTTCTACTCGAGCCCCGCGATCCTCGAGCCCATTCCCTCCGTCCGACAGCAGCACCAGATCCCTTCACTCGCGGAACTCCACACCCGTCTCCCTTTCTCCGTCCTCGTCCAGCCCGCTTCCCGATTTCTCCCAGGACCTCGCCTCCAATGTCACCGTTGCAGGGCCGTCCAATGGGACCTCGCCCGCCAACAAGCTAGCATGCCCAATATGCGAAGAGCAGATGGTTCGTCAAGAAATAAGAGGACAGGACCGGGGGTTTTATTGAGCTGACTGGCGCTGTAGGTCACGCTACTACAACTCAACCGACACCTCGACGATATCCACCAAGAGCTGCCCGAGGCCGAGCAAGACGAAGTCAAGTCGTGGTTCGACAAGCAAGTCCTCAAGGCGAAACGGTTCCAACCACTGTCTCTCATCAACCAAAAACTACGAGGCCTAGAAGTATTCGAGTCGAACGAGACACAGCCCGTATCCGTCGGAATTGCGCCCGGGCGGGCCATCGAAACCGTAATCGATCCCGAACAACTCGTCTCGAGGAAACACTGGGAACGGCCGACAGGGCACGACGTATGTACCGATCCATTATGCGACAGGAGACTGGGGCCGCTCAGCGGCAGCGTCAACTGCCGGAAATGCGGGCGGCTGTTCTGCGAAGAGCACACCATGTATCAGATGAAACTCTCGCGAGCGGCCCACCATGAACCAGTCAGGGGCGTGTGGTGCCGGGTGTGCGAGACATGTTACAAGTCTAGGGAAGGATACAACGACAGCACGGGCCTAGCTCGCGACCACACGGCATACTTCACCGCGGTACGGACAAAAAAGGTGGAAAGACAACGATTAGAGGTACAGAGGTTAGAGAAGAGACTGACGAAGTTGACACGATTGCTTGCGGAAGCGCCGCCAGAAACGGGTGTCCACCCGGGCCTCTTGTCACCGCTGGCGGGGCAGAGGAATCAAAGGAAGATGATCGAGCAGTCTGTAGTGACTTGGGAGGATGATGCGGCCGTCGCCAGATGCCCCTTTTGCAAGCAGGAGTTTGGGGCTTGGACCTTCAGGCGGCATCATTGCAGGATATGTGGCCGGGTTATGTGCGCCGACCCGCAGACAAACTGTTCGAGCGAGGTGAGCTTGAACGTCGCAAATCGTGAGTGTCATGTGTGGTCCGGTTGAATGGCTTCACTAACGCGGAGAAGAAATTGCGGTACCCACGACCGAAAAGCTCGAACACCCGACCAACGGACAAGTCGGCATTGATGTACGGATGTGCTGCGAGTGCAAACAAACGATTTTCTCCCATCACGACTTTGTCGAGTCCATCAAGCACCGGCCGCCAGATCAACGCGCTTACGAGACACTTCGCCAATTCGAACGCGGCATCCAAATGCTGATGCCCTCCTTCCACAAATCACTACTCGCCCTTCAGCCGCCCGACGAGAACGGAAACGGGCCCGAGAAGCCGCCACCCACACACGTACAGATCCAGGACGCGGCCAAGATCCGCAAACGCCTGACAGACTCCTTTGCCAAGTATGACCTGGCCGCCAGACGTATACGCAACATGAAAACCGACAGCCCGACCCAGTTACGCCTCCAGAAAGCCATCCACGCATCCGCCTCGTCCTTTTTGCACGCCAACCTTATACCTCTGAAGAGCGTCCCGGCCATGCTCAAGTCACAGAGCTCAAATAAGTCACAAAGCTCCAACCACCGCAGGCTGCTCTCCGCCGGCAACGGGTCATCGCATTCGATATCTTCCCCGCTGCGCAACGGTGAATCAGCGGGATTCGACGCCGAAACGTCAAGTCTAGGTGGTGCGAGCGAGGTTAGCACGGCCGTTTCGATGGCGCTGGAGACGGAGGAGAAGGAGGCGAGGGAGAAACTGGTTGTACTGGAGGAGCAGCGGTTCATGGTGCAGGACATGCTCAACAGGGCAAGGGGTGCCCGGCGGTTCGAGGAAGCCGGCGCCCTGACCAAGAACTTGGAGGAATTGGATAAGGAGATTGAAGCTTCAAGACGGCTGGTGGCGGGGGTTGAGGAGAGGTGGGAAGGCCTCTATGCGGGGACTTGAGTTGCCCGGCATTGTCAGAATTCTTGTTAACGGTCAGTTGTATGATGGCAAACGGGGTTGGCATTGCATGGAGTTTTGGTGGAGCACCACATTTGGAGGGACCGGATATGAGAGGCACCGGATATCGCCTTACTTGACTACTAGCCAAATAAGAACATGTAATATTGCAGGGTTTCCTTTACTTACTGTGGTCCGACACACATTCAGGACAGCTGAGGGCAATGAGACGGGGATCATCTGGGATGTCAAAGGGTTAGGGTTATTCACGATTCTCAACCCCACCATTGCCATAATGCCTCTGTTCCCAGAGTTCCAGTGCACCTTCCATCCCAATAAACTCGCTTCTATCCTGAAAGCACAACCAATTTACCACGCAAATACTTTTTTTCAACGCGCTACTCCCATAACTGCACGTGTGACAGGAACGCGATCCGCTCAATTCCCAATACCCATCCAACACCGACGCGTCCAAGTCGCCCACCCTCCCTGACTCCCGGGCTCGCAAACCCAACAACCCACCCCAATGCCTCCCAAACGCCGCCAACCCCACCCCCCAGACCGGGGCCCAGAACCCGACCTCAACGAAGAACAACAACAAGCAGAAGCACAAGAAGAAGGCGAAGAAAACCACTCCGACTCCGACGCCGCCTCCAACCCCGACTCACCCCTCCCCCGCCTCCCCTTCTACAACACCACCTTCTCCGTCCACCGCCTCTCCTCGCTCTATCTCGGCGCCGAACCCCTGACTCCCAGCCGCCTGCAGCTCCTCGCCCAGCGTCTGCGCGACAGCCTCGTGGGGGACGTCATCCGTGGCGTGCACGTCGGTACGGCGGCGTCGGCGGCGGCGGGTGATGATGAGGGGGGTTCGGTGGTGGGTAGGGCGGGGGCACTGGAGAGGGTGGATGTGGCGTGGGTTAGGGTGGGGGATGTGTTGGGGTTTGAGGGGGGGGAGGGGGAGGGAGGGGGTAGTGGTGAGGGAGAGGATGGGGAGGGGTGGCGCCAGCTAGTGCGGGGGCTGCAGGGGAAGAAGGCGCTGCATATCTCGCTGCAGTATGAGATGGCGTCCTGCACTGCGTTGCTGCTGCCTCCGTTGGCGGGAGATGGGGAGAATGGGTTGGATAAGCCGGAGATGCGGTTTTCCGTCGGCGGCGGTCAGAGCCGCGGTGACGAGGATAACATGGACTGGGAACACTCGGCCGATCCATCCCATTTTCTCTCCTTACCTCTCCTCCTCGTACGCATGCCGCCACCGCTGAAGGCTATCGTCGGCGAATTTTTGTCGACAACCTTTGACTGCCGCGTCAGCCCCATGCGATTGGGTACGCGGAGTTTGATGGGCATCTGGGAGGCGTGGATCAAGTCAGCCGGTATGCCGTCCCGAGGGTCCCTTGCCAGGGATCTGGTGCTTACTCTTGGGTTTCATGTCCCGCCACCCGAACCTACGCCGGCACCTTCAAAGGAGGAAGTTACGGCGGAGCAGCATCCCCCCTTGGGTCTCAAGTCTATCGACGTCATTATTCCCGCTGCAGCACTGCCGAGGTTTGTGGATGTGGGCGAACGCGCGGCCACAACACAGGGGAAGCAAGCAACTTCACCAGCAAGATGGGGATGGGAAGGTGACTTGAGAAAACGAAGGAGATTGGCGGGGCGCTTGTACGAAGAGGGATGGGAGTGGCGGGGCGAGTCGCGAGAGAATGGGGGTTCTCCGAGTCCCCAGCCGTTCACCGAGGCGTTGGCCTACTACGTAAAGGAGCACCTTGCACTGAATCTTTTTCACCCAGGCGTCAGGGTTATTAAGATTGCCTGCGGTGGTTTTGCCATGTCCGAATCACGGCTGAAGCTGTTCGCGCCATCGGGATCAGGGGCTGGCGAGGACGAGGGTTTGCCCCTCCTCGCGCACAAGGGCGCCGTCTTGGAGCTACTCGGCAGCCTGGTCGGGAAAGCTCAACTCCAACCAGTGACTTTATAAACTTGGTTCGGGGGCAAGCAATAGGTATATATGACTTGTCTCATGTAGTTATGTGTTTGGTAGCCGGCGTTTTGGTGGGATGAACATGATACCCAGATCTGTCAACAGAGACATTGCAGGGCCTGTGGACAAACTTGTATGAGCCACGAGTTCATTTCTGACATGACATCAAAACCCAACGCCGGTTCTGCGCCGTCCACGCTGCATAACGCCTTGCGAGTAGATGTAACTAAAAGATCTACAGTATGCGCCACACTGACAACAAAGGCAAAATTTACTGCTACTCCGCGTAGCTTTGAACATAAAAACGCTAACTACACTTAACTATTATCTTAATCCCACCCATAATCCTGCAAACCTATCCTGCAAACCTCAAAATCAACCTTAAAGGCATCTCAACGTAGCCAACACACATACACATGTTAACCTCACCGTTGTGGGGGACAGTCACATCATACATATCATTGTTTTCTTGGCCTCCTTTCAATAATATCTACATCATTCAAAACTCAAGACAATGGAATGGGAGGCACTGTGAGTTGGAACAACGGCTTTGTTAAACATAGCCTCACTTTTTACTGGCACCAACGACTGCACCGTGGAACAGAAACCGATAAAAGTAAGGACGTTGCTGGTGTTCTTAAATAAAGCAGACTGGCCGGTTTTATTTTGGGATTTTAAACCTAAAACACATTTTCAGCCTTCGCTTTCCGTTTCAACCCCCCTCTGTTCTCGGATGCTTCGCCTCAATGACTTCTCCCGGTAACATTAGGGGGTCGCTGCCCGTGAGTGAGCAGGCGGCACGGGAGCTTGAAGAACTGTTGGTGAGGGTAGTCGCTCAGGAGTCTCTGACGGCGGCCTCGGAAACCCCTATGACTGAAAGACCGACATTTGAGGAGGAGGATCTCGAGAAAGCTCAGCTGGAACGTGCGATAGAGGAGTCTCGCATGGAGGCCAGTCGGGCCCAACTTCGTCACCAGGATGATGCCCAGCGTGAAGAGTTCGAAATTCAACAAGCCATCGCTGCTTCACTAATGGAGGCAACCACCACACGGCACCGTCGACGGAATCGTGGCTATTATGATGAAGCAGCGAAAGTTCAACAAGCGATTGAGGCATCGTTAAGGGTTACAACCAATAAACGACCTCCTCCCCGAGAGTTTGACCGCCACAAACGCGTCAAAACCGGAGAAGTCTTTGTGGAATCATATACGGAGACAACCACCATACCGCCTTACCGCGATATGTTAGTAAAGGAGGCAACCAACACTCGGCCTCATCGCCGGGAGCGGGATCGCCAGGACCGAACGCAACCCCAACAAGCATCTGTGGCATCCCTAAGGAAGACACCCACGCGGCCTCGCCGTGACAGAAAACGGGACCACAGTAAGCTGGAACAGCCGGAACTCGAACAAACTATCGATGCGTTACTGAAGGAAACAGCCAACAAACGGCCCCGTCGCACAAGGGAAACCTCGACCGCGGCCACCAACAGGCAGATTCGACCGCGGCACAACGAAGGACGCAGCCCAATCATTCCCCGCCCTTCTATTCAGACGACTGTAACTCGGAACTTGGTACTTCCCATACGTCCTGCACACCCGAGACCGCGCCAGGAGACGCGCGTAGCTGGAGACAGACGCAACGCCACGCGTAGTCCCACGGACAAAAGTCAGGCCGTCGACCCTCGCGGGGAAAGAACTCGCGCTGCCAATCCTCGTCCAGTTCAAACTCGTCCCGTGGACCCTCGCCCCGTGGACTCTCGCCCCGATAGAACCCTCACCGCTGGTCGTCCCGCAGAAAGACCTCGCCCCGTCGACCTCCGCCCGGACAGGACCCCCGTCACCACTCATCGCCCCGCAAACAGACCTCGCAACGCCGACTGCCCTCCGAACCAAACCGCAGGCAAGACTATCAACCATCCCTTGGGGGTCCCTCAGGCTGCGCCGAATCCCGCCCCGGGGCCGAGACGGGATTTGGAAGTTCAAGTACCCCCCACAGCGGCCCAAATCTACCGCTGGCTCCGGACGCGGGAGGGGCCTAGGCCCGTTGCGAGATGCTTTGGGGCTTGTCCACTTAAGTTGGTGTTTCGGGGTCTGCAGAGCGACAATGGGAGGCGCGAGCCGTCTATTATTCTCGGGTGTGGGCACGTGGTGGGAGGGAAATGTTTCAGCGACTTGATCGCCTTAGCGAGGGTCGAGGGTGAAGAGGCTCCGTGTCCTCACTGTCTGATAGTACCTACGACCGCGGCTGTGTAAATTATGTCAGGGCGAGAGAGTGGTGGAGGAAAGATCTAAGTTCCAGGACATCCAAGCAAAGCTAGATGTTATACATGGGAGTAGCCATGTGAACACCAACAAAGTTCCAGGCAATCAACAGTCCCAAAAGTTTCAATTTTTGAAAGTTTGACAAAGTTAGAGTCGAATAGTTAAGAAGCTTAATTCCAACCAGTCTAGAGATCAAATATCTCATTGTATGTACTACGCCTAACTTCTCGGTACCCTCTGGGAAGTGAGTCAGGTGGTCCTATATAGTCAAACCCAAAACATAAAGATATAGGATAGGTAACTTCGAAAAGAAAATATTGTTGTTAGTCAACCGTTGGTATCCACTACGGCTGTTGTGCGGTTATCCAAGCAGCTGTGCCCGTCCCCCCCTAGTGCCGCCTTGTTCCATGAATAGGTACCTACCTAGGTACCCAACGCTGCTTCGCGAGGATAGGATCGGGCGCAGGGCATCGCCGACATGTACGAATAGGCCGAAATGTAATACATTATAAACCATCTTGACACGGTGTGATATGGTCGTGTGAACTTGAAATGGGTTCGACTCGCCTGGGCTGATGCCTGAACCTTGCTTTCATCGCTCGATCGGGTAATTCACAGGCGCCAACTCGCGAGTTGATTCGTTGGCCGCAATTGCTTGGTAGTGTTATTGAAGGGTTTCAGGGGACATGGCAGGTCGCCCGAAATTATACAACTAGGTAGGTACCTTACCTACAGGCACCCAGGAAGGTACCCAGGTACTTGTAGGTTGCAAATCCTTCAGGTAGCTAATTCACACGAGTGCTTTCAAGCTTTGTTCCCCCCATGTGCTTGAGTCGACTCGGATAAACGTTCAAACGTAGAATGTGCGCCTGAAATCCCGACCAGCGACTTTGAGAAATTGAAACCCCTCCTCGCCTCATCCACGATTCGTATCAACACTCACTCGCGGCTACACCACCATTTGCGCGACCGACATGATGAATTCAGGCGAGTCAATTATCGTGGTAAAATTAGAGAAAATGCCGGTCGCTGTCCGGGCCGAGTTTCAAAGGATCTCGCCCGAAGTCAAGCCCAAAGCCAACGACCCCGACTTTATGAGCGACGACGAACACGGCGACCAGCGTCGTTCCCAGTGAGGGGGTAAGGGGGCCGTTGACGTTGCTATTGTGGGAGCGGTGTTCATGTTGCTAAAGGAGAGGTACTGATTCCTAGAGGTGATATAGTTTAGGAGCCTGGAACGAATCCTTGGTAATAGTCCCAGCTTTGTATCTAATTGCTTTGTTATTCACCTCGATCTACCCTCGCCATTCTGGTAATTGCCTGAAGCAGAAGCCATAGGCTACATGGTCACCATGCCTTCTATCGGCGGGAAAGACGTCAAAGGTTGTGGCCGAACCGAGCTGGCCGCCTGACAGTGGGATCTCGGGGAGGGTAGAGTAACCCTACATGTAAGCAACCCTTTGATCCCTGGCTGTTTGCGGCCGTGATACTGATGCCCAGGGACGCATTTCGGGCGTCTAATCCAGGGGCATTCGGACTTGTGCTTGAATCGTCTGCGATCGCGGTGGCTACCGGAAAAAGTCCAGGGCCACGACTCGTTCCATGCAGCGAAATAACCCAACGCGACGTCGGGCTCGGGACCTTGGAATGCCTCGGCGCAATGCAGGGGGGGATCTCGCCGACTTAGAGGCTCTCGTGCCGAACCAAGCACATGCCAAGCACGCTACGGCTTCATGCGAACGGGTCCTTCTCCACATCTCCCTTAGCCTAAATGCCATGTCCCGAGATCCGGGGAGTGATTCTCCGCCATTTTATGGAAATCCGGGGAATGAGCTTCCATAGTGGATCTTTCCACGAACAAGAGCCGCCCTTGCGAGCGCCGAGAACCCGGTTAGAGCAGCTGCCTTGCATGCTCCCGATCGACAACTCAACGACATTCCTCTAAATTGGGGTTGCTTCAATGAGAGAACGGTGAACGAGATACCATTGTCACCTACCTAGACCAGAACCCTCTGGGCCCTGGACATGTAAATGTTACCTCTGGTCCAGCGCCGGAGAACAGGTGTGGGCTTGTCGGTCATAAAGACTTCTTTCTTTGTCCGTCATCCCTGCTCTCGTGAGTGTGCTCGCTCTAGCCGCACGGGGACGCCGGCCACAAGCGCGCTTAACCGACTTCTTTATCCTTATCTAGGCTCCTCGGCTGCCCGCCAAGGGAGCCGGTTGTTATAAATACCACAGAAGGGAGCAGAGAAGGCGGGGACTCTTCATGCTCGGAGGGCAGGGTATCATGTGGGCACCACGATTCAACGCCAAACAAAGCCCCTTCATGATCCCTAGGGACGTGCCAAGTACATATCCCCATTTTTTGATTTAGCCAGAATCTGGCTTCACTCCCATAGGCGCGGGAAACAATTGCAAGCTATGACGTTAGGAAACAACAGCCTCGGGCGTCGATGTGGTTGAATATATAAAGCAGGAGAGTTTTCCAGAGATGTCCTCCCAACTTCCCTCACACTGCAGCCTCAGTCTCAAGCATCGCGGTCTACTGCTACTATCAAGCACAGCTTCTTCATCATGGTGTCTTTCAAGTCTCTCCTTGTGGCCGCTGCCACGGTGACTTCGGTCCTCAGTGCTCCCTTCGACTTCGCTGAGCGCGACAATGGAAACTCGACTGATGTCCTCGAAAAGCGCCAGGTGACGCCAAACTCACAGGGTTACCACAATGGATACTTCTATTCGTGGTGGTCCGACGGAGGCGGCCAGGTTACCTACACTATGGGTGAAGGCAGCCGGTACCAGGTTAGCTGGAGAAACACTGGCAACTTTGTTGGTGGCAAGGGCTGGAACCCCGGTAACGGCCGGTAAGACTCGTCCTTCGGGATTACCCAGTCTGTCCTAAGTTTGACTCGGCCCTAACTCTTACTCTAGGACCATCAACTACGGCGGTGCCTTCAACCCGAGCGGCAACGGGTACCTCGCCGTCTACGGCTGGACCCGCAACCCTCTCGTCGAGTACTACGTCATTGAGTCTTTCGGCACCTACAACCCCAGCAGCGGAGCGCAGTACAAGGGTCAGCACCAGACCGACGGCGGTACCTACAACATCTACGTCTCCACTCGCTACAACCAGCCCTCTATCGACGGTACCCGGACCTTCCAGCAGTACTGGTCCGTCCGCACCTCCAAGCGCGTCGGAGGCTCCGTCACCATGCAGAACCACTTCAACGCCTGGGCCCGCGTTGGCCTGAACCTTGGACAGCACGATTACCAGATCGTTGCCACCGAGGGGTACCAGAGCAGCGGTTCTTCCGACATCTACGTGCAAACCCACTAGTCCGTCTCCCCAATTCTGATGTGCTATGGCAACGCAGTTCACTCCCTACAAGTACAAAACGTGGACGACATAGCTGACAAACGGAGAACGTTAGACGTTTTCGATCGCCGAACGGAAAAGGCCCTGTCGGTCTGCTCCGGTGGACAGTTAGTGGGTGATCCCGGAGGGAACGCTACCTAAACGTATGGACCTCGGGTGCACATAACGGATTCGGATACATCAAGCAAGGTCAATAGTTTGAAGATGTGAATTGTCACCCTCGAGACAGCTCCATTCCAGACAATAAAGAAGCGTTGCCTCACCCTGAACCTTAACACCGCCAACCTAATGTAAAATACCTTATGCAAACCGAGATTGCGCTCACGACCAACCATGGTTCCCTGGCCCAGCGGACTTCCTTATCAGACCACTTGGCCGGCCAACACTCTCAACGCGGAATCCAATCTGCTCCATGCGTAGGATATCAAGAATTCCTCTCCCGTCTAGGACCCAGTGCGGTCGTTTCATGTTGTAGTAGATTCTTGTCCAGTTGAGCCGGACCTTCCGAACGGGGCCGTCATGCTTCTCAGTTCCGGAGCTCGCCGTTGCAAAACCAGAGTCTTCCGTCTGGCACTCGGGGCAATCCTCATCGCAAGGTGGCATCGGGTTAAGGCCCCTCAGGTAGTCGTCGACATCGTCGGTCAAGACTTGACTTGGCGTGCCCTCGATTCCACCAGTTGCGCCGTCCATCTCCGCGGGGCCATTCTTGAATTCGTCGAACTCGGTTGTGATGAGCACAGCATCGGATCCATGACACGCCGCATACGCGTCCGTGTAAACAGTTACTGGGCCACCATGGCTTCGAAGCACATCGGACCCAGCGAAGTGCCCGATCTGCTCGGCTATTAGCGTTGACGTGCAGAGCGGATCGTAGACGGCGATCTCTTTCGGACCCTCCTTTTCCAGCGCCCGAATGATATCCATCGCAGGTGATTCGCGCGTGTCATTTGTGTCTTTCTTAAAGGCAAAGCCAAGCACCGTCACCTTCTTGCCCGTCAGGGTGTTATTCAAACACCGGAGCACTCGCGCCACGAGACGATTTCTGGCGAACTCGTTCATCTCAACCACGGCCAACCAGTATCGCGCAACCTCGGGGAGTACCAGAGTTTCAGCCAGGTAGACCAAACTCAGGACATCCTTCTTCAAGCAGCTTCCGCCAAAGCCAATACCGGCCTTGAGGAACTTGCTGCCGATGCGAGGGTCCGCTCCAACCGCGCGAGCCACCTCGTCAATGTCCGCCCCGGTAGCGTCGCACACGGCAGCGATAGAATTGATGCTGCTGATGCGCTGAGCGAGCATTGAGTTCGCTACTAGTTTTGCCAATTCGGAGCTGAAGAGATTGGTGGTGATGATGCGCGCGGGAGGAATCCAACTCGCGTAAACCGACGCCAGGGCGGCGGCGGCTTGGTTCCCGGCGGTGGTATTGTTGGATCCGATGAGGATGCGATCGGCGTACAGGAGGTCTTTAATGGCAGTCCCGGCCGCGAGAAACTCTGGGTTGCTGAGAACTTGAAATGGGACTCCCGGTCGGTGCATCGCAAGCTGCCTTTGGTGTTAGACGAATGGAAATTCTTCAGGTTCACCTTCATCGTCCTCTCGACGACCGGGAGGAGATTCCAAGTAAGAAAGGGCCTTACCATATCTTGCACGAGTTTCGCTGTCCGACATGGGACTGTCGACTTCTCGACAATGATGGCCCCTGGGCTCGCGTGCCTGGCGACCAAAGCCGTCACGGCCTCAAACGCGGCCATGTTAGTCGCGGAGCCTGCTCCGTTTCCGCGTCCCTTGGTCGGAGTATTGACCGCGATGAGGACCACGTCGGCTTCGCTCACGCACTGAGCCATGTCGGTCGTGAATATTAGGTTTGGCTGCCTGGGGGTATCGCTCTTGATCGGCACTCCCGTGCGCCCTCCGTCATAGTTCTCAGAGGAAACGGTTTTGCGGCGAGAGGCATCTAGATCGCCGGGCTTGGTAAGCTCGTTGTTGATCCCACACCCCACCGAACCGTCTCGCACAACGCGCAAGATGTCATTCAAGCCCGGCTCGTAGATTGGGGGGTGCCTTGAATTCCATCTCCGAATACGGGTCTCATCCTTGTCTACGACGGTGACTCGAATATCGGGGTTGTGCAGCGCAATTACTGCCGCAGTCGGCCCGCCTATCTCAAATCGTCAGTCGCTCTTTTTGACCGGTCGTGTTCACGGGGAAAGGAACTCACCAACGAAGCCGGCCCCGATGCAACAGATATTACGGACAGCCGGGGCTGCAGCTGCAATGGCCGCAGACAGGGAACTGACGTTGAGATAACCAGCATCGTCTTGAGGACGGAGGTTGGGGCTAAACGAAGAGCTTCCGTCAGGCGTAGTCGGCGCCGTAGAATCGTCTAGGGTCGTGATGTCCTCGGCGTCAAGCACGGAGAACGGGGCCGGCGTCGCAGGCGTCAGGGGTATCATGACTGCGGTAGTTCGGCCTCATCCATGAACTGGATGGGCAGATGAGCGCGTGTACCTGTTGCGATAGGGGAGAGGCTAGGAAATCGTGACAGGAGGGGATCCAGAGGGACTAATACACCTTAGCCGTGATAAAAAGATTATCCTGGTCGCTTGCGACAGACTCGCATATCCCGAGATCGGCCGGGAAAGAGGATTTTTGCCCGCAACCGTTCGCCTTATCTCCCGCATCGCATCCCTAGGTACCCTGCGGGCATCGTGCTCAGTGCTGAGCCGGTCATGGGAGCCCCTCCGCGCCCAGAGCATGTGAGGAAGTGACCCATTTCATCGAGTTTGAATGTGCCTAACCAATTCCGCCCAGGGGTGGGAAGATCATGTGTGGGAGCGAGTCGAACTGGTAGATCCAACTGATGGTCATGGACGTGCACGTTGCCGAAAAGGCGCTTGTTTATTCGCGCGTCAAGTCGCGGGTTAACGGTACCTTACTTTATTTGTTAGGTTGCCTCGGGACTAAGCTGCTCGCAGATCAAGGGTTCAACCGTGCATCTCATCGAGCAGTTAACACACGTTCCCCCAGTTTTCGCCCCGGGAGAGGGCCCATCTCCCGGGGCCCATGTGGATGCAACATGGCTTGCCATTGGACCGGCTCACCTAGGTAATTCCCAAGATGCCATCCCAAAAATGCCCATGTGCAATGGTTCACCTTTTGTCTGGCCCCTTGCATCATTCCCTGCATCCCCAGTACCATTGACCTGTTTTCCCGCTAGTTAGACGGAAAAGCTCTCCTCCCGTCATCCACGCTTACAGTCCATGTTCACCATCTCGGCTCTTTGACTCTCAACACGGATTGTCTGCTATTGATGGTACGGCACTAATGGTACATACCTGTAACCATGGACGCTGCCCCGTTCTCGACATTTCCGGATGCTCTCCGGGGTAAACGGATCCTACTCTGCACCGAATCCTTTGGTCCTGTGAACGGCGTGTCCAGGACCACCATGATGCTGGTCAACCACCTCCGAACGAACGGCACAAACGTCGTTGTGGTTGCTCCTCACACCGCGGAATCAACATTTGTGCCAGAAGGACTTGTCGACGCACAAACCTCGCGCCAGAGGCCTGAGGTCATCAGGATCCACGGCTATCCGTTACCGTTTAATCCAGAGCTGTCCATTGTGTATCCAGCCAGACTCTCCACCCTTTATAGAAAGTCCTTTGGTTCCGCGCCTGACCTGATCTACTTGGCCTCGCCTGCATCGTTGGGGTTCCAGGTAATGCTTCAACTCAGACAGCAGCCAGCACAAAAGCAAATCCCCATCATCTGCAACTTTCAAACCGACCTCGCAGGTTACTGCGCCATCCTCTTCCCTTGGCCGCTCAGCAACTTGGCTGTTCTTGCATTTGCTAGGGTGCAAAGTTTTCTCTTCAACCACAAGAGCGTCCAGACCATCTTCTATCCCAGCCGCTTCGTGCGACGCTATCTAGAGGAGCAACGCGTACAAAGCGACAAGCTGGAGGTCTTGCAGCGTGGGGTGGACACGGAGCTGTTCCATCCGGCCCGACGCAGCAACAAATTAAGAGAGGAGATTGCACCAGCCGGCGAGGTCGTCCTGATCTGCGTTTCTCGTCTAGCCGGGGAAAAGGGGTTCGGATTCCTTGCCGATGCGGCGAGGGCGTTGGATGCTCGTGGCCTCAAGTTTAAGCTGTACATTGTCGGAGGTAACCGCAACGCGGCGGTCGAGGCCGAGATTAAGGATTCCTTCGGGCCGTCATTAACAGGCCGAGGGACCGTCATCTTTGCGGGGTTCCGCGTCGGCGAAGCGCTCGCTGCTGCCTACGCATCGGCCGACATTTTCTTGCACTGCTCCACCACTGAAACCTTCGGCCTCGTGGTTCTCGAGTCCATGGCAAGCGGGGTACCCGTCGTGGCACGGGACGAGGGCGGCCCCAGCGACATTGTGCGAGACGGAGAGACGGGATACCTGACGCCGCCGGCTGACTTGACGGCCTTTGTGGATCGCGTCATGGTTCTGACCAAGGACGCTGGCCTACGGGAGCAACTTGGTAGAAATGCACGAGCACAGGCTGAGCAGGCAACATGGGAGAGAATCAATAATAAAGTTGCCTGGCGGATGGTGGAAACCATTGCTAGGCATCAGAAAGGAAGATCCCAGGCTGGGTTACCGCAAAACCACAGTTCTCAAGCACAGGCAGAGGAGGGTCTCGGACCGACGACGACGACGCCATTGATGGAGCGGTCCATGCCGCGGTCCATGCCGACAAACATTTTGCAAGGTCAACTTGCCAATGCGCGGCTTGCGGCTGGGATGGTCGCCATCTCTCTGACTTGGGTTGTCGTGGGGGCATATTTAGTCTTCATTAAAGTCGGCTTTTGGATCAAGGCCGCCTCGACGCGCTGTTTGCCCCGGCATGGAACAGGATTACAGGAGAACACGTTTGCCTCTATGTGACCATCATGTCTAGTGTTGAAGGAATATTGAAATGTACCTATTTAGACCTGAACAAGGTTGACTAGGTATTAGGGTTCAAGGCTCCCAAGCCCCAGCACTCGACTAACTCAGCCTTGATAAAATGATATGGGCTTAATTACCAACGAAATTGATGCCATGGTGTATCATCATACACATCGGACGTGTCAAGGCTCATAGCCGCAATCTCATCCCGACTACAGTCCAAGTCCAAGCTACGTAGGTAGGACGAGTTGTGAACCACACAACCTCGGCCTTGGCTTGGGCTGACGGTGCCATGATTCGATCTTTCATCTTGTTTCAGAATGCGCCAACTTGTGAGTGGGTACCAGTTAATGACTGGTACAATAGGTACACCAAAAATCTGATTGTCATTGAAAACCCACCGACCAAATCGCTTATTGGCTCCGTATCAGCCCGCTTCTGCCTTTTGTGCCAATTCCTGTTGGTCATGGCCGTGGTCAAGTCTTCGGAAAGCCTCAATACTGTGTAGTGCCGTTAATTTGAGCTAGGTACCTAGGTACCACGGTGGTTCGCCAAAGTACCCTGGTATGGAATCTAGTGCCAAATTCACGCGCTGTGAACTTGCAACATAGTTGAATAATATGCCGGGTCCCCGTCATCAAGTGACGAAGAACGCGCCAAAAGAAAGAACCCTCATTCAGCTTCTGCATTTAATGTTCTGCATGACGTGCTTGAAGTGGGTGGAGGCCATTGAGAAAGACAAAGTCACCGTCCCTTCGACTTTGCCTTCATCCTATCTGCCGAGACGTTAAGTTGGCCTTCGAGGACCAAGAAATCCACTCGCCTCGACGACAAGACGGGGCTTCGGTTTTTATTCTGAACCCATCTAATTGTATTGCCCATCATGATGCCTGGCTACTGTTTCACGTTGCGTATCGGTTGCCTAGCCACATCTCTCTGCCTTGTGCTCTGCTGAGGGTGGGTCCGGCCCGCCTTAGGCTCCGAATACACCAGATTGCCAGTGATTGTCAGTTTCAGGCTGGCCACAATGAGTTTGAAATGGAGTAAGTAGGCTGAAATGTAAACCTAGTTGCGGGGTGACCCAAGGGCCACAGCTCCTAAACAGGTATCTACCTAATGAGCTACCTACCTACCTATATAACCCTGAGCCGACATCTATTCTACCTACCATGGAATCTCATCAAACACACATATTTGCACAGCTTTAAACGCACATTTATACTCACAAATCGAAACAACCATCTCACCAGTCATACCCGATATACATCAACGTTCGCCCAACATGCCCAAGGGACAAGTCAACCCCCCCAATGCGACGGTCCTCGTTGGGGCAATGGCAAAGATTGTCGAGAGAAGAACCAAGACGAAGCAGAACATTGAAAAAACTAAAAAGGAGCTCGATAATATGACAAAGAAGAGTAGGCCTCTCACATTGTTGCAACGAAGTGAAGTGTCTTAGCTCACCTCGTAACCCTTAGATGCCCCTCAAGTTGAAAGGGACCGGCAGGCGACCAAGATCCGAAAGCTCGAATCCGAACTAACGGGATGGCCTGCTACCTATGAGACCGAGTTGAAACGATGGCTCCTTGCGCAGGAGTCTGTTGCGAATGGGTGAGTTTAGCGGCTGATACAAAACGTATGCTACTGGTGCACCCACATGCTAACGGCGATCGTATTTTAGAAAAATGGGGTCTACTTTACCCCAGGAGATCAAGAACGAGATTTCCAAGTACCTCCAGACTTCTCGTATCAAGCAGATCGAACAGGAGGTTCTGAACAGGAAGTAGGTATTCCGGTTAGGAGAACGAGGGTCTGGAACTCTCAGTATTGGTTGGGGCATAAGTGAAGCCTAGGTGTGCTTTGGTAAAAGCTATGGCGTGTTGGGCGTTCACTCTTTGGTGTTGTATTTGATCTGGGTTGATGGGATGGACAGGGTCGCATGCTGGACATGTACCCAGTTTCGTCGTCACCGCAGCCTATACACAAATGGATCAAATAAACACATTTCCCACGGCTTATATTCTCTGGTTCCTCGCTGGGAGTAATGGGGGTTGCCTGGTGCCGAAGGGGAGTGGTAAGGGTTCTTTGGCACCTCGTTGAATGTCAAACACCACACCGCCATCAATTCGTAATTTTGGGGCCGATCCAACTCATTTATTATTATTATTATTTATACTCCGCTGTGCCCTAGGGCGTGCCGGACCCTCTGCTATTTTTGTGTACAGAAAAACCGTGCCTTCCCGGGCCGGGTGAAAAAACCCATACCAACAATCAAGGAACGATGCGTTCTGGTGAGTCTGCGTACCTATACAAAGAGACGAGGCCTCCTGGCCTCCGAACGGGGGCGCTTCAGGCCGCCGCTTCCAGCTCGAGCCTCCTGGCTAAGTTGTACATCGGCAGCTTCCACGAGTCCATCAGCCAGTCGAGGACTCTCCTCGCAAGCCGTGCAGTCGTGGGATTGATGCCGTGTAGAACAGAGTAAAAGTCCCGTCGTGTCCGAATTCCAGTTCTCTCCCATCTTCGAGTCAACGGTGGGGCCAAACACCACACTACCAGGTGTTCGGCAGGCTCTCGTCCCTCGCCACACTCGCAGGCAGGAGTCAGAACCTTCGGGACTCCCCGTGTAAACAAGAAGTCCCGTAAGCCTATTGCTCCCGTCCGGATTTGAATCAGCAGTGAGCTCTTTGCCTTGCTGAGACCGTCGTGCCTCCTTAGGGTTTCGTTCCGGAAAAGCGTCTCCTGCTGATGGTCAAAGTCGTCCGCCGGTCTGGTGATCGCTCTGCCGTCCCGTTCCTTTAACCACCTCGCCCTCCAGGCCTCTTCTACTACCTTGTTCGTATCTACGGTTCCCCCCGTCCAGCGCGCGATCGTTCTCGCGGCTTTCTCCACCGCCGTGGGCTCCCGCAGTTCCACAGTTCGCGGTCGGCCCCTGTTACCGCTCTTCGAACGTAGTCTCTGCTGTATCCTTTGACAGGCGGTAAGAATAACGCTCCCTGCGGTCTTCTTGCCGCCTTGACCGTCGTCTAGGTCGGTTCGCTGGAGTCTGGTCTCAAAGTCCGCAAGCCGTTTGTTGAGATATAGGTCCAACGGCGGCACCCATGTTCTCCGTCTCGAGGTTACCGGATGGGGGTAGACTTAAAGGCTCCCGCCACAATCCGCAAGCTCTTGTTCTGGGGTTTCCCGAGGGCCTTAGTGATGCCTTTCTTTACTGGCTCGCCTCCCACATCCGTGGGGATGTGAAACGATGATGCGCCATAGGCCAGCGCCGACCGGATGCACTTTGTGTACACTTCTCGCGCTTTGGCTAGCCCAATTCCCCACGTCTTTGCCACGATCCTCGACAGGGCATAGCTCTGGGTCCTCAGCTTCTTCTCCACTGCCACCAGGTGAGCCTTCCAGTTGAGTTTCCAGCCCAACCAGACTCCCAGGAATCTGGCAGACCCTTCTGGTTTAACGGGGCTAGTGCCTCCTCCTGGGTTGGCAAGGTTTACCTGTTCGGTCCACTGTTTGTTGAAATGGATGAGTTCGCTCTTTTCCGGGGCGAACTTGATCCCCCGGCTGTCCGCTCATCGCATACACGTTTCCTACACCGGCCTCTAGTTGCCGGACATTGGCCTCAGGTTTCGACCAAATACCAGGAGGTTGGGTGTCATCCGCAAACTCCTGTTATAGCCAAGTGAGGGTGCTCGTCTTTTAGTTGCTTGTATATTGAGGAAATATAGAGGATGAAGAGAACAGGGGAAAGGGGTGACCCTTGGGGGACCCCTGCCCGAATTGCCGTCGGTGCCGCCGTCTTGCCGTCGAAAATAAGGGTGGCCTCTCGACCAGTCAACCCAATCTCTCGTCCAGAGGACCAGCCACCTCGGGTAGCCCATCTCTCGCAAAGTTGCTAGCAGTCGGGTACGGTTGACCGTGTCAAAGGCTCCTGAGATATCCAGTTGCAATAGGGATGCCGCACCCTTCTGTCTCCACGCCTCCTGGACCTGGGCTACTACTAGCCGGACAGCCAGCTCTGTGGAGCGGTGTGCCCTTTTCCCCATTTGTTCATCTGGTAGGAGGCCGTTGACTTGTGCAGCTTGAGTGACCTTCCTGGCGACCACTGACTCTATTACCTTCTCCAGGGTTGGCAGCAGAGCAATGGGCCTGTATCCCCCCGGGGTCTGATACACCGGCGGAGCCTTTCCTGGTTTCGGTAGTACTACAGTCTTCGCCCTCTTGAAACGGTTCAGGAACCATCCTAGCTCCAGGCACCTTGTCGCCAGATGGGCCAGCACTTCAGCTAACGGTGCTCCGCACGCCTTCAGAAGGCCCATCGGGAGCAAATCCTCGCCTGGCGCCTTCCAGGGGCTTGCTCTTCCTATCGCTTCCGTGATCTCGGTCGGCGTCACTGCCTGTACGACGTCGAAGGCCGGGTTCCAGCTGCCCAAAAAGGCTTGGTCTTCCACGTCCGTCAGGTTGGCCGGTGGGTCCGGGAAGAACATCTCGGCCAGCGCGCTGGCCTTCTGGTCGTGCGTTTCGGCCGTTACCTGTCCGGAAGAGTCCTTAAATTCCGGCAGCCTCGGTGGTTCTGGCGGCAAAAAGCTCCGCAGCCATAGCCCATCTTTCCAAGCTCCACATCTGATCGGGCTTCTTTGCCTCGCTTGCTTCCTGGTGCAGAGCGTTGACTGTAGGCCCCGCGAGAGACACGCTCGTGCAATTGACATCACGGCGGATGGCGATATTGAAGAGTCTCGGACAGTCTACGAGAAGTATCTCCGACGGCCCGATCATATGGAGGATGTCTCCTACTTCGAGTTCCTACAAAACTGGAACTTCAAGGCACGAAATGCGGACAAATGGGCGATTTGGCGGCCTCCTGCGATGCCTAGGGTGTTGTATGATTACCCCCGGTACAAGCCGGTCCGCTCCCATCGGCAGTACTCCGAATTCTGCCGTGTCAAGCTACTGCTCAGTCATCCCCACCGCCAGACAGATGATCTGTCCCAGGTTGATGGTCGAAAGTTCGACAACTATTCATCTGCCTATCGTTACTGCCTCGAGCATCATGACCACCTGGACGACCACTATGGCACTGTTGACGAGCCTGATCCGTCTCCGGATGAGGAGGAGTTTGAGCCAGGGGGGGACGCCGGGGAGATTACCCTCGAGGACTGGCAGGAGATGGCGCGGTTGGTCCCCGACATTGAGCTTCCCGATGAACGGGCCGACTTGCTTGGCCGCCGAGACCTGGATGTCAACTACGACTGGGCGCGACACGTAGGCCGCTATTATCACGAGGAGTTCATTACTGGGAGCTACTAGGCGCAGCTTTGCGGAGAGACTCCAGGCAATTACGACGCGTGGAAGATATGCCTCTCGCAGCCCGTGATACGCTGGACACGCAGCAGCGTCAGGTATACGACACGATCATGCGCCACTTCAGGGCGAAGAACGAGAACCGTCGGCCTCCGCCCCTCCGGCTGCAGATCGATGGAGAAGGTGGGACTGGCAAGTCGTATATGGTGAAGGTGATATCTTCTCACCTTCAGGCCAAGGCGGCTTCCTATGGCCGACCCTCCCCCATCGTTAGAGCAGCTCCGACGGGCGTGGCGAGCAACCAGATCGGGGGACAGACTTTGCATTCCCTGCTGCGGCTCCCCGTCGACGGCAATTACCGCTCGCTCTCCGAGACCTTGACGACCCTGAACGCCTTGCAGCGGCGGTTCAGGGGTATCCACTGCCTCGTGATCGCCGAGAGGAGCATGCTCGGCCTCAAGACCCTCGCGTGGATTGACCAGCGCCTACGGGAGGTGTTCCTGGAGAATCGCGACGAGTTCTTCGGCGGCCTCGGCGTCGTCCTGATCGGGGACTTCTTCCAGCTCCCCTCTGTCCTGAACAGGCCGCTGTATTCGACAAGCGACGATCTGAAGGACATCGAATCGTTGGGCGTAATGCGTACCTCTCGTTCGACAAGCCGGTGTTTTTGACCACAATACAGCGGCAGCAAGGCGAAGACCAGGCCCCGTTTCGGCGGGCCTTGGAAGAACTGGGAATGGCTGATGTGTCGGTATCCTCCTGGGACTCCTTTCTTCAAGGTGTTCTGTCAAGCTCTCTCCCGAGGAGGTTGACAGCTTTGCCGATGCGCTTCGCATCTATTCCACCAAGGCCCAGGTCGTCGAGTACAACCACCAACACATGCTTGGCCTAGACAGCCCCGCCATTCAGGTCGAAGCAAAGCACGAGGGTGTTGGTGCGGAGAAGGTTGAATCCTCAAATGCCGGCAACTTGGCCAAGCGCTTGCCCTTGTGTGTTGGTTGCAGGGTGATGCTAACGCGGAACTTGTGGGCGGACGTCGGGCTCGTCAACGGTGCGCAAGGCACAGTCTACGAGATATCCTGGAAAGAAGGTGCTGACGTGCTGCGAGACCCGCCCGAGGTCATCATGGTGCCCTTCGACGACTACGACGGCCCCGCCTTCACGATGCCGAACGGGGAGCCGCTCCGCAGTGGAGAGAAGCTGGTTGTTCCCATCCTCCGAGTGCGGCAGGACTTCATGGTCGGCGCCAACTCATGTTCGAGAAAGCAGTTCCCGCTGTGGGTCAGCTATGCGATCACCGTCCACAAGTCACAGGGCATCACCCTGGACAAGGTCGTCTGCGATATCTCTGCGCCAGAGTTTGCTTCTGGCCTCTCCTACGTGGCCGTCTCGCGGGTGAAGACACTCGGCGGGCTGATGTTTAAGCGGCCCTTCGACCGCAGCAGGATCTACCGCGAGACACCATCACGAGCTATGGGGTTGAAGTTGTCCGATCACGCTACCAGGCAACTGCAGGCGTTAGATGTTGTGGCGGGGGAGGTTCCCTCAGAGTCTAATTGATCTCTAAGTAGCGAGGACGTGAGTGTAGAGACGTAACGTGAGTGGCAGAATAGAAACGATTAGTAGCTATAGTTAAGTGTAAGAAGACGGCTCAAGTAGATGGAGTTGTTGGCCGACGGACAGATATTGGCGCTTCGTCTCTCCCGTATTCAACTCTGACCCGGATTGTCCTCCGGGGAGGGACAGGAAAATTGCCAGGAGCGGGAGAAAGGAAGGAAGCGCCCCGTGGCGTAATTAGCGAAGGGCCGCGCGACTGACGAACGAAGCGACGCCAGCAATTTTATAAGTCTATTCAATCAACAGTTAACGATTTAAAAAGGCTTTAATTAATAAGGGCATTACAAACTCGTAGCTCTCATGTCAAAAACGTTTCTCGTCAAAAGTCTTTCCACGTCCCGGTAACCCCTCTGCGAGGCTAGGATCAGAGCCGTGTTCCCGTCGACGTCTTCGTGTTCAACATCAGCGCCAGAGTCTAGGAGCAATTTCACAATTTCCGTCTGTCCAGTCTCTGTCGCGTAATGCAAAGCTGTTTGGCCCGCTTCATCCGCTGCTTTCGCGTCTGCTCCGGCATCGATCAATGCCTTGGCGACGGCGCCATGTTCCCTCAAGACGGCCGATAGCAGCGCCGTGCTACCCATGTCATCAGTAGCATCGATGTCTGCACCTTCTCGCAGGAGTACTCTTGCAACACTTTAGTGGCCTGCTTGTGCCGCCCAGATAAGAGTTGTCTGGCCGTCCCCTGACGAGGCATCGATCCGTGCGCCATTGTCAATCAACACCGCTACTGTCGTTGCGTAGCCACCCATCGCGGCTAACAAGAGCGGCGTATATCCATGGAAGTCAACCGCTTCAATGTTTGCGCCATGCATTATCAGAAGTTCAACCACGTTGCCGGCTTAGGGCACCTAATCGGTTTGATCCACAGCCCGCTCCTTCCCTCGAGCTGGTACCCAACCGCTCTTGCCTTCGAGAGCAGTCACTCTACGGCTTAGAGGAAGGAACAGCTTCAACAAATCAGCCGCTTAAGGTCGTAAGCCGAAGAGAGACCCCTCGCTGCTGTGAGCGAATATGTCCCGGCTCGTGGATACCCGCCTTGCACCGCTAAGACTCGAGTGAAACGTTGTAGGCCAGGCGATCCGGCCTTGAGTGGAATACCAACCCCTTTGCCAATGCTTCCAGCCCGACCGCAAGGCAATATGCCAACATGTATGCCATCCCATTTCTGGCTTTGCACAAACATGAGCTTCAAATGGATCCCCTTGTTATCTGTCGAAATGGCCCTACTTAGCGTATTCTGGGCGTTGACAGAATCCCAGGGCACTATGTCACCGCAGAAGGCGAAGGCGGCCGGAGAGGTTGCGAGAAGCCCAGTGTTTCCGTCCTCTGAGTTAGATGCCGGAGGCTCCCAGGCGAAAATGCTGTGATCGTCCGAGGTTTTGATAATTTCTTGCTGCAACCGGAGGAAGGCTTTCTCCCCTTCACCGTACAACATAGGCATGTTGACATCGAACAGACCCATCAAAGAGTAAGCAGTGTCCTCCACTCGGGTTGTTTCCCTATTTGAAGCCCACGACATCCTCTGTGCGATGCTGGCGGTATACGGCGACGCACCACCAAGAATTGTATCGGGTATACCTGTAATAGCGGAAAGAACGGAACGTAGGCTGTACTTGGTGTCGATCTCTTGCCAAGTGTCGTCCAGAAAGACTACCATGGAGGGTGCAATGGGCTCCTGTAGAGTCCATCCACGAGAAAACCAGTTGCTATTCGAAAACCCCGGGTAGCGCTTGGCAAGAAATGGACTATTTAACATAGAAGAGTCTCGACCAACATCGCCCAGGTAGACAAAACATATGGTCGCATCCTTATACCAGCGGTACATCGAGTTGATAGCTTCCGAAAGTTCGGCGCTGCTGGTCTTGTCGATGCAGCACGTGTCGACCCAGCCATACTGAAACCCATGGGAGGCTGCAACCGAGCAGAACCTCTGCACTTTGATAAAAAGCCATTTGGCACAGTTATTCATCTGGATTCGCCCTTGCATCTCGCATCGCCTTGCGACAAACAGAGTCCTGGAGTGTTGGCTCCTTGTTGCTCCACCTGTGAGATAAAATCGCATAAAGCGGGACATTATCCGTAAAGTCGCCAAGGTCCAACGTAAGCGTATCGAGGAGCCGCATCCTGATAGGTATTAGAGATGAGGACAGCATAAGCAACTTAGAGAGACTATTTGTACCTGCTAAGGAAGGTAGGTGACTTAAAATAAGTTGAGGTGAGATATATTATTCAATTCTTGAAAAACTACTGATGAGCTTGAGTAGTTATTACATTAAGGGAAGTTGGGCATCTATGTTAGTCCCTTCATTTGCGGGGTAATACGAGGGACTCCAGTCCGCGAGCTTCGCCGTCTCTGGCCATAGAGCTTAGTATCTTCAGCTCCGCAATCTCCGCCGCGCTCTCACCCACGAACAGCTTTTATCACAACTCCTCTGAAGCCCGAAATATTTCCATAGCCGAAAAGCTGATGGCGAGTAAGTACAACGGCAGCGATGGAGGTTTAAAAGGTAAACGATGTGGGGTAGGTTCTTGACAAGTTGCTTTGCATTATTCAACATGGAGCCCTCGACCTCTCGTACGAAACATGTTCCGAATCCCAAGACTCCCTCGAAGAACCGACCCGGCATCTCGGAATGTCTCATGCGGAGAGAAAGCTTGTTGTTCCTAGCGTACCGCCAAGACCAGGTTAAAGCAGCCGGGGATAGCGGCAGTTAGGATGGCGTTCCGAGAAAAGGGGGTTACGTTGCAAGGGATCAAAGTACTTATTCTTTCGGCCGACACCGTCATCAAAAGCAGCCTTCTCTCTTGGCCAAGATAAACGAGATTACGGACAAATTTCACACCATGTTCGGCCTTACTGCCCTCAGCATAGGGCTGGCTGTTGCCCTCTCATATTTGGTGCTCGAGTTCCCCCGGGTAAATAACTCCGACCCGGCGCCGACAAACACAGGGAGCGTGCTAACCACCAACCAGCTGCACCAAAGTTGGCGATTGTGGTCTTACCACTCGCAACTCCCACCGGGGCCCAAAACACTCAAGACCGGTATTCGAAAACCATGGTTATGGTTCCTCGAACTAAACAAGCAGTATGGCGACGTGGTATACCTGCAGATGGGCCCAACCCCTACCATCATCTTGGGCTCGGCGCAAGCAGCCTGGGATCTGCTCGAGAAGCGCGGCGCCATCTACTCGTCCCGGCCCCGCTTCATTATGGGCGGTGAGCTCCTATCCAACGGCATGCGTGGGTTGATGGCCCCCTACTCCAACTTCTGGCGCCGCTGGCGGAAGTTGCTGCACAGCGGATTCATGCAGCGCCAGAGTGAGACGTACCGGCCGATCCAGGCACTTGAGTCGAAAGTGCTCATGCATGAGCTCCTGACTAACCCCAAGGACTACCGGACGCATCTCGAACGGTATGCCGCGTCGGTTGTTGTGACGGTGACGTATGGGCGCCGAGTCGAGGACGTCCGGACGGATGCCGTTGTGAAGATGAATGCTGAAGCTATGGAGAGGCTGACATCGGTGAAGTATGGTCTCGTGGTCATCTCCCGGCCGAACCCTTGCTAACATTCGGCATCACAGTATCCCTGGAAAGTATGCCGTCGAACGCTACCCAGCACTCAAATACATACCTGCTATGTTTGCTCCGTGGAAGGCCCAGGTGCTGGAGCAGCGGAAGAAGGATATCCAGATGTACACTGGTCTCATGAACGATGTCAAGAAGAGGTTGGCGGCGGGTTCACTACCGAACTGCTTTGCCAAGCATCTTCTCGACGAGCAGGAGAACCTCGGCATGACCGACTTGGAAGTAGCTTACGCCGCGGGTACCCCTTTTGGTGCGGGCGTGGAAACAGTAGGTCCATCTCCTGGCTAATGCTCTTATTGCCGCATAGCTTTAACAGCTCGCAGTCTGCAGGTTCGCTGGCTAGTTTCTTCCTCGCGTGTGTTAAGTTCGGCGACAGCTTCATCCCCAAGGCGCAGGCCGAGCTCGACAGGGTTGTATGTGGTGACAGGTTACCCACGTTTGATGACTTGGCTTCTCTGGAGTATGTGCGGGCCATTGTCTCGGAGACTCTCCGATGGCGACCTGTGGCCGTCCTTGGTGGCACACCACATGCAACGACGGCCGACGATGTGTACAAGGGCATGTTCATCCCAAAGGGCAGCACGATCATTGCGCCGTTGTGGAGCAGTAAGTGCAAATCAAAAATGCTTTGTTAGTGGCAGTTTATGGTATAGACTAACCACCCGTTTCAGTCCATCTGAACGAGGAAGACTTCCCAGATCCGCACAAGTTCCAACCAGAACGTTTCCTCGGGGAGCGCGAGTATCCCGGTAATCTAGGGCACAGCGCATTTGGCTGGGGCCGCCGCATCTGCCCTGGCCTGCACCTGGGATCCGCTTCCGTGGCCATAAATATTGCCCGGATATTGTGGGCGTTTGACGTCAGGCCTGCTCTAAATGTCAAAGGGGAAGTGGTTGATGTCGACATGTGAGCTGTTGGAAAGTGGACCGCTGTTCTCATCAATGACTGACGGTTTTTAGTTTCGCCTTTTCGGACGGGTTCAACTCGAGTCCCCTGCCATTCGAATGCTCCATCAAGCCCCGTTCAGAAAGGCATGCGCGTGTGATCGAGAGCGAGTACCAGGAAGCCTGCGGAGAGTTGCGTCGATACACTGCAGCGGCAAACTAAGCGTACCAACCGTGCCCCATTCTACCCAAAACACAAGGGGTATTTCAGGGGCACGAATACTGTAACAATGTTTATATACTTCAGTTTTAACCTTTTACCATCGGAATTGTACATGCGTTGGCTGGGACCTAGTAGCCACGATTATTATTACATACTCTAGTTGGCAGTGACCAAGTAAGGTACCTTACCTACCCTCTCCGTAGCTGGGAAGTTCTGCGCATTACCCCCCATGGGCTCAAAACGGCTAGTTGCAAATAGCCTTCCTCTCGTTACCCTGGAAAAAGATACTCGGAGTCAAGATCACTAGTGCGGGGGAAACGATGTTTGACCTGAGCGTGGCTTTTTAACTACTTGTAGATACACAACCGGGGCATGCACTATGTACGACTCGAAACAAAACTCTTGGTCATTCTTTAAAGTCCAACCTCCGCTTAACCAAGGAGGCCCTTGATGAAAGTGAGGGCCTGCTGGCCGTACTTGTTGACGTACTGCTGGTGCGAGTTGGCATCGTTGCCGTTGCAGCAGTAGGGGTCGGTCGAGTCGCAGTACGACTGGATGATGGCCGGCTTGGCCGGCGAGCACTGGAAGCCACGGGGACGGGCGGCGAACTATTTGTATTGTTAGCAGTTGTTTGCTCTAGGTAAGATCCGTGCGTTCCTGAAACGGAAGTGAAACAACTTACGCCCTGGGCCTGGCATGTGCCGACGTTGTACGGGAGCCCGACCACGTTGTGTGGGTCACCCATAAAGATGGCGGCCTTGACGGCGTTGAGGGCGTTTCCACTAAGCGTGGCACCGGCACCGCCGCAGAGGGCGTTGTCCATAATCTGGCCACCCTGCGAGTAGCCGATGAGAACGATCTTAGTGTCCGGGCAGCGCTGGTTGAAGCTCGTGACAGCCGAGACGACAGCTGATGTGCCTTGGCTCGCCGACTGGTCATAGCTCACGCCACCGCACTGGGCTTGGCCACCGCAGGCCGGGTAGTTGATGGCCTCGCTGGTGGCGCCCGAGTAGGCCTGCTTCACCATGTTGACGAGACCCTGCGAGGTGCCGTAGCCCGCGGGGGCGGTCGTCTCACGAGCTCCGAAGATGTGGACGCCGGGGCAGGACTGGCGCGCCTCGACATCGACGGGGCTGGCGCTGGCAAGGCCAGCAAGGACCGGGACGGCAACAGCGGAAACCTTCATATTGGATACTGGCGTGAGTCGTCGAGTTAAGGCTCGGAAGGTGTACTTGGCTGGTGGGATGTGCTGAAACAGGTGAGACGGTTCTGGAACGTAGGCCGCCCTTATATCATGATCTCAATCCGCAGTGTTTCGCACCCTTACCCGGTCCGGACGTACGGGTGGTCGAAAAAGGGAAGACGGAGAAAGGCTCGGCGGAAGGCCGCCGAATGCCACGCCGGAACCTTGTCTTAATTTTCGAGAGCCCTTCGGACATTATTTCTACCTACCTCGTCCTTGCTATAACCCCCTACTATGTAGCACCGGGTACGGGGTCCAAGCTAAAATAAGCCGTGGACCGGGGATATGGGACTCGACGCCTACGCAAGTCCTTCTCTTTTCCTTCTAGACCATGCCTCGCCATAGGTTCCCGATGTTAGAGGAGGCAATGATCGGCCAGAGACCAGGGCAAACAGAACAGCGTCGATCCTAAAGCGGCGCGGCCCTCTTCCACTTTCAAGTACCTATTTCCAGTTCTTCGTCATGTGGCGTTTTCTGGAATGCCATGCGAGTGAGTGGTCGGGGCCTTCCCCGCAAAGCCCTATAGCCGATAGTACATGGGCCTGTCGATCAATGCCGGGGCGAATCGAAGGCTTGGTTTCACCTATGTTGATGCTTGGCATAGTGTTGCTGTCAAGGCCTCAGCCGGCGGCAATAGGCAATAAACGCGGGTGAAATACCGAACAAGCGTCGCACTGTCGATGATCGGCATGCTCAACCTGCCACTGATCTGTGGGGAATGTGTTTTGCCTAAATGCTGCCCATGGGGAAAGCAAGGTGCATTCATGCTAAACCAACACCAATCTGGGGTTGAAGGCTGCGATGGGACCTCGAATGATGAATGTGAAGGAAACCTCAAACCTGGTGCACCGCGGTCTGCTTGGAGCTGAGGTCTCACCTGACTGATTCTATCCGGAATAGTATGTCTTAGAGCGGGTTCTTGTTGACCTATGGATTATGAATGCCGTGATGGTTGGGGTACGAAAAATGACCCTTTTTATACTGCCAGGAGGGTGTGCCGGGCAGCTCCTGATTTAGGGGCTGGCGTTATTGAGCGTTGCAAGGCCGGACTCAGCTGCTTGCAACATTCACCAGCCGGATGGCAACAACTAGAGGTGAGCCAAGAATCAATTGAATTCCAGCTATCCGAATGAAAGTCATTCCATAGGGGGAGTAAAAGAATGTGTAAGGTGATCAACTTATCGGCCTCCCCAGCCCCTTCTCATAGCCTTACCGTTCGTCCTTTCTGGGACCAGACCATGTAAAATCTGCCGCGTCATCCATACCGCCCTCCCTACAAAACCTGCGCATAGGTAACTGAACCTACCCTACCCTTCCGCCCCCGACATCCTTTTCCCCGAGCCGTAATATCCCCTAGGCCACAGAGAGTACCTCCAGGTCTTCTTAGCCTTGGTCTTACTGGCAGGGCTGCCAGTTGGTGCGGAAGATAACGTGCATGCTTCCATCGAAAGCGTCCACCTAAGTGATTCATCGTGCTCGCCCTTACATTAGCCCATCTATTCGACTTTTGTTTTCCTTTTGGTTCCCGCTTTTTTTCTTGCTGTCTTCCTCCCCTTTTTGTGTGTCTCTCTCTCGCGGTTTTTGGGTAATAGAAACAAATAATACAACAGGGGAACTTGAAACAAAGGCAGTAACGACGTCAAATTCAAGCGCAGCGGCGCCATTGCAGCGCCACTTTGTAGGGGTTTCTCACAGTCATGGTCCCCCGGTTGGGGGTAGAGATGGGCGTGATGCGGATCTCCGAGTTGACGTTGAGGATGGCTGTCGTGCCGCCGCAGCGCGAGAAGGACTCAACACCGACACCAGCGATCATGTTGTAGTTGTCCTCGTACGGGGCAAGGATGTTCTTCTGGAAGACAACCTCTTGGGTGCTATCGCCAGCGAAGGTGTAGCCGGCGCGGCAGGTACCGGTCTGACCCTCCGAAAGGCTAGCATAGCCGGTGAAGCGAGTCTCGATGACGGAGAACCTGTTCATCCGTGTCAGTATCACGACTTTCGTTCTTCTTCCCCTCCTCCGGTTCTGTTTCTTGTCTGCGTTGGGCGATACTTGGGGACTCATGGTCTGCCTCGTGGCAGTTTCAGGGCTAGGCCTAGATTCAAACTCACTGGTATCCAGAGGGGAATTGCAGGTTGATACTAATCCGGCAGTTCTTGCGGCTATCCGAGACGCTGCTACCCGGGCCGGCGCTCACGATGTACTCGTCGAAGGCAACGTCGAAGATGGTGCCTGTAGCATCCACGTTGATGTAGGCGTGGCCAGCAGGGCAGCCCGAGCCGATAGCGGTGACGTTGATGATCTTGATCTCCCCAGGAGCGGGAGCCGTGAAGCCCAGCGACTCACTCGGGTTGGGGGTGATAACGGCAGCGGCAGCAGCGCCAGCAAAGAGGAGACTGGTGAGACGCATCTTGAATGGCAAGGTTGCTCAAGTACGAGGAGTCAATGTGAATAACCTGAAGTTGAGTGAAAGTTCGTCAGGAAGGTGGTGATCTTGTGTCCTCAGGTCAGGTCAACTGACGGTCCTTTTATAGCCTTCAACGATGGGTCGAGTTCCAGTGCGAGAGACTAGTTCCCTGGCTCACGAGACATTCTTGAAATTCCGGGCCTTGACTCCGCGGTCAAAAAGCACAATCACGCCAACCTAGTCGCCACCTGGAGAGGTAAGGTCCGAGTCACGGAGGAAGTGGACTGTTACAATCTCGCCATCTCAGCCATCACGTCGCAACCAATGCTGCCATCCCCGCCTAACCAAGCCCACGATGTGATGTTGGCAACAGCCCATCACGCCGCTAGCGTTGGAGTTATCGCTTTCGACATCGAGGGGAAGTCGGGATAAGGTTGGACGGAAGGAAGGGATCCTTGAGCAGACCACAAAAGGCATTCCTAGGATGTGAAAGAGGCGGGTTTCCAGCTTTCATGGAGCTATTTTTGTCGACATTCATATCGTGCCGATATTAATTCGCAGCTTGGTAGCTTCCCTGACCAGGTCGCCGGCATCCATTCATATCGCTTGCTATCTTCATGTGATCCGAGGATGTGGTCCATGTCGGACCGTCCTGCAAAGCGAACCCCCGCGAGTGTGTCGGAGGTGTGGGCACTCGGAGACTGTCTGGACGCTTATACAAGTTTCCAAACCTAATTGTAGCATCCTCAATGCAACAATGCCATCACTCTTGCCAGTTGCGTCTTTCCACACTAGCCAAATGGTTGCTTCCAACGCTATCTGCCCTCGAAGGGACACGCCTGGGCTGCGGTGGTGGCGTGAAAATGGCCAGTAACATGGCCGCGGCAGCAACACCAAGTCGCGGCTCCAAATTGGCCAACAGATTGTTACGCGAGCCCGACCCGGAACATCAAGCTGCCAAGAAATTTGGGCCGAGATAGCGTCCTTGGGACCAATTCACACCCTCACTTGTCTTGGTGTTGCGATAGTGGGCGCAGGCGATTGGTGGGGATCTGGGTGATACCAAGGAGGTGGTTACCCCAACCCCATGCCTCGGGAGATTGGCAAGGGCACTGCTACCTTTCCCAGCCAGTCACGGCGGAATCCGAGTCCCCAGGAAGCTTATCCAGACTACGGAGTACGCAGTGCAAAACCCTGCGTGCATCCCCCTGAGAACGCAGATCTCACGCTCCCTCTGTGGGGTTTCACCTTTGTTGATCCTATCCGGCTCGGGAAATGATGGGAAAGAAAACCGTAACGACGGACTTTGGGCTCGGCGACGACCGGGATGTGAAAGCGAGAGGACCGGGTAGTTAGGTGGCATCGCTTGGTGCTTATAGAGTCCAGGTCGAAAGACTTCATATATGGATAAAGTGTCGATGGCTTGGCGCATCATCCGTCTGGTGATACTCCGCACTCTCGTGCATTGGCTGGATCCCGGATGGGTGAAAGCCCAGGCGCTGACCGCATCTCAAGTTACATACAAGCACGGCGAGCAGATTCTTAGGGGACCGTTTGCCGGGTTGCCCATCTTGTGTCGCCGCCGTACGGCATCACATTCGTCCAGTCAGACAGCATCCGGGGACGCGGGTAGCACCGCTGAAATTAAAATGCGTCTCGTGTTGCCGCGGAGGTGCCTTTCAATATCGCCTTTACTATCGACCGAGCCATTGGCGACTGCAGGAGAGAACCGGGGTCTCAAAGTCCTTGGCTAGTAAGATTGGGTAATGGACCAAAGTGGTCGACAGTTGGATGATTTCGCTACCTATGTCTGATTACCGCTCTCCTGGGATGACAGCAAATACTCCGTAACCTCGGAAAACTCGTCCCCGAATTGCAGCAACTCCCTCCACCGCAATGGGATGGCGTTAACACCATCCCGTGCTCCAAGCAACCCCCCTGCGATGGCACCGTTGGTATCAGTATCTTGGCCGAACCGTACCACATCAATAAGCACCTCTTCCAACGGGCGAGGATCCAGGAGGGCAGCGATACCCAATGTCAGAGATTCGAGGACATAACCAGACGCCTTGAAGGGCAAAGCCTTGGTGGCGTTGGCAGCTCGTTTCGGTCCGTTCTCAGCGAGGTCCCGAACCTGCACTAGCGACTTGCCTGCGTCCATGGCCCCTTCGACCTTACTCGCCGCACGCTCCAGCTGTACTTTCCGAGCTGCCGTCGTCTCCGCCGCAGCCAGAGCGGTGGCCTGCGCCACCGCGTCCTTCCCCGCCTGCCAAGCCTCGTCGGCTGACTTCCCCTCGACGAGTGCCTGTACCATCACATTGTATACCGCGCAAGAGATTATACAGTGGGAATCGTCGTGCGTGACAGCCGAAATCTCCAGAGATTCCGTCAATAGCTTGGCCATATCGGGCTGGAACAGGGCGGTGGGGATACACCGCATGAGTGAGCCGTTCCCCGCGCGGCCCTCTCCGGCGCCGGAAGTCCGCGGATCGGCCGTCCGCTTGAACCTTGAGATGCCATTTGCCGTAGCGCCGCCGACGTCGCGGGGTGTCTCGTTTCGGTCCCGGCCGGGCCAGGAGCGCCCATCGTACCAATCGACCATGTATTGGGCGGCAAGCCTGACCACGTCTGGCAGCTTGGGGGACTGTGATCGCTTCAGCTTTTCGACGTCACGGTAAGCGAGCAGAACGGCGCGAGTGAGGTCTGTGTCGTCGGTTGCATGCCCGGGTGGCCAGTCAAATGGACCACCACCGACGATGTCCCTCACGCCGCGTGGATAATCCTTTTGAATGTGTTCCCAGGCGTCGAATTCAACAGTGGCACCGAGGGAATCGCCGACGTGTACGCCAAGTAGCGCGCCGAGAGCACGCTCATGGCGGGCGGTAATGGGTAAGTTTGACATGGTGGTCTGTCCTCAAATAAATTTGACTGGAGTTGGCAGAGTTGGTGATCCAAGTTGTCGTTGTGTTTGTTGGACAGGTTGGCTGACTCGCACCCAGTCACACAGCCCGGCTCCATTTTAGGCAGGCAATGGGTTAGGGTTCGTCTTGATCGCAATCTTTACCACTTTTGAGCACACAGCACAGCCCAGTCCGAGGCAAGCTCCGAGCATTGCCCAGGGCAGAGCCCCGCGATTGACCCAAGGCAGTCGAAGCTCGTGGCCCGAAAAATGGATCGCGACCAACCGAGTCCATTCCCGACAGGACGGCTGCAAGGAGGGACAGAATGAGGATTGTTGACAATCATCCAAGCTCAGTTGGCGCACAATTAACTTTTGATAGAACGACAGGCTCCTGAATTTGTGACTATCGCGACTCCGTAACATGGCCATCTAAGCCCCCAAACTCGCTCTGTTCCTCAGCTTCGGTAAGCTTCAACGCCTCGTGGACATCATCCACAAAGTGGTGTTCACCGCCCGCAAGCTCAATGATGCCGCTGCTCCGTAGCAATTGCCCGACCTTGGAATCATGTCCCGGTCCTCGGCTGAAAAAGATGCGGACACCCCGTTGCCGGTAGTCCCGCACAATCTCCTCGAGCACCTGTGTTCCGCTGCCGTCGAGCGATGTCACGCCGTGTATGTCAAATATGATGTTACGGTTCCAATCCTCCCTCCTCAGCCGCGGCAGTGCCGGGTGAGCCATGCTTGAGCCGTACAGCTCCAACCGCCGCAGCCGTGTCTTCATCTCCCCGGTGTTTGCAAACGTCAGGGGCTCTGGGATCTTGACGATCAGGCACCCCTCGATGAACTCGAGACGGTCAAGATTTGCCTCGGCGTTCTCGAAGCGGTTAGTGCCGGGGATGCGGCCCAAAATTTGGATGCGCGGGCGTGTAGCGTGGCGGATGACCTGCAACAAGGAAAGGCCGACACCAATGGCCATGCCGAAAGAAAGGGAAAAGAAGATGGTGGCAACGACAATGGCGGCCATAAGCCCCAGTTCTTGCCAAGCACGGATCTTGAGAAAGAATGAAATGTCGTGCGGGCATTCTTCAATCAAGGACCAGGCTACAACACTGATCAGGGATGACAGGACGGGTTTCTGGGGCAACGTCAGAATGATATAAGAGACCGTAAAGCGGAGAGGGGGAGGGGGAAGCAAACCGGAAGGTAATAGAGGTACGGCAGAAGGAAGAGAATGCAAAGTAGCGTTAATCCACTCAAAATGATGGAGCTCACGGGGGTTCGGCCTCCCGTCGATTTGTTCACCTTGCTCCTGCCATAGCCGCCAAAGGAGGGTAGGCTCGAGAAGCAAGCGCCGACGAGGTTGGCCGTTCCCAGGGCGACTAGCTCGCGATTGGGACTCAACTGGATGCCGGCGAAGGCTTCGCCGCCAAGGCTCTTGGCTGCGACTGAGGACTCGAAGAAGCCGAGCAGGGCGATCAGAAACGAGGTGCTCATGGCCTCACGCATGTATCCGAGGTTAGCCGGCTGCAGCGGCCAGCGGAAGGTAAACAGACGCCCGCTGGCCGCCTCGACTTTGCCGAGCACGGCGACACCAGCCTTGTCCCATTCATACCAATAGGCGAGGAAGGCGGACAGGACAACGACGAGGAAGCGGTCCGGGATGTAAGCTACGCCCGGGTACCGGGGCTGCATACGGCGCTTGATCTCACGGCAAACCATGATAATGACGAAGCTCGTGGCCGCCACGGTAAAAGTCAGGGTGTGGGTTTTGTCCAAGTTTCGAAAGATAAAGGCGAGCTTGTCGACGCTGCTGGCGTGGCCAATGTGGGCTTGATCCGCCAGTTTATTGAGTCCGAGCTCGGGGATGAGCTGGTCCACGGCCACGACGACACCGATGGCGCTGATGAAACCTCGCAGGAACGGGCGCGAAAGCACGCTATCCAGAAACCCTACACGACCAACACCAGCAATGAGGACCATGGCACCAGACATTCCGGCTATGATGCCACAAAGCCTGGCCTGCAGCGTCGCGTCATCATCACTACCGCCCCGGTCGACCACAGATTTGATCACAGTTCCGACAAGAAGCGAGCCTGCTGCTTCGGGACCGACAATCATGGCGGGGCAGCTCCCGAGAAGGGCGTAGATGAGCGGGTTGAAGACGAAGGCATATAAGCCGTTCAGGGGAGGGACATGGGCCAGGTTATCGGCGAGGGAGAGCGCCATTGGCACGTACATGCCGGCCACGGTGAGAGCGCCGACGAAGTCGCCCTTGAAATAGGACCAGTTGTATTCCTTGGCCCAGACCATGACGGGGAGGTAGTATGAGAGGTACCTAAAACGGAGCCGGTTAGTATCGGCAGCGAAGCAGTTGTGCACCGGGGCACCGCGCAGATGCTTACATCAGGGCAGAGTCCTTCACGCCATGTTGCTCGGCCAGCGCACTCGACGTGCTCATCTTCTTGCTCCTCATTTTGGACGCCCATCGCCTTTTCCAGCTCCTACGTCTCGAGCCCTCCGAAACTGTGCCGTCGATACCGGGCACCGAGGCCTCCGTCTCGGATTCGGAAGGGCTAAGCCAGTCGCCCGGAAGACTCCCCGAAGGACTTGCCGGCCGTGGCGAGAAGGTGCCATGGTTGCAAGGCCCTTCGTGTGCTTCTTCCCGGAAGTCCAGTGTGGCGCCAAGGAGAGACGTCGATTCTGTCGCATGCTGCCGGCTCGGCCCCGCCCCATGCCGGTTCGAGGGACCCGCATCGCGTCGTGTGGAAGAGGCCTGGCCCGCGGTGTCGCTGACAGAGCTGGATGAGGAAGCGGTGTAGGTCTGGCGAAGACCGCTGGGGTGTGCGGGTGTATGGTCTTGTCCAGGGCGTGGGGAGTTCGGTTGGGAAGACATAGTTCGATGCTAGGTGGCGTCGGTGTCGACGAGAAATCACCTGTAGCAGCGTTGAGACAGAAGCATTGATTAAGAACGGAACGGAGAGGACCGGGATTCGCAGCGGGTAACAACGCGTTGCGGGCAGACAAGAGCAATTGGGTTTCCCGTCCAAGGTTCGTCAACATTAGGGAATTAGATGTGAGGATACAATGCAAAGCGTCCTTCTTTATTTGCACTCCTAGCCATGGGTTTGGCGAAGACCAGAGTGAAAGGTCAGAAACAAAAATCACAAGTCAGAAAGAAGTGGTGTCACGGTTTCGGTGCGTCCCGCAGTTGGTTTTCGTGGGCGGGCCTGGCAACAGCGGAAAGTATCGTTGGTGACAGGGTCGGTCGAGGTGGCTTCGGGAATGGCCAGGCTTGGCGGATTTAAGGCAGGGCTGTTTGACTCGAGAGATGCAGAACCCATCACAACCCCGCGATCCACGTGACTCCACTCACCCCGCGTCAGCCAATTACAACACCAATCTCTGTTTCCGATTGTTCAGCTTCGCCGCAGCCCCACCAAAGACTGGCTGGGAGGGATCCTGTTGGTGAGGCCCTGAGACCTCCTGAGCCTCCCAACGCGAGACTGTTCCAGGCCCCCCTAGTCCCCAGCGAGGTTTGTGAGGTGCTCGAGCAGTTTTCGCAGAGCGAACCACGGATCAAAGTAACTGCGTGATGCGGGACACTGCATCTAATTGCAAATAGTAGAAAAAAGGTAGAAGAAAGAGTTGTCTCTTCAAAGGTAGAAGGCGCCTCAGCCTGCACTGCAATATAGTTGTGCGCGAAGAGCGCACAAACTATTTGCAGAGGACCAGAGTGGGGCGGCCTGACACGGACTATCTCTAACTCTAATCACACAATGGGGATTCTTGCATCACTGCGCTTCACTGCGAAATATCCATGGTCTATGCGAGTTTGACAGCATTTACTCTCAATCCCAATCTTGACCCACCTAGTGACCAAGACACACGGGGTGGTTTAAATGCCTTTTCCTAACATATTAGAATGTTGCCCTGCAACAAGCACGCCCGGGTATCAACCTTCATCCGCCACCCTCGTGCACCTTATTAACACCATATCAATCAAACATGTCGCTAATTTCCTCGCCTTCATCCGGCGTAACGGCTAGCTCTAGCAGCTCGTGAGCCAGTTCCACTGTCTCAGCGTCAATCCCGGCCTCCATGACCAGATCTTCCTCGGCAAAGTTGAGCCTCGCGAGCGCTAGAAAGTAGCGTTGCGATCCGCCGTGAGAGGCAGCCAGCTTCGCCGACGTGTTGGCAGCCATGGATGTCCTTGGGTCCGTGACGATAAAGTGGAGCAATCGTGTTGCCAGCGAGATGATGTCGTAAAGGAGGCTCATAGGATCGGTTATCGTATCCAGTGTCGTCTCGTTTGTAACACCCAAAGCTTCGGCGTTCGACTTTGCCCCATCTGTCACCATGGCTTCGGTGCCGACCGGAGCATGTTGGTCCACGTCCATCTTATCCCCCCTGTCGCCCGGAAAGTTCCTCGTGCCCGCTTGCTTCTCCACTTGCAAGGGCAGGTCCGAGTCATACAGGCGATCGATAGCCCAGCACAACACCGCGACAAGACGCGGGATGGCAACGTCGCTCTCTGCGATCTGCAGGGCGCCGAAGTGGCTTGTAGCAAACATAGTAAGGGTCTCTAGTGCCGCCGACCTCACCAAAATTTCTTTTCCAGACCCGTGGGCAGCCCACCTCGGCGGCTCGCAAAGAAAGGAAGACACGCAGTCAATGACCGTGGCCGCAACTGCACGAGGGTTTCTTGTTTCGGCACGGCCACTCGACGGTTCGGTTGTCGACGACGGGATGGGGCCGATGCTATCAGACGTGACCGACGTACGCAAGATGGACATCATGGCCCACCAATCCGTTTCCGGATGCTTCGGGGACAGCATCGTCAAGACAAAGTCGAATTCCATTGTCCTCCAGAACTCTAGTTGTGGAGAAGGCCGTGGCACGTCGGAGGTGTCAGATCCTTGGACGGGGGCTGGCAGGCAAGCCAGGGCGGCGAGGTAGAGGAGGGAAAGACAATGAGTAACATCGATGTTGAGACATAGCTGCCGAACTACCGCATCGGGGTGCCTTGACAGATCGCCGTCAACACTATTGAGCCGGGGAAGCGCCACAAGGCGGCATGTTGTCGCACAGACCGGAATCAGTGCCGATATAATGTGTGACGCGACTTCGGTCGCGTTGAGCTCCAGAGTGTACACGATCAAGGCGACAAGGTGGTATATGGGCCCGTAATATCGCTGCGCAAGACACTGGTGCCACATTTCGATCAGCATGTCCGCAAATTCGACCAAGAGCGTTAGGGGTTCGCCAGGTGTTCCCATCTGGGGCAGCCTCTGAAGGATGATGGATGCTAGCGAATGCTTCTGGTCTGCGGGGAAGGCGTAGTGGGAGAAGACATCGAACGTAGGAGGCTGGTCGTGAATCGCGGTGTGATCTAAAAATAACCTCAGGAACTTCAGGGCGGTTAGTGGTGGTACGTATGGGTTTTCATGTTGTAACAGAAAGGCTCGACGGGCTTACATCAAGGGGGAACAACTGCGACGACAAGGCCGGTGTGTTGACCGTGCGTGCGTTATCGAAAACCGAGTCCCCTCCGTCCGTCTCGAGAGCAAATGTCGGGCTGTCAACAATGGGGCGCTTTCTCTTTCCTCTGGTCGGCGTGCGCTCTCCGGGGGGTAGCGCAGAGGGACCCGAGTCCTTCCGTCGCAAGGTCTGGGTTTTACTGGGGCTAGAGAGAACCTCGATTCCGTCGAAACCATCAGCCATTCCCCATGTCCTATCCTTCCTGGGTGTTGCCGGGCCATCTTTCCGCTTGGACTTTGCCCGTCCCAGCCCCTCTCTAAGGTCTTGACGGGCAAACTGTAGCTCGGTGGCAGTGCTGCGCTCTGCTGCACGCGCTTGTTCAGCGATGCGCTCTTGCTCGGCAAGCTTCTCGGTCGTTTCCCTTTTTATGCGCGCGATCTCGGTTTCGAAATTTGCGCGGTCTTTGCCGCGGGCAGACCGAAGGATGGAATTCTCTCCATGAGACGCCGTGAGGTGTGACTCCAGCTCTGACACACGAGCCCGCAGCGCCGCGATGATCTCATTCTGACTTGCCGGACCGGCGCCATGGTGGGCTTGCGATGGTGGAACCGCATATGGGCGGGCGGCTTGAAGAGGCGGACGGGCAAACTGCGACTGCTGTGGCCCTTGTTGCGGGCGCGCTGATGAGGCAGGAGGTTGCCGTTGCGATGGCCCGGATGGGTACCGTTGTCGAGAGGGTAAAGGTGGCGGGACTGGCCGTGGTGGTGCATACTGCGGGCGCTGCGGGTAAGCCGATCTCGAAGACGGCAGCTGGTGATTCCATCGTTGTATGCCTGTTGTGGTATGGCGGGGTTGCTGGGTTGGAAGGGCGGTTTGTTGTGGTGGGGGGCGGGGTGGCGGGAGAGCGTGCTCGTCAATCACGACGGTATCATCAAGATCGTCATCATCAAATTCGTACTCGAAGGCATTATTTTGTGCTGGCGGTGCAGCCTGTGATTGAGCCAATTGCTGAGCTTGGGTGAACTGAATGGCATTATTTTCGAGCTCCTGCAGCACCGTATCGTTCAGGTCGTCGAAGCCGTCATCGGAAAAGTCATCCATGGCCGCAGCTTGTTGCGTCCAATTGTCGACATGACCATGCCATTGAAGCCTTGCCAAAGCATGGTAGGGGCAATGTGCCCGGGCACAAAATGTGTGTTTGCCCGTCTGGAAAAGATCAAGGGGCCGCGTCGCTTTGAGATGTGGTTTCGACCTGGCATTTACGCGTTTAGGCCAAGTTCCAGGGACCAAAACCCTGACCGGGCTTTCGGTGTGAGGGCACTCCGATGGGTGGGGCAAATGCTTGACATGTGATTCGCGACAGCCTCCCGTTCGTGGTTCCGTACTTTTGCAGCCCGACCTTTTCAGAGTGCCAAGCCCCTCCATTGAACACACGGCAGTTTGATATCAGGTTTAATCCTCAATCACAACCGTCTCCAGACATCAAACTTAAACTTCCAATCTCCGGTGACATATTCATATACATTCGGGCAGAATTTTGTCTCATACACCTCCCCCTTGTTGGTGCCAATCGCGTCCGAGACCTTGACCATCCCAATCGCCGGATTTAAATCTGCCCCACTCCGCTCCCGAGTCCCTGCTGCGGAGCCAAGGAGCCAAGGTCGGGCGGATTGACGTAGGGCCTCCAAACCTCGAAATTTCAGACGCCAATCCGCTTTACGGCTGGCACTTCCGGGTTACCCAGGATTTCCAGGTTCTTTCTCTCAACTCCCCAAGGTTGCGAGGAGACCCCGAAGCAAGCCCAACACTCGTTGTCCCCCACTCCTAAGAATTCACGATAGGGCGATTGGAGAACACCTGTCCTCACGCCGTTCCTCCGCAATCCTGCGGCCAACCCGCGACCCCCGAATAAGCCGAGCCCAAGCTTCCGACCGAGCTGACGCGCACTCATCCTGCCTCCCCTTTGTCAGCCGCGCTCCCTCATAATCAGGGCCGGCTTCGATCGAGCGGCGACCTAGCAACCGGGGAAGAAACAGCCAACCTTCAGCATGACGGGCAGATCGCGCCGGGGAGTCAAATTCTCCCACAATAACAAGCACTCCAACGGTCAAGATGGGCGTCGTGCCAGCTTCAGCGATGTGAGCGAAGAGGGGTCGCCGAACAAGGCGAGGTCCAGTGGGACGCTGGAAAACATCCAGGAGGTAAATGCCCCTTGTGCCGGGTTGTTGGACGAGGATTGCCAAAGCTAACGATCACGATCGCAGAAATCCCCTACCCCTGAGGAGCAACAACAATCCGACTATGAGAAGAAGAAGGCCAACTTCATCACACGAACCTTCTGGACCTTCGTCATGATAGGCGGTTTCTTCGCCGCGCTGTTCATGGGCCATGTTTACATCTTGGTCATTATCACCGCAATCCAGATTGTCTCGTTCAAGGAGGTCATCGCCATCGCGAATGTGCCTAGTCGTGCCCGAGATCTGCAGTCGACCAAGAGCCTGAATTGGTATTGGCTCGCGACAACCATGTACTTTTTGTACGGGGAGAGCGTCGTCTATTACCTCAAGCATATCGTCTTGGTGGACAAGGTGTTGCTGCCGCTGGCAACCCATCATCGCTTCATCAGCTTCATCCTCTACGTTTTCGGTATGTGCCCCTGCTAGTCTGTTTCCAGCCATTTCGCTGGTTCCAAGGTGCTGATAAAATGCCCACCTTGTGCTTAGGCTTTGTCTTTTTCGTTGGCTCGCTCAAGACCGGCCACCTCAAGTTCCAGTTCTCGCAATTTGCCTGGACTCACATGGCCCTCTTCCTCATCGTCGTCCAGGCCCATTTCGTCATGAACAACGTCCTCGAGGGGATGATCTGGTTCTTCTTGCCGGCGGCCCTTGTCATCACGAACGATATCTTCGCTTATATCTGCGGTATCACCTTTGGTCGCACCCAGCTCATCAAGCTGTCCCCCAAGAAGACAGTCGAAGGTTTCGTCGGCGCGTGGATCATGACCGTCCTCTTCGGCATTGTCCTCACCAACATTCTGCTGCGTTCCCAGTACTTCATCTGCCCCGCGACGAACCTCGGCGCCAACATCTTCAGCGGCTTGGACTGCGACCCCAACCCCGTCTTCATCCCCCGCACCTACTCCACGCCACAGCTGTTTTTCCTCCCGCCCAACTACACGCTCAGCGTCACCACGTCTCCTATGCAGATTCACACCTTCTTCTGGGCCAGCTTTGCCTCCCTGATCGCCCCGTTCGGCGGTTTCTTTGCCTCCGGGTTGAAGCGGACGTTCAAGATCAAGGACTTTGGCGATTCGATCCCTGGCCACGGTGGCATGACGGATCGGATGGACTGTCAGTTCATCATGGGTCTCTTCGCCTTCATTTACTACCACACCTTCATTGCCTTCAAGCGCTCCTCGGTCACCCACGTCATGGAGCTGGCCATCATGGAGTTGACGGCCGACGAGCAGCTCGACGTGATCAAGGGCGTGTTGAAATACCTCACAAACCAGGGCGTGGTTAAACCCGAGGTACATTCCGTTTTCGATGTCTTTAATGTTTTTCTGCTAACTTTCAATCCTTAGACACCGGCATCGTTCGAGCAGTTCCTATCGACTAGCCTCGAAGTATGAGCTGGGTAGTGACGGCTCGGTTGCTCCCGGGTCTCCATTGGGGCAGTGCATTTCCTGGCGTTCGGTTTCGACAAGCGGACTTATTCGGATCCTGCATATGTGTTACGAGACATCATTGTCATCCTTTATCTAGCATGGCCTCCGACGCTGGGTAGCCCCGAGTAGTAGTACGAGGTCGTAGTTGGATTCTAATTGTATCTTGTTCGATGTTGTGCACTGTATGTACCCGCGTCGGCCTTTGGGTTCCATAAGGGGAACCAAGCCAGCCACACTGAGAAAACCGCCCCATCAAACTTCGGGGACTGAAAACACACAAGGATCGATCGAAGTAGTGGTAAAGGAATGATCTATTCCAAAATGCCAACCAAGATTGCGCCAAGGTATATACACATTACACAGCAGTTTTCATGCCATCATCACCCTTTCACCCCCGCTCATTGTTCGTTCACAAATAGACCAGCCATGCCCATCCCCGTGCCGATGCACATGCTCGTCAACAAGAGCTTCTTGCCGTTCTTCCGGCACTCGCTCAGACCCGTGACAATCTGGCGGGCGCCGGTGGCGCCGAGCGGGTGACCCAAGGCAATCGCACCGCCGCGCGGGTTCATCTTGGCCCAGTCCAGGCCGAGGGTGTCCCGGCAGTAGACGGCCATGCTAGCGAAGGCCTCGTTGACCTCGACGACGTCGATGTCGGCGAGCGTGATGCCGTGCTGCGCGAGCAGCTTGGGGATGGCCACGGTCGGGCCGATGCCCATGATGCGCGGCGCCAGGCCGGCCACGGTCGAGCCGACGTACTTCGCCATGATGGGCTGGCCCAGCTTGATGGCCATGGATCGCTTCATGAGGAGAACGGCCGCCGCTGTGTTGGTGCCGTTAGTCCAGTGCCGAGAAGGTTGGGGGACAGATACTGATGCTCAAAATGACTTACCTCCATCGGTAACCTGGCTGGCGTTGCCGCCGGTGGTGGTGGGACCCCATTGCGGGAAGGCAACGCGGATCTTGGAAAGGCTTTCGGCGGTGGTGCCGGGCCGGATACCGTCGTCCTTGGAAACGGTGATTTCCTTCCACTCACCATCGGGGCCCTGGACGGTGGTCTTGATGGGCACGATCTCGTCGTCGAACAGGCCGTCCTTTTGCGCTTGCTCGGCGCGGCGGAAACTCTCGGCGGCGTATTTATCCATCTCCTCGCGGGTGATGCCGAAGTCGCGGCTGACGTTCTCACTCGTCCAGCCCATGGGCTGCATGCAGTCGGCGGCCTCTTGCGACCGGCTAGTGACCTTCTCATCGAAGGGCTTCTCAAGAGCGTCTCCGCCGATCGTCATTTGCTCTACACCGATGGCAATGCCAACCTCGATGGATCCACTGCTGATAGCGTGGGCGACATCGGCAACAGCCTTGAGGCCAGAGGAGCAGAAACGGTTCAAGCTCGAGCAGGACGTGGTGTTGGGGAAACCGGCGGCTAGGGCCGAGGCCCGCAGCTTGTAGGCGGCCTTGCCGTCGGAAACCTGTTGCCCAGCGCATTAGCCGTGTACTTATTTCAGGCAGACATTGTAACGAGATCTCGAGGGCCGCACATTTCCAAGGCAGATGTCTTCAACCAGTGCAGGGTCGATATTGCTCCGTTTCCTCACTTCATCGAGGAGCGCGAAAGAGATGTATTCGAGACTGCTGTCCTTCAACCCACCCTTCCTCGCCTTCGTCAGGGGGGTTCGGAGGGCGAGAGTAATGACGATATCGTCGGCATTCTTGGAGGTGCTGTTGCGAGCGGCTTCGTTAGACCAATGTGACTATGAAACAGCCTTTAAACCAGTGGAGGGAAGCGTACATGTGAGAGAGCGAGCTGCTCGGGGAGAGGTGCTTGAGAATGGATCCGAGGCGTTCGACAGCCATTGTTGCGGTATGGCTCGAGTATGCAGCTGGGATGTGGTTGCGCTAGCTCTAGAACGTTGTGTTGACGTGGACAGTGCAGAGATGGACAATTGACACTTTGTCAAATATAAGCGGCGACGTCGGCGTTGGAGGGCGACAGAATGGTCAAGATTGTCGCTACCGCTGGCGGCGGTACCTTCATTCTTAATGGTGTGGGGTTCGGTTTGCCGAGGCATCCCTCGGTTTCTGTGAGGTACTGAGCGATGCGCTGGGGTAAACTGACCCGAGGCGGATCTCCTCTGTGCCGTCGCATCTCTGCGGGGAAACCCGTCCCTGTTCCTAACCGCGGAAGGGTTGATGAACTTGCGGCTCCACTATCGGCAGTTGCAGGTCGAAACAGTCAACATTCCATCCCAGATCTTCCATCTTCCCATGATGATAAAAAAAACAAAGACCGCTTGAAGTGTTATTACTTACGCTGGATGCAAACAAAAGGCTGTTTAGGTACTGGACCAACCTGCTTTTCACATACCTACACAGTATACACCAAATCCCGGCAGGTTCGTCCCAGCTTTGCGGATTCCAGATCATTGCGCTCGTTGCTGTCCCGCAGGCGATCCCTGCCCAGAATTGAAGAGCATTGGCTCAGCGAAAGCTTCTTGACACGTACCCAGCGACATCCGGCTCAATGCTTTCCTTTTTTGCCACGACCAGCGGAAGACATCTTGCCCCAACTTACCTAGGTACCTTGAACCAGTCATCGCGCCCTACACCTTCAGACACAGCGCCAGTACCCCCAATTTGCAGGGCCTCATTGTCGCCGAGTTGGCGTGCTTCTCTTTCTCAAGTTCGCCGCCGGAATCAGCCCTAACTTACGCCTCCCCTGCCGAATATGGTCAGCCATGGGTGATCTTCCGATCGCCGTTACCTGCATCGAAGTTAAATCCAACGCTGCGAGTGGAGCCTGTCGAGGCTCAACTTGTCTTTGTGTCGGTTATTCACCTCTTCGGTGCTCGACAAGCCTCGTTAAGTGAAGAAACCGACATCCTCAAGCGAGACTGGAAGCAGAGCAGTTTGGTCCGATGGGAGAGGGAAGACGTAGTGGAAGCCGGAAACTTCGACCCCCCTGAATCCCTGGCGCATATCACCGATGAGTGGGCCGCCCGATCCAGACCATGGAAGCTCCTTCAATCCGCAAAACACGGGAAAGCCACAAACGAAGCATCGTGTTCGCCGTGTCGAGACGTCATCCCGGACCGACCTCAGGAGTCCCCAAATGCCCACCATTGGATGGCGCCTGCTGGACACTGCTTGGCTTGCTTCTGGCTCTCGATTTATTTGGTCGCTAAGCCCGAAACAGCCAAGTTCCCATGCAGCCCGGGCCCACTGAGGGATTGCACGGCCGACCTTGAGCCAACATCTGGGCCCTGGCTGCAGTGGGCTTTTTTTGCCAGTCGTTTTCAGCTCGCGGCCAAGATGAGAGAAACCAAATTTGGCTCCCAGCTCCTCCAAAGAGCGACCATGTTTTTTCCTTTGCTTCTCGCTTCTCCTGTCCCTTGATCCTCTCTCGTGAGGATTAGTTTGCCGACGAGTCACTCGTTTTCCCTCAAGTCGGCGGCAACCAGCGAAACGCGAGACAAGATTCGACAACTTGACCCCTGTGGCTCGCCGAAGTGCCGACAGTGCCGAATTCGAGGACGATTCTCTCCTTGTCGCCAACTTTCCATCACTCTTGGCCGAGCCACCGCGCCCAGCAATTTGCAGCCATGCTGCTTTCCACGGCAACGTTTGCCGTATTGCTAGCGGCTGCCCCTTCATTCATTCTCCCAGTATCAGCCGCCTCCTCCAAACGCGGCCTCGTCTTCACACCGAACGAAACTTCACGGGCAGACGACAAGATCTGGGTCGAGAAGCCGACAAGTTTGACGTGGTACTATAATTACGAGTCCAGGCCCGAGCCTACGTACAACGATGTATCGCAATCCGACTTCGAGTTTGTCCCCATGATGTGGGGCGCCCCGGAGAGCATCGATGATACCTCCTTTCTTTTGAGCGTGCAGAGCCTTGTCAAAGACCAGGGGATCAACATCACCAACGTGCTCTCGTTCAACGAGCCCGACGGTCCATTTGTCTACGGGGGCAGCAACATGGAGCCGTCTGCTGCCGCCCAGATCTGGGTCAATAACATGATTCCGATCCAGAAGATGGGTATCCGGGTCGGCCTACCGGCTTGCACGGGGGGCTCCTCTGGCCTTCCCTGGCTGCAGAACTTCCTATCCGAGTGTTCCAAGCTCGTCAGCACCGAAAAGAACCAGCAGAACTGCACATACGACTTTGTGACCCTCCATTGGTACGGCAACTTTGAAGGTTTGGCCAGCCACATAGGGCAATATTCCGCTGCGTAAGTCCAAGACATGCCCGCCCCCTGAAAGGGCCCAGACTCACCCGCCGGCTCCGCAGTTTCCCGAATAAGACCATGTGGATTACCGAGTACAACATCAACGACCAGGACTTGGAGACGACGCAAGAGTTCTACAACATGTCAGCTGAATACTTTGACCGCCTCGAGTATGTCGAGCGCTACTCCTTGTTTGGCGCCTTCCGCAGCGACGTGTCCAATGTCGGCCCCAACGGCGCCATGCTCAGCGCCAACGGCAGCCTGACCGATATTGGCGCCTGGTATCTAGGCCGTGAGGCAACCGGTATCCTGCCTGGCTCATCGTCATCAGCCTTCCGCCCGGTTCTCCCTCAAATGAGTTTCGCCGCGTTAGCCGCTTTGGTCGCTGTCACTGTACTACTCACCTAAGGCCGCCGCCATAACCAGAACCGCTTACTCATTGTTGCCATTGATGCATCATCCATCCGCGAGGTGTGCGCGACGATGAGATGTTTCCCTTGTGGGTATCTAATACATGTATATTGGCGCCAATATCCGCACATTGTGCTCATACCTTCCCAAGTTCACCCTCCGTTTGACCGCTTCCAGGGCATCGTTTTAAATGTCCGAGGCGCTATGTGATGAGTGGAACGGTTCACGGATCTTCGTAGTTCTAGACTGGTCTCCACGTGGGACCAGCGGGAACACAAGTAGGATAAGTAGGATCTTTTTTTGTGCGGCGCCTATGAGACTCGGAACAGGGCCATCTCTGTATCTGGCTCTCTACGCCACCTTCCGCGTTGGAACCGGATAGGGTAAGACATTTGTAGCCAGGATATGCCCACCTTGGCTAGATCTCCGAGAATCTAGATGTGCCACCGTAGATATGTCTCCTTATCTTCCCCGGTGCCGCCAGTTCCCCGGCCATGTTCTCGGTCATATTCCCCGGGTACCATCCTCTCTCCTCTAGCACCTTTACATTTGTTCTCGGCCCGGGACAACGATGCGCAGTGACCTGAAAACCGACGTCAAGATCGGTTGTGTTGCGGTCGAGGATGCCACACCCGAGGCAGCCACGGACCCAAGGGTGGTTCTAACGGAAGAGGACGTAAGACTTGACTGGCCTTTTTTATCTCGGCTATCGAGCTCAGCCCAGTTACCCCTTAGCCTAACTCGAGAACCACACAGAACAAACGGATTCTCTGGAAAACCGACAAGGCCATCTTAACGATCCTTATTTGGGTTTACTTGTTGCAGGTCGTCCTCTCGAGGCCCCGTCTATCCAAGAATTAGGATTGACACGATTCCTAGGTTCTCGACAAAATAACGCTGGGTCTCAGCGCCCTCTTCGGACTGAGAGAAGACACCCACCTCGTGGGAAATCAATATTCGGTCCTCGCAGCCGCCGCGCCCATCGCACAGTTGGCATGGCAGCCCGTCTCGTCCGTACTCATCGTCAAAATCCGCCACCGGGTTTTGATGCCGGCCATGATCCTGGGCTGGGGTCTGCATGCCGGCGTGTTACAACTTCGCCGGTCTACTCGCCGACCGTTTCTTCTTAGGCTTGTTTGAAGCCGGCTGTCTTCCGTTATTTTCCATCATCACGAGCCAGTGGTATCGACGGTCTGAACAGCCCATACGGGTTGCTCTATGGTTTGGAACCAATGGGCTGGCGACTATGGTGGCTGCTATTCTCTCCTACGGGCTCGGCCGGATAGAGTCTACCGTCTTAGCCCCATGGCAGTGGTAAGCACCATCACGTTTGCAGGTTCGAACCGGACACGGCAATGACAATGCTAATATGCCCCCTTTTTAGGATCTACCTCGTAACGGGTCTCTTGACAATCATCAGCGTCCCCTTCATCTACTGGAGGTTGGATGATGACATCCGCACAGCCCGTTTTCTAACACCCGAGGAACGAGCTCAGGCTCTCGAGCGCCTCCGTGCTAACCAGACTGGCGCAGGTACCCAAGAGTACCAATGGAAACAGGTGCTTGAAACATTTACCGACATCAAGTGCTACCTCTTTGGTGCCATGAGTCTCGCCATCTGTATCGGGGCCCAAATGGCCGTCACCTTTGGGCCGCTCATTTTGAAGAGCTTCGGCTTTGATACATACAAGACGACGCTGCTCAACATTCCGTTCGGGGCCCTCCAATGCATCGTCGTTCTATCCGCGGCGTGGGTGACGGTAAGAACACGGTGGAAATCGCTTGCGCTGGGCTTCATGTTGGTCTTCATTCTGGTCGGGCTTGTCTTGCTATACACCCTTCCTCGGGACAAATCACATATTCCGGGTCTGCTTCTCGCTTATTATTTCCTGGCCTTTATTTTTGGCTGCGTCAACCTCATCGTCTCATGGATTTTGGCCAACACCGCTGGCCAGACGAAGAAGTCAACCATGATGGCCGTGTTCAACGCTGCGGCATCGGTCGGCGCCATTGTCGGCCCCCTGCTTTTCGACGCTGCAGACGCACCGGAATACCGTGCTGGAATCCGGAGCACCATGGGCGTGTTTGCGGGCATGTTCGCCATCGTCTTACTGCAGGTCGGCAACCTAATGCTGCTGAACAAGTTGCAGGTACGACGGCGGATAGCCAATAACAAACCCGCCCACATCCACGACCACTCGATGGATGACAAATACGTGGATATCCGCACGGGTAATGCTGGGACGACTGGAGACCGGGCGTTTGCCGGCCTGACGGACCGTGACAACGACGAGTTTGTTTACGTCTACTAAGGGGTCGGAGTTGCGTGGATAGGGGATTTGGACGCAAGGATTTGCTGTTTGAGATGCCTTGGAGTCTTAGGTCTTGGCCCTTCCTCTCTTTCTCATCATCCATCAATCACATCAGTCACAGTTCCAGGCCCCGCCCGAACACTGGAGTTTCCCCAAACTGTGCATGGCGGCTAAATGCGGGAGTGGAGTTTGGTGTTCCTTGGAGACGCCTGACCGGCGCATCCCCCTCATCTCCTATCATCGGGCATCGGATGTAAGTGAGGAAATAGCCCGAAGCTTCGTCACTTATAAACCCCATTTTGCCACCAAGTTACTGTGACCTCGGGCAAGTCAGTACTCGCCGCTCGAATTCTGAAAATCATGCCGCAAGTCCGCAACCCTATTCTTCCTGGCTTCAACGCCGACCCCTCGATTCTCCGGGTCGGGGATGACTATTACATCGCCACCTCCACCTTCGAGTGGTATCCGGGTGTCCAAATTTACCACTCCAAGGATCTCGCCAACTGGGACCTAGCCATCCGTCCCCTGAATCGCGCGAGCCAGCTGGACATGCGCGGTGACCCAGATAGCTGCGGCATCTGGGCCCCCTGTCTGACGCACGACGGCGAGAAGTTTTGGCTCGTCTACACAGACGTCAAGCGCAAGGACGGTTCGTTCAAGGACTCCCATAACTACATCGTCAGCGCCCCCGCCATCGAGGGCCCCTGGTCAGACCCCTTTTACATCAACTCCTCCGGCTTCGACCCCTCGCTCTTCCACGACGATGACGGTCGGAAGTGGTTTGTCAACATGCTCTGGGACCACCGCCGCCGCCCCTTGACCTTTGCGGGTATTGCATTGCAGGAGTTCGATCCCAAGGCCGGCAAGCTCGTTGGGCCGCGTAAGAACGTCTACCAGGGCACCGAGCTGGGGCTCGTCGAGGGCCCGCACATGTACAAGCGCAACGGATGGTACTATCTCCTGACAGCCGAGGGCGGGACGGGCTACGAGCACGCTTGCTCACTTGCTCGATCGCGTAACATCTGGGGTCCGTACGAGGACCACCCCCAGAAGCACATCGTGACGTCCAAGGACCACCCGCACGCAGCCCTGCAGCGAGCTGGCCACGGCGACATTGTCGACACCCCTGATGGCCGCACCTACATCGTTCACCTTACCGGCCGCCCAATCACGCAGTTCCGCCGTTGTGTTCTGGGCCGTGAGACTGGCATTCAAGAAGCGTACTGGGGCGAAGACGACTGGCTCTATGTCAAGAACGGGCCCGTTCCCAGCCTGTATGTGGATCTACCCGGCGCCCGCGACGAGGACAAGTATTGGGCCGAGCAGCGGTACACATTTGAGTCCGGCCTCCACAAGGACTTCCAGTGGCTCCGCACGCCCGAGACGGAGCGGATTTTCAACACTGACGGCGGAAAGCTGACGCTCATCGGCCGCGAGGCTGTCGGATCCTGGTTCGAGCAGGCCTTGGTTGCCCGGCGCCAGACACACTTCTCGTACGATGCCGAGACAGTCATTGACTTCTCGCCCACCGACGAGCGCCAGTTTGCGGGTCTGACGGCCTACTACTGCCGTTTCAACTTCTTCTACCTTACCGTCACGGCTCATTCCGATGGCCAACGAGAACTGCTCATCATGGCATCCGAGGCGTCATGGCCGCTCTGCAATCTCCGGTTCCCCTACCCAGATCCCGTTCAGATCCCGAACGAGGGCAAAGTCCGGTTGGCACTCACCATCAGGGGGAAGGAGCTGCAGTTTTTCTACGCCATGGAGGGAGAGGAACTGAAGAAGGTCGGTCCTGTTTTCGACGCGAGCATCATCTCGGACGAGTGCGGTGGACACCAAAAGCATGGCAGTTTCACGGGTGCTTTTGTCGGAGTTGCTGCCTCCGACATCAACGGGACTGCTGCTCAGGCGACATTTGACTACTTTACGTACAAGCCGGTGCATCACGAGAGTGATCGGTATGAGATTTAAGGGTGGGAGGGAATCACTACCTAGGTAGCCACAGTGTGATTTTGTAATTGTGTACCTATTACCCGTCCTGATAGCTGCGATATCAATTTTGCGCCCCCAATGGTCGCTGCACTATGATTCCGCGAAGGCTAACATGCGAATACCCAATCTGTATACTTCCCCTTGACACTTGAGTCCATTCTCGGCGGCTCATGCGCAACATCCCTCAACCCCGAAATGCCAACTTTGTGTCCTGGGTAATAACCCTCCAGCCTGATCATTAATTCAGCCAACTGGAAGGATCTAGACGTTAGACTGTAGGTCAAGGTCCTTTCGTCATGGAATTTTGACCGAAGAACCGTATTAGCTATGATATGGAACTAAAGAGTTACGGTTCTCTTGTCTCACACTAGAAACTCATAGATTCCAATTTAGATTGCGATCTAGAACAGGTACCTATATGTGCCTGGTCTTTCTTAGACGGCGACGACTCACCGCTGATGCACTTTCCATTTCCATCAACTCGGAATGTGCCATCTGCCACGACACTCACACCTGCTATATCGGCTAACCTGGGGGAGAAATAGGACTAATAGACACGCGAGCCCCGGATTGAGGATTCGAAACGATAGTGGGCGACTGAGGCGTCACTTTTATAGACCAACCTTTTGAAACCGGCCCGGGAGACTAATGACGTGGAGGCTGGGGTTGGACTTGAGTAAAACAAAGGTGAGCACGTTTTGGTTGAGCCTCTCCGTAAGGCCCGGAACAACCAACAACCACCACATTCGACAACTACGCTCATGTTTCCCGGTTGGCCATTTCGTGTTCTACACAGTTACCAGGCAAGCCAGGGTCAAAGGTGGCGGCACTGCTGAAAACATCCCGGCCCGTGCAGATGGTTCCATGGATTTGTTGGTTGCGGTTGTGTCCCCTATTGGACCGAAGCTCCCCTGGTCTTTCGTCAATGCCACTGTGGAGGTTGCATTCTGACGCACCTCATCTTCCGCTCATCAGAGCCATTGTTCTTGTCTGGCTCTTTCCATGGAACAAGATTGCCGGCCACGTTGCAGATCCGTCCTCCTGGGACGAAGTACTGTGGCATGCAGTAGGCATGGGGCGCACGAGCTCTTTTTGGGACTGGGGATTTTGGATGTATGGAGTGTGGCCGAAGTCGCGGATATGCTTCCTAGTCACACCCTCGCATTTGCATACGCGCGAAAGAGCCGAGGTGAGGGGAATTGTCCATGAATGGTATGGTTTCCCTGCACCTGATCCGGGATTCGAGCTGGAATGCTCGTTGACCCTAGTAGCAATGGCATGCTGGACGCGAAACCTTCCAGAACACGTTAGGAAATATTGTCTCTTGCATCCTTGGCCGCAAAGCGGCAGGCTTCGAGAAGGAAAGTGGGAGTGGGGGCCGCCTCAAACGTCGTTATATACTTGCGTCCTGTTCCTGCGTATTCTCACTGATGTCTACTTCCCAGTTTCTAGAAGGCAACGCTTTGTCCGCCCCCGAACACCATGGCGCTTTCTAAAGTCTCCCTCGTAGCCGTTGGCTTGCTGCAATTGCTCGGCGCGGCGGAGGCTTACGTCCCGGCTGCTCGCTCAGCTACACACTCGACAATCCTGAGCAGAGCCGATGACCTCTTACCTGAATATGACTACATCATTGTGGGCGGTGGCACAGCGGGATTGACCGTCGCAGACAGGCTTACCGAGGATGGCAAGCGTATGTTGACAGCCGCGTTGGGCCATACCGAGCCACTGTAGCGAACTGACATTTTATAGATTCTGTGCTTGTTCTGGAACGAGGTGTATTCCGTAAGAACCCTTCTCCGGAGAATTTGGTTGTGTCGTGCTAATTTGTAAATAGAAAACTCTTCCTCGGTAACAACAGTCTCGGGGGGCTTTTGGGGCCTTATCGACCCGACCCTGACTTTCAACATCAGCTCCGTGCCCCAAGCTGGGTTGAATAACCGCAGCATTGCTGTTATTGGTGGTCTGATCCTTGGGGGTAGCTCCGGAGTCAACGGTATGCAAGTACTTCGAGGACAAAGGGAAGACTACGACCGTTGGGGATCATACTTTGGGAAGAAATCGCACTGGAGCTGGGAAGGTCTCCTGCCGTACTTCCAAAAGGCACGACTTTCCGGCAATTACAAGGGCCCTCCAATAAGCGGAAAGCTGACGTTTTCTATAGGCATGGAATTTCCACCCGCCCAGTCCTGCGCTGGTCGACCAGTTCGACATCAAGTACAATACCGACTACTGGGGAAGCTCTTCCACCGTACACGCTTCCTTCCCCAGCTTCTCTTGGCCAGTTCTCAGTAAGTTTCAACCTAGATGCTGTTATTCATATGGCTAGGCTCATATCATCCTAGAGATGGAGATGGCTGCGTTCGGTGACATCTCCGGCGTCGAGTTTCCGTCTGATTCGGGATCTGGCGAAACCGGGGCGTATTGGCATCCGGCATCGGTTGACCCGGCCACGGTTCTTCGATCCTTTGCGAGACCAGGTCACTGGGACGGGATTGAGGCAACACGCACCAACTACCATACGCTGACCGGGCAGAGGGTTCTGAAGGTCGGGTTTCATGGCAAGCGCGCAACTGAGGTGGTTTTCGTCCTGGGCGACGCAACGGACAAGAGCCAGGCCCGGTCGGTCAAGGCAAAGAAGGAGATTATCATGGCCGCTGGTTCCATCCACACGCCCCAGATCTTGCAAGCAAGCGGCGTGGGACCCAAGCATCTGCTAAAGAAAGCGGGTGTGCCGCTTGTTGTTGATTCCCCTGGTGTCGGAAGCAACTTCCAAGACCAGCCGTTCACAATCGCTCCCAGCTTTAACCGTAAGGAGGACATAGATACGTCTCACATTCTTTTGGTTCGACTGGCTGACCTTGTCGTCAACTCACAGTCACGAACTTCCCGTTCCACCCCGACTTTTACGATATGCTCCTTAATCAGACCTTCATCGCCGAGGCACAAGCGCAGTTTTTGGCAAACAGGACGGGACCGATGTCGATTGCGTCCGGCAACTGCGGTAGTTGGCTCTCGTTGCAAGTAATTACCCCTCAGTCTTGGAAAAACATCGCGAAGCGGTATGAAGCCCAGGATCCGGCGGCATACCTACCTAGCGGCACCGACAAGAAAGTGGTTGCCGGGTACAAGGCGCAGCAGAAAGCGCTGGTCAAATCCATGAGGAGCAAGGACTCGGCCACATACAACTTCTTTCTGCGCGGTGGGTACGAGGAGGGTTCCGTTGTCTACCTGCACCCGGCCAGCCGTGGCACCGTTCACATAAACCCTGCCGACCCCTTCTTCTCGCCGCCCGAGGTCGATTACCGGGCGTTGAGTAACCCGACCGATCTCGAGATACTTCTTGAGTTTACCCCCTTTACACGGAAGTACTTCTTGGAGACGAGGATGAAAACCCTTGACCCCGTCGAAATCTCCCCTGGCGCTGATGTGACGGCACCAGCGGACATCGAAGCTTGGCTCCGGTCTGTCATGGTCCCATCCTCATTCCACCCCATCGGCACCGCCGCCATGTTGCCTCAGAACCTAGGTGGTGTTGTGAATGAGGATCTGTTGGTGTATGGAGTCAAAGGGCTCAGTGTCGTCGACGCCAGCGTCATGCCTGACTTGCCAGGATCGTACACGCAGCAGACGGTGTATGCTGTCGCAGAAAAGGTGAGCTTGTCCAACCTCATCCCATGTTTCTCCAAACCTCTACTAACCACATGCAGGCGGCCGATCTCATCAAGGCTCGGGCGTAATAGCCTAACAGCGTGGGCATTGGGATCAGTTATCCCAAAAAGTCGTACGTAGATGCGAACGTTGTGAAACTCTATAACTTCTAAGGAAAAGACGTCGCTCCCTGGTTCCTGATCCCCTCCTTAACCCCTCCTTAATCAAATACATCCGTGGCGTAGCGGTCATTCCGGACCCCCTCGTACCAGCGCGTCATCTCATCCTCGGTAGCGGCCTCGCCGAGCACGATCTTGCCCATAGCCCTTTTCACTCCCTCGCCAACATGCCTTGAACCACATACATAGACCCTGGCGCCACCTTCCCACATGGCCTTGACTTCGTCCCCGTCATGCAAGAGTCTATCCTGCACGTGCTTACACTCGTGCGCCTCCTCGGCCTCCTCAGGTTTGGCACGACTGAATGCCCTTCGAACATCGACCGCGCCTAGCTCCTGCCACTTGTCAAACTCTTCACGGTATAGGTCATCCATTTGTCGTCCGCGGCAGCCTACGAACAAGAGGGCGGGCGCAAGCCGGGATCCCTTAGAAATCAGTGCAGCCCGTTCTTGGATGAAGCCGCGGAACGGGGCGAGTCCAGAACCGGCGGCCACGCAAACAATGGGCGTTTTATCCATCTCTTCTTCGTCCGGGAGCCGGAATGCGGTATGTGTAGGGCGCACTGAGATTAGGAGCTTATCGCCGGCGACGAGTGATGAGAGGTATGAAGTGGCGACGCCCATGTACCTCCTCTCGGGGTTGGCTAGAGAAGGCGAGTCGAGCAGCGAGTATGTCAGCGTTGCCCGGTTGGGGTTGTTGAGTGGCGACGAGGAGATAGAGTATTGCCTGGGTCGGATGGGCGGCAGTAGCGACAGGAAGGTACCAAATGGCAGTGAGATGGAGGAAAATTTGTCCAAGAGGTCGAGGATGGAGGCCCGTTTGAGGCTGATTTCGCTGGCGTAAGAATCACCAGCCAGGTCCTGGAGCTGTTGTTTGATGCTCTCATCCTTGGTAGCATCCGCCAGTTTTAGGATCCCCTGAACCACCTGTTAGCAGAAATCCCGGGCCAGTTCGACGTTCATATAACCTACCCTCTTCGTCGCGGGTTGAGAAAGTTCTACGTAAGACCCGAGAACATCGTATACCGGGACGGGTGTGCCGGTCGGCAAAGCGGTCCACCTGTCGGATCCAATGGTAATGTGTGAATCCCAAGAAAGCTTGAACTGGCGCATGACGCGGCTAATACTGTCCTTGGAGTTGACGGGAAGCACCGCTAGATAGTCCCCGACTTTGTATGTCACCCCATCTGGTAGTTGCACCTCAATGTGCTTCTTCGGCGAAGTGTCAGCTGAGGTGAGAAGCATCTCCTCAAGTACTGTTGCCTCCTTGACATCCTGTCGGAGGGTGGAGGACCGGGGGCTGGAAAATTGAACGTCGAGGCTGTCTGAATTTGCCGCTTCGTCGGTCTCGCCGGCCCCATCTACAGCGCCGTACTTGGCCTCGACGGCAGGCCAAAAGACGTCGTCTTCCCACTGCTCAAAGTCGGTGAACATGTCCCCTTGAGCCACGTCGGTCAGGCCAATGTCACAGAGAGGCGATGCCCCACGGGCCTTCATGGTCTGACCGACGAGTTTGGGAACCTGGTGGAAGGTCTGGGTCCAGTCGTGGTGCCCACAACCAAAAATCGCATAGGAAACATTCTGGAGTTCATCGGCTTTGAGTCCCTTCAGCCACGAGCAAAACTTGGTTGCGTTGTCTGGCGGTTGGCCCTCGAAGGAGGCAGTGATGATCACCACCGGCCGGTCTGTGGGTAAGTTGTCCGTGGCTGTGTCCATCGGGTCAACCACCGTAGCCGTATATCCGTGGGCTGCTGCGTCGGTTGCAAGCCGCTGAGCCAGGCTTTCGCATGTTCCTGTGTTGGATCCGTAGAAAATGCTCATGGGCTTGGCTTCCCCTGAGGGAGTAGCCTTGCGTGCTGTCGGTCTGGGTTGGCCATTCGGCCGTGGAGCGGAAGTGACGTCTCCAGCGAGCCGACGCTCCAATTCGGTCGCAGTAAGTCCGTCGCGAAGAGCAGCCCGCATGTAGAAATCCTTAGGCTTGGTAGTTAGGGTTTGCTTGTAGTGCAGCTCGTAGTTCGGGTCGTCCAGGGTAAAGTTGAAATTCTGGAGCAACATGGCCATGACCAGGACAGCCTCTTGCCACGCGAATGGGCGGCCAATGCAAGCCCGCATGCCGGTGCCAAACGGCTTCCAGCAGTCGGGGAACTCCTTGGTCAGACGCTCAAAGCTTTCGTCGAGCATACGCTCCGGCACGAAATCGTTGGCCGTCTCCCCATAAACAGCGGGATCGAGGTGCGACTGGGCCAGGAGAAGAGCGAATCTCTGATCCTTTGCGACAAAGTATTTCCCTCCGATCACGGTGTCCTCTTTAGCCGCACGAGTGATGATTGGAATCGTGGGACACAGGCGCAGTGACTCGCGAAGAACGGCGGCAATGTAAGGGAGCTGCGAGCACGGCGCCCGTTAGTAGTCTAGTCTCTGGGTACCTAACCCCGTGCTTAGGGGAGGGGATCCTTACCTTCTTGATGTGCTCCGTCTGAATCGGCCCTTTGCCTATCACATTGTCCACCTCTTCTTGTGCCTTCCGGTAGGCGTCCCGGTGCTTGATCAACAAATAGAATGTGAAACTCAGCAGACCCGAAGTCGTCTCGTGGCCGGCGATGAGGAATGTGATGAGGTTGTCGATAATGGACGAGTCACTGAGTTTCTGGCCCGTCTTCGGATCTACGCCGCTTAACATGGCGGAAAGCAGGTCCTTCCGACCGGTGGCGTGTTTCCTCCGCGTGTCGAGGACTCCTTGGGCTGTCTTGCGCAAAACCTCGATGTCTTCAAAGTACTTCTTGCCGGCTTGTGGATAGAATACCGAGGTCAAGGCCGGCCGCATCGCACGAGCGCCTGATTCGGATAGAAAGTCGCCCATGGCGTTGATGAACGGATGCAAGTCGTCGTGGTAGTACGAGTTGAAGCGAAAGTCCATGGTGCACAGGGCCAGCGTGTCCAGTGTGAGGCGCGTGAAGTCGTCCGTCACCATGATCGGGGCGTCCGGGCCATGGCGCGCCCACTTGAGAGCTAATTGTGATGCGATCTCGTGCATCTCGGTGAACATCCCTTGTATCGATGCTGGGCCAAAGGCTGGCATCAGAATTCTGTGGGCAACTCCCCAGTTCGTCTCTTCTTCCCGAGCGGTGAAAAGGCCATCGTGGACACCGTTTCGGATCTCGGCGAGGGCGCCGGCAACAGGCTTTTTGAATCTCTTGTCATCACATAATTCGTGCACGAGTGCTTGCGAGCTCTACACGGCTGAGTTAGTGGCGGTCGTGGGGTAAAGAAGCCAGGGGCCGGCGGTTGGTGCTTACTACAACCACTGAGGGGCCGGCGGGCAAGTTCAGGCGGTAGATTTCCCCTGGCGGGTTGGTTAGTCCTCTCGCCCCTTGTAAATCCGCAATGCTTGTTAACTTACCATATTCGTTGGCGAAATTCTGAAAAGTGCGAAGAGGGAGCTCCGAGTCAAAATCGAAAGCATTGCCAACAAGCGGCAGGCCTGGGGGGGTTGGTATCGGCGTTGTGCCTTTACTCATGTGGCTTGTGTCCCCCATCATGGATGTCGTGGGTATTTGGGTGCACTAAGGGCTGATGTTGTGCTGAATGGGCTGGATATGGTTAGGTATGGATCATCACCTTGCGGGACACGTCTTTTTATATCTTCCCACCAACCCATATTTTCACACCCCTTTCTCGCTCGTTCGCCTTCCAGGATCCCTGCGAAATGGCATTGTTGGACCGCGCTTCCCATCATCATCGCACATCCGTGTCTCCGCTGCGAAACAATCTAAAGGACTTTTCCGTGCCCGTCGACCCCTGGTCCCTGGCAGCCAAAACTTGGACCGCGATTCAAACAAGGGCCGACCCGGGTGGCGCCGGGATTCGGAGCCCGGCTTGTCATCAATCCCGACTCTGTGGATTGTGTGGAACCTCGGTACTGCTACGTCGGCTTTGGCCGAAGACCCCCAATTGCTGTCCGCTGGCCCAATGCCGTGCCGCTCCCGTCCCGTTGCCGCGTGTCACGGCAGTTCTGGGCCTCTTCTTTTGGCTCGATGACGTTTGAAGTGACAGTCGCGTTCTTGGGAACTGGTTGTGTCAGAGAAAAGGGGCTGCAAGGTCGGTGCGATTCGGTGTCCGCGGACTGTTCTTGCCCTAAGCATGAAGTGCATTCCCTCGTACCGTGTGGTCAGTCCAGTGAAGACCTATCGAGACACCGTAGCGGGGTTTAAGACGCGGATGTTCGGGATTATCATCTTGTCATTTGCAGGCAAAACCACATTTTGAAATGTCATAACTAACTAATGAATGCGCGTTATATTTCCCGGTGGCCCTTGAATGCCTGTACACGTACAAATAGGCCAAGGCTGTGCATGAGAGCAGGCACTGGCGTTAGTCAATGCAATTCACTATCTCCATGCTAATATTGCCCGAACCCTGCTTCTAGCTCATCATATGGGTGGTCTAGCCTCCATGATACCGAGCTTCGCACATATCATATCAGTTATGCTGGGAATCCAGCGCTCAATGCAGCCAAATCTTGCAGTGTTTCAGCGGCGATTTGGTGTTGTGTACGTTTTAATGTTTTCTGAAGCAGCAAGGAATGATGGAGCCGTGCAAACAACCTATCAATCACCCCCTGTCCTATTATTAGCTACACTATTTACATGACGGCCTATTACTCATCTCCCCTCATAGTAGTGAATCGTCCCATCCGCCGCATGGTACCCAATCATGATGAAGTCCTTGAGGATTGCAGTACCGTTCCGCAATAAGTCGGTTTGCAACTCCGTGCAACTCTGGATAATATTCCAGAGATAGCATTCCGACACGGGATGGGAAGGGACTGCGCCTGTGATGTCAAAGACGTTGTCAGGGCCGTCGGTTGAGTATTCGTCGTGCGAGGTGGACTTCTGCCCTGTCGCAACGTCCTTGTCGAACATGACTCTTTTGAAGATCTGATATGTGGTTTCGGGCTGATACCAAGGAGCTACAATCACCACAGTCAGCATCACTAGTACGGAAACCGACCACGCTCGCAGGTTTTTGAACTTACCTTCGTGCCCGGCTTGAAAGACACGAGAGAAAGACAGATTCCCATGTTGTCGGACGTATCCTCCAACATCTTTCTTGTTGGTCTGAATTTTTGTATAGCCAGCTTCGTGGAACTTGCTGCTCAACTTCGACTGGATCGCCAAACTGATCTGCTCTCCGCCGTACCCTGCAGAGAAGTCAGATGGGCTGAAGAAGCCGTGTTAAAGCTACTGGACTTACAGTTGCACTGATAATCGCGGTCACCATACACCAGGGCAACTTTTACCCCTTGATCTAAAAGCTTGCCAAGGATGTCGAGATTTTGTCCCAGAACGAAATCGCCAGTTGACATAAATGCTAATTGGCACTTTGATATCAGCCAGGGTTGCTAGGTTAAACAGAATCAATGGGTATGTGGTTCTCGACTGACCACTGAATACTGCCGTTGAAAGACCGGTAATGTTGAGCGGGACTCCTAACTCGCGCTGAACCTCTTCAGAGTTGAGGAACCCACCCGCATATCTGGGTGGGAATGAATGGGGCATCAAGGCAGTAATGTCGAAAACGTTCCTCTGCGTTTGCTGTTAGCGGCAAATCTGTGGATGTTCAAGGCCCAAGCTGGAAAAAGCTTACACCGCGGCTCTCTACCCATCCCCACATCTTTGCAAAGCAAAAGTTGTATGCATCACTGCACGCTGTGTTGACTTCCCCCACATTGCCGAGTCCGGTTGGATCGTGTGTCTCGGCGAGGGATCGGCAAGCCTCAACCCGGCTGCGGCATTCGGGGAAGCTGTCCATGGCATTATTGTACTCCGTCTCGTTGATGACCTGAATGCCGTACGTGTTGTTGTATGCCATATGCGGATAGGAGGGCATCTGCGTAATGATGTCGATGCAGCCGTTGATGATGCCCACCGTCCCGATTTGGAGGGGGATAGGGGCAGTGTTGGAATGTGAGCCAGATGTCATGTCCTTGCTTTTCTCAGCAAAGAAATTGGCGAAGGTAGGGCCGTAATGTCCACCATATGATTCGCCCCAGATGCTGACTTTGTTGTCTTGGGGCTCGTATTTGGGAAAGCTGTGGGTAAAGCACAGTCAGTGAGGGCCTATTTTGGGCGGATGGAGCAGCGAGGAAATGCATTACTGTTTCATCCATATCTGCATAAAGTGCCACGCGGCCAATGCTGCCGTAGCAGTTGTGTTCGGGGCTGACATCGGATCTTGTGATGAAAAGGTGCCGCGAAGGAAAGTCGAGTTCAACTCGGGGGCTTGTGCGTCACCGGCCAGAGGTGAAACCACGTATGGTAGTAAGGTTTCGTCAATAGTTCCACTGACCAGTTTGTCATAGGAAAACCCTACTTGGACGGGCTGGTCAATGTAGAGAAGGTTTACCTCGTTGTTGAGTGACCATGGGTTGAGCGTTGTGTCGCGAGAGTTGTCAGCGACGTAACACGGCCCAGTCCCCCCGACAGCGCTCGGCGTAGAGGGAGCCCCGGGACCTCCCTGAAGCCACAAGGACAGCGGGGCTCTGCTTGCATGGTTTCGTGCTTCGAAGAACCAGAAGAACGTGTGAATATCGTAGGGCCGCCCTTCGGTCGTGTTCGCAGGGAAATTGATGTAACCGCTGTAGGACTTGACCCCCGGAGTAGTTTCGCAAATCCTGGTCTTCAGTTCAGCAAGTTAGCTCGTACCGTTTTCACGCTCCAGAAGTCAACCACGTCTACGAGACAGGACACCCACCCGTTTGTAAGTCAGGGTGATCCGAGAGTCGAGGAACGATGTAACAGTTTGACGGTGGACAGGGTCGAGACGCGGCGAGATAGTTATGGAATCTACCCTGGCGGCCAGTAGACTGATAATGGCCACAAGCGTAAGAGTCCACAAGCACAACGCCATTGTGACTCAGGGGCAGCTCTGACGCGTCGCCGTGGGATTGAATAAAAGGTAGTTAAGGGTTGATCCGACCCCTTTTATTCTCCCAATCCTTGGCAGTTGCTGAGCTTTCGATTGTGGATTGCTCCTCAAATTATTCCATCTCCTTAATGCAGACAGTCAGGCTTTATAGTTCCCAAACTTCCCAAATCATAAATGGATGAGAACAGACAGACCCTGGGATTATTATGTCTAGGTATGTGTATTTAACCTGTTCAGACACGTATCTAGAATCCCAGGCTGCCGATGACGTTCGTATAGGTGTTTGATTCGGTATTTATGGCACAGCATTCCTTCAACTCATTCATTAGCCCTGTAGTTCGTCGAGTCTTTCGGGCTTGCAGCCCCTGGCTGAGTGGTTGGGCGCCTGTTTTCATTCGCCCCTCTTCCGGCCCCTGTACCATCAAATTAGTCTGCGCCTCAGTCTCACGCCAGCCAGTTTAGGTGCCTGCGCTGGTGTCTCGCAAAAAGTCACGTTATTCCTCCGAGCTCGCTGGTGTCTCGCGAAAGTCACGTTTTTTATCCGAGCGTGGCACACAGGAAGTCTCTGAGTTTTCGTCCGCCCCCCTGACGGTCCACCCTGATCAGGCTCAAGCAGTCAGAATGGAACCTAACAAGGTTCAGCGCACCATTAAATTTTACACCAAGGTCAAAACAGGATGTCTGACGTGCAAGTAGGTGCGGCCCGGGGTTGCTACCGTCCGCGGACCGTGGCACACCAGACTGTCACAGGGTCACGTTGACTGGACTGGAGTCATGCTAGGTTGCTTGGTGCTAACATTTGTGTGCATTAATTAGGAAGCGAAAAGTAAAATGTGACGAAGAAAAACCGCGCTGTCGCCGTTGCACCGCCTCAGGCCGCGAATGCGATGGCTACCCCCAGGATCGACAGACCGCTCTGACGACCGTGAATGCTAGCCCCGAGTCCCACGCAGTGCTCTTTGCCTCCCCTGCCGAGAGAAGAAGTTTCTTCTACTTTCAGTCCCGTGCGTGCAAACCGCTGGGCGGGTACTTCAACTCGTCGTTCTGGGGACGGGAGGTGCTGCAGGCCGCAATTCATTATCCGCCGGTCCGACATCTCGTCATCGCCATTGGGTCTGCATATGAAGCTTTCGAGACCGGTTCACTCGGCCAAGAGACCGAGTTCACCCTGCGGCAATGCAATCAATCTATTCGACAACTTACCGTCCTCGGTCGGGCCACTAACCCACCATCAACGGAGTCCACTTTCTGCATTCTCACAGCGTCTTTGCTGTTCATCTACCTGGCGAGCATCCGCGGAAACCACGCCGAAGCCATCCAGCACGTCCGGTCTGCGGCGAAGCTCTTGCAAGACTTTGAGCGTTCGGCAGCGTTGGCTCGGAAGCCCGGTGATGCCGTCAGGTCTGCGTACCCTATCCCGATTTCACGCCTCCGCTCACTTCTTGTCGCCGTTTACGGCCAGCTTCGTGGTATTGTAAACGACACTTATCTAGAAGCGGGTTCCCCTGATATCTTAGTAACGGATGTGAAACCGGCAACTGTTTTCCACTCGGTTCAAGACGCCCATTCGTACGTCGAAGCCCTACTTAATAACACGATGGCCTACCTACAGGCCAGCGAGTTTCTCTCGTCGTCTTTGGCGGAAGGACTCCAAGAAACAGTGGCCCGGCACCGAGAATTGTGTCAAGCGTTGGAGAGCAGCCAAAACGCCTTGGATGTTCTCGCACGAACCCTTCCCGCGACAGGACATTCGCAAGATCGAGACGGGACCTCCATCTTACGCATTTACCACTTAATGATTGCGATTTGGCTGCGGATCGACATTTTTCGACCCGGCGAGCGCGAGACGGTCTACGACGACTGGGAGGCTCATTACGAAGAGATGTTGCGACATTGCGAGGCCTTGGTCAAAAAAGATGAAGAATCCGGGACCCCATATTCATGCTCATCGGGTCTGGGCTACATCAGGGCCCTCCATATGGTTGCCGCTCGATGCCGCAACTCTCGCCTCCGATGGCGAGCCACAGAACTGCTTATGTCCTGCACACGACGTGAAGGACTGTGGGACGCGAAATTGGCGGGACAAATTGCCGCCGAAACCATACAACTGGAGGAGCAGGCTGCTGACTTGATTGTGACAGACAGCATGAAAGTGCCTGCGGATATGCGGATACGGGAGGTGAAGTTTGAGATCCAGGGGGAAAAGGCGGCTGTTGTACATTTTATCACTGTCGATGACTGGAAACAACGCCGACCGGGACTTCAAAGGGCGATGGAATTGTAATGAAGGGGGGTGTTTAAATGGTTGTTTGATACCATCAAGACGGCCAGCGATCTTCGCACCGGGGAGGGAGACTTGAGGGCTGGTGCCGGATATCATAATCTCTTCTAGCCTTCGATCATTGGTGTCCGGCCGCCAACAACTTCAAGCTGATGAATGCTCTGCTCCTTTGTCTTGACGCGGTGACCTGAACTTAACCCCCAGCGTCGTGAACCATGTCCAAGTTTGCAACTACCTGCCCACGATCTTCAGTTCCCACCACCGCATTGGCGGGTACGACACGATAGCAAATCCGCAACCTAGCCAGAGCCCAATATCACTCATGCCGGCTTTCTGCGCCAAGGGACCAACGTACCATGCTTGATACATGCCGAGAATCGCACCCACCCATCCCAGGAGAAACGCGATGAGGGCCGAGATACCGACAGGCAGGTACTGTTTCCTCTCCCACATTGACCAGTCAAACTCATGGTTCCATCGAAACAATACGTGCTCCTCGATAACAATAACAATCATGATCTCAACCCAGTATCCCATCAGAGCAAGGAAGTTGCCAAAAATGACGAGCAGGTTATCCCGTCCTGCCAAAGCGAGAACAAGGGCAATAATAACAACGAAACATGTCCACGCCCATCGCGGCACGGCTTTGCCGTACCGTCCCAGAACCTGGACTCCCAGCGCGGCCGAGTAAGCCCCTGGGATGCTATTGGCGATGATGCCCAAGGCGATGATCACACTGCAGAGCTTCCCAAAGCCGGCCAGGCCATCGAACGACTCCACAATCAAAGAGCCCAGAGAGATGGCGAATGCCTCGGCCCAGGTCGTGCGGGAAGCGACCCCTGATCCGAGTCCAATCCCGAGGAGATAGACCAACGTAAACGAGAAGAAGAGGCCGGAGAGCGTCAGCAGGAATATCTTGAGTTTAGAAGTGGTCTCGGGATAATAGACGTAAAAGTCCGAAGCCGCGGCAGCCCATGAGTTGGGTACATAGAAGCACAGGGAGAGAAAGGAGAGTCGGTTGGCTGCAAGAGTGGCCGCATCACCGGTAGATTGGAGCGTCGAGTCGAAGTGCGGACCAGCGCAGCCGATCAAAACGAACAAGGCTAGAATCTGGGGAATCCATGCGTACCTATAGGTGGTTTTGAAGTCAGTAACGTTGCGTAGAATCATGTACGATCCGGTACATTTCGGAGGATAGCATGTGTGTGTAAAGGGCCCAGACTGGAACATCAGCTCATCGGGAGCTATCACTCACCTCTCGTAGGTATGGAAGATAAACATGCCGAAAACGGCAACGATCCAACACACGAAGGCGACCACAATAATGCCAACGGAAATGGACATGACCCCTCCGCTCACGGATGACAGGATCTGGCCCGAAATGATCATGTTGAGCGTGATGTACCCCACCATGAGGACAATGTTCAGAAAGCACGGCAACTTGGACGGCCAGTAACCCATGAAGAACCGCAGCACTACCATTGTCCGGTTCCCGCTGCATGGTCCCCACATGGCCATGTATCCCGTGGACGCGCAGCCCAGAAAACAGCCAAAGATGGCGCACAAGACGCTGTCTCTGAATCCCAGGTTAAAGACCAGCGGGCCAAAGAGGCCCGTCGTCATGTTGTTGGCGGAAATGTTGGCTCCGAACCAGAGAATGAAGACTTGGAGGTCAGCTAGCGTCGACGCTGGCTTTCGTTCTTGTGGGAGAACGCGCGTAATGCCGCGTGCTTCAAAGCCGGATAACCCTTCAATCCAGTTATTGATACGGCGGAGTGTGTCAAGAATAGGGAGTCGCCTGTTGGGTGGCGGTGGAATTCCCGCGATCGATGTCGAGGTCGATGTGACTGCCGTCATCGGAACAGCCGTAGCAACGGCACTCTCGCCCTTTTCGATGTCGGAAGTCGGGGTCGCCATCACGAGGTCAGGTTGTCTCACGCTGCTGCTATCTTGAACTTTGGTTCACGTCCTTGATTGGAGACTGGCGTCAGCGAGCATTGGGTGTCAATAAGGTATCCAAACTCCTCGATGCGAGCACGGCCAAGGCATATATGGCTTGGGAGGATTGTTGGGGGGAGAGGTGAGCCCGAACTTGTTGAGTTGAGCTGTACATAGATGCTTCCTGCCCAAGTACCGTACCTACATGTATTGGAGTCGTGTGGCATCCCCCAAGGGCATCGCCCCGCCGGTTCGTGCTCCACATCCCTTTTACTTGACGCGGGGAGCTGGGACCCCTGAACCGCACGGCGTTCACATTTGCCACAAGGACGCAACCGCTTGGAACCAAGGTCCGTGCATAAGCCTATCTCATGTTGTGTAACTAAGCCGTAAGCGACGACCCGAAATCGGGAGGTTACGCAAAGTGTTAACGCAGGTCTGATTGGGCCTGTGAGCACCGTGGAAGCTGGGGTCGACATTGCTCGTGGGAACCCCGCATGCTTCATGTTTTCTGTGGCGGTAGCGGTGTCGGAAACCACACCAATATCGCATGAGGTGACCAGGGCAGCCGTCTGCTTATTCGAAAGAGGGTCAACAAAACGTGATTATTGTTTCTTGATCACCCCATCAACCAACCAAAGTGAGCCCCGGCCCCGAGTCTCTCAGTTTGACGACGCCGCACTTTCCATTTCATCCTTTTGCTGTTCCAACTTGGTGGATCATGGATTGCCCACAACTTGCGCCCGAGGACTTTGCAAAGAGGAAATTTGACTTCATCATTGTTGGTGGTGGGACCGCTGGTCTAGCTGTTGCTGCCAGGCTGTCCGAGCACCCAGGTTTTACGGTAGGTGTTCTTGAAGCTGGGTCGCCGGCAGTTGGTGATAACGCCGTGGAGTTCCCTGGACTAGCCGGTCGGGCACTTGGTACCCCATTGGACTGGGGGTTTGAGACGGTGCCACAAAAGTTTCTGGGTGGGAGAAGATTGCCATGGGCCCGTGGAAAAGTCCTTGGGGGTTCCAGCGCCCTGAACTACATGACCTGGAATCGTGCCGCACGTCAGGACTATGACGACTGGCGCGACCTTGGCAACCCGGGTTGGGGATGGGACAACCTCCTGTGAGCTCTTTCGGACCACCTTCCCCATGAGACTGCACTCCCCCTGAACCCCACGCACAACGTGGATAGAACTCAGGCTAAAACAGTACAGACCGTTCTTCAAGAAAAGTGAATCTTTCCACGAGCCGGGTGATAGTGTCCGAAAAGAAACCCCCGTGTCACTCCACGATGGAGTTGTTGGGCGCAGCGGTCCTATCCAGGTCTCCTATCCGCGCGAGTTTACCGCATCTCACAAACTTTGGCATCGTACCATGAACTCGCTCGGCGTCGAGACCAATCACAACCACCTTGCGGGTAGCAACATCGGATGTTGGACTAGTGTTGTTTCTGTCGATCCCGAGGATATCACGAGATCATACGCTACAACAGCGTATTACAAACCGGTGTCGTCTCGGCCAAATTTGTTTCTCTTGACGGCGGCCGAGGTCCACGAGGTGTTGTTGACTAGGGAGGGAAATGCCCCTAACCCCTGGAAGGCCGAGGGCGTCCGGTTTTCCCACGGCGGCGTGGAATTCTCTGCTTTTGCTGCCAGAGAAGTCATTCTTTCTGCCGGCTCCATACAATCTCCCCAGATTCTGGAGTTATCCGGTGTCGGTGGGAGCGCCGTTCTCTCCGCTGCCGGGATCAATGTGAAGGTAGATAACCCAAACGTGGGCGAGAACCTCCAGGACCATTTAAGTAAGTCACTGTGTTTCATGACATTTACTATCTATGCCTTTGAGGTGTGGCTAATACCCACCAAAATAAAGCCACGACATCCGTCTTCGAAGTCAACCCAAGCCTGGCTAATCCTGATGATTTGCGACTCGACTCGGTGCTTGCGGCAGCCTGCGAGGAGTACGCCGAAACAAGGACCGGCCCCTTAACCATTCTTCCTGTATCCGTCTCATACGTCCCAGCTGCCCGGTATATCCGACCAGACACCCTGAATATGCTGCTCTCTTCGACTGCGGCAGACACTTCGGATAGCCCGACAGCAGAACGCAGCCGCTTGATTCGTCGCCGCTTTCAGAGCCGGTCCAATATGCTGGGACACGTCGAATTCATCTTTGACTTGGGTAACTGGGGCATTGACAAGCCTCCTCTGACTTCAGACGGGAAAAAGTACGGGAGCTTGCTGCAGATTTTGCAGTACCCATTCTCAAAGGGAAGCGTTCACATCCAACCTCCGGTCGGAGACAGCAACCCAAGGCCGCGCCTCGCCATTGACCCCCAATACTTCGGCGGCAGGGAGGGCCATTTGGATTTGGAGATTGCGCTCCGGGCCCATCGGTTCGCCGAAAAGATCTGGTCTGCTCAGCCGTTGGCATCCATCATCCGGGCGCAAGTGCAACCGTCGCTAGCTGAAACAGGGACCGACGAGGATCTTCGTTCGTGGTTGAGGCGCGTTGCGACAACAGATTGGCATCCCGTTGGAACTTGCGCAATGGGAGGGAGTGCGGGATCGGCCGGAGGTGTTGTCGACGAAAGGCTTCGTGTCTATGGGGTCAAAGGATTACGGGTCGTCGATGCCAGCGTGATGCCGTTACAAATCAGCGCACATTTGCAGGCGACGGTGTATGCCATTGCTGAGAAGGCGGCGGCAATGATTACTGAAGACAACACTGGCATTAGTGGGTGAGTTATCAGAAATAGGGGGCAGTGCACAAAGGCTCAGAGAAGAAACACAGTCAACGCTTCACTCGAGCCCGTAATGAGAGTCTTGAGAACTCCGAATCCATGTGAGCGGCAACGAGATTATATTCACTGACAATGGGAGAACAAGGTTACATGCGCATCTCGGTTAAGCGTGAGACGACCATGATCATCCGCCTCGGCTCCCAAGTCGGTAATCGGACCCAAATCCAGGGCGGATTTGGTTCGCCGGCAGTGTCGCTATAGGAGCGCATGCACCAACCAACTGCCAGAGAATTGTCATTTCCACGTATCAAGGGTGATAAATGATTGTACCCCATGTTCCAGGTTTCAACTTCCTTGAATCACCATATTTCAGCAAGATGCGCTCAAATCAGATTCAACGACAAGTGCCAAGCTTGCCATATTATTCTCCATGTCGCTGCCCTCCGGCGCTCCATTGGGAGTCGACAACAAGGCTCCGACGGAAACGCTTTTCTCCTAAAGCTCCGAGAGCCATTCGCAGTGTGAGGATGTGGTGCTTGAACGATAATACGGATGGCAATGTCCGCTTCATAAGTATATTAAGCTAGCATCGCTTCGGTTTGTTCAGGTTAGCTACCCCTGGAACTTGCGACAAGCAAAGGCCGACACCATGCTCCCTTACCACTCCCTTTCGCTCTGGCTCCTCGCCGCTTCGTCGGCCCTGGTGCACGCTTCGCCGGCTAGTACACGACCCGATTTCAGCAATATCATTGAACGAGCCGTGGCCGCAACCTCTTCCTCAGGATGCGGCAAGACCCCATTTTCCTCTGGCACGAAATCGGTCACGGTGAATGGCAAGCAGCGACAGTTCATCGTGCGTGTTCCGAGTAACTATGACCAGAGCAAACCGTACAAGCTCATCTTTGCCTTCCACTGGGTTGGGGGAACCATGCAAGACGTTTCGAGTGGCGGTACCGACAAGGAATTGTGGTCGTATTACGGCATGCAACGGGAGGCTGGTGAGACGGCCATCCTCGTGGCACCACAGGGTATCAACAACGGTTGGGCCAATTCGGGGGGCGAGGACATCGCATTCGTCGACGCCATGTCCAAGTATATCGAGGACGCACTTTGTGTCGATCAACAACAGCGCTTCAGCGTCGGCTTCTCATACGGAGGCGCCATGACCTACGCCATTGCATGTGCGCGGGCCAAGAATTTCAAGGGCGTTGCTGTCATTGCCGGAGGACAGCTTTCTGGGTGCGATGGAGGTAACGATCCCGTCGCCTACCTCGGGATTCACGGAATCAGCGACGGCACTCTGAACATCGCGGGGGGACGTGGCCTACGTGACCGCTTTGTAAAGAATAATGGTTGTGCAACGACAAACGCGCCGGAGCCGGCGCAGGGCAGCAGAACACACATCAAAACCGAATACACTGGGTGCAAGGCTGGCTACCCTGTGACCTGGATTGCTCACGATGGCGGTCATTGGCCTGGTGCGGTGGACAATGGGCCTGAGAGCGGCGCGAACTCGTGGGTTCCCGGGGAGATTTGGTCGTTCTTCACAAATACTTGAGACTGGCAGCGCAACGGAACGGCTGCTTTAAAATCTAAGATGGGTAACAAGCCTTGTTACCTCCACGAAGGAGTATGGGTGATTACATGTAGCAGGGGAAATAGCAAAAAGAGATTTTCAAATTTTGCCAGTAAAGTTGCGTTGAGAAAGGTTACTTCCTATGGTTCCTCTGACACCTGTACTTATCTATGTAGTGGTAATAAGCATTTGATATATGATGGTCGTTTATGGTGATAGGCCTGTGTGTCAAGTGATAGGCCTAAGAGCAACCAGGGACAAGGTAATTAACCGGCCAGGAACTGGGCTGGGCTAGAGCTTGTAATTACTGGCTAGGTAAAGAAATGGCCGGATAAAATGCCCAAGCCGTGCTGAAACGGGTCCTGCTGACACAGATGAGGTGGAACGTCAGTAGGTGGGCAGAATGGGGCCAAGGCTAGAGTTGCCCCCTGTTGATGATGTTATGTGGGTAGGTAGTGTTACAAGGGCTGGAATTCCAGGGCTTGAACAATCAGCTGCCGGGGGAACCGGCAAAACCAAATGTATTAATAAGAATAATCTTCAATGGCCTCGGGAAGTCCATGAAGAGAGAAAGAGAAGTTCTGGAGCTATCTGACATTCTGAGTCTTTTTATACATGAAGGGTTTTGATGAGAAGGTGACGTGTTGGAAGGTAGACCAGGAGGTCTGAGCACAGGAGGGTCAATGGGTCAAGGCCCAGAACGTGGTGGCAAGAGATCGGTCGGCCTAGGCCGGAGAGATCACTCGGCTTAGGCCAGGTGCGGTTGCATGCGGCGCCACCATCGCTGCTCAGAGAGAGATATCACGGGTTTGGAACCCTACTTACAGAGGGAAGAGGAGGGCAAGGACAATTGGCAGAGTCTCATAGCCTCCTAGGCTCAGCCGTGTGAATTCCCATCTTCCTGTGTGTGTGACACCTTGGATCAGTGACTGTTGGTCTTCCAACATGAGGAAGGGCGTCTGACGAGAACGCCAATGAAATTAGTGAGGCTGACCGATGAGTGGCCCTTGATTTCTGAAAACGATTGGTGATGGTTGCGTCCACGTGGTGATCCGTGTGACAGGTAGGTACCTACTTATGTACAATCTTAGATCAGGAGTTAACGCTGTTCACTTCTTAGTACATCAGTACCGAATACCTAACACCTTTGCTTGTTCTACTTTCTTGGTTTATTCATCTCGGTTGCCTAGGACCGGCCAGCGATTGTTTTTAAGAGTGGCGAACTGCCGAGTTTGACTGTTCGATGCTGGTTCCGTTGTTTGAATGGGAATGGAAGCCACGTGCTCAGATGGGTTGCTGGAAGACAACTCACTGAAACAGTGTGAGAAATCGACTCTGTTTCCCGCCCTTGCATGAATTGAGGAAAGGTAAACGGAGGCAGAGATACCGGTAGGATCACAGCAGTCAGCGGCAATATATTAAGCAAGAGCGCACTCGGCTCTTTCACTGAAGGAGGCGTTCTCTGCCCATATTACCCCCCTCTTCTACCGTGATGCATTTGGAACGGGACTCCAATTGTTGAAGCCCGCCATCCAGCCGCAGTGTCAACTGCAACCCTATCAGAAGGGAGCGTCCATCCAATTCTACACAACCCATATTAAGCCAGAATCCTCTGATCCTTCTGCAGACGCGGGAACAGATTAGTAGTCTCCTTGACGTTCACCGGCATGTGACACAGCCATCAGAGCATTGCTACTTATTTGGTGTCTGAATCCCAGGTAATGGAAGAGGGTTAACGGGTCAGATACCCCTCCCCAACCATTTTCTCGCCTTCTGTGTACACACATATCCACGATGATGCTCTCCCTCGCTACAGCTCTTGGTGCCATTTTTATCTCCGGAGTATCTTGTCACCGTAAGCGCTACCGTCATATTCCGGGAGAAACAGAGTATCCCTAACTGGACCTTCTCAAGAACTTACGGGAATTCTTTTGGTGAATGGCACTGAGTCACCAGAATGGAAATACGTCCGGTATGTACGGTCCATCCAGCTACCCAAGTTACCAAGTCAAGAACTTGTTTCCTCTAACATCGTCGGTACTTTAGTGACGTATCTCCTATTTTTGCGTACGACCCAGTGGAGTGGGAGGGAAGCCAGTTTCCCAAAACGCCGCCAATCATGGAACTCGACAGCTCGAACATCACCTGCGGTAGAAACGCATTTTACTGGGCGGCTACAACTGAGACTGCAGATATTCTAGCTGGCTCTGAAGTCGGCTTCCGCGTCTCGACAGATGGTAACGGGAAATACGGATACTTCTGGCACCCCGGCCCTGGCATGATTTACCTGTCACGGGCCCCCAATGACGACTTGGAGCATTACCGGGGAGATGGTGACTGGTTCAAGATTGCGTATGGCGGTCCGGTGGCCAACGACAAGTGGCTACTTTGGAAAGGATCCGACGTATGTTTTTTTCTTTAGGTTATCCTGATTGCACATCTCAAGGAAAGCGAGGCTAATCAGGTTAACCGTCAGTTCAATTTTACTATCCCGGAAACGACGCCACCGGGGAAGTACCTGTTGCGAATCGAGCAGTTCATGCCCACAACTACACGTAACTACACCCAGTGGTATGTACATTGCGCACATGTGAACATTATGGGCCCCGGCGGAGGGACACCCACAGAATTTGCAAGGTTTCCAGGGACGTACGTGGTCGATCAGCCTGGTAAGCAGCCATTTCCTTTGCTTAAAAGCCAACATAGATAGTACCGTTTTGAGATGTTGAAATATGCTAAACTGTGTGTTCTTGTTATTACCAGGAGTCCTGATTCCGGAGAATCAGTTTCTCGCTGGGAGTGAGCCGGAAGAAGGGTTCAAACTTTTTGACTACCGGCCTCCAGGGCCTGCGGTCTGGTCGGGCTGAGGGTAAAGAGGGGATTTGCAGGGGCGGTGGCTCAAGAGATTGTTTTGTGGACTAGCATATTCACCATAATGAACTTGGTGGCCGCAACGAAGCCTGGAAAGCGTAGTAGGTTGTTGATAGAACAACGTGGTAGAAAGGGTTTCGTCTTAAGTTCTTGATGAGTTCCACTCCTTGAACAGTAGCCCCACTAACTAAACCTCTCACCGCCTAATTAATAAGCACGCGCAAGGGGTGCACACATGCGGACTGAGAAAAGGCTTCAATTCGCTGCGGCCACCATTGAAGGTATTCCGAATCTAATATAAAAATTGCTGGCGTCGCTTCGTTCGTCAGTCAGCGCGGCCCTTCGCTCCGCTACGGGGCGCTTCCTTCCTCTCTCCCGCTCCTGGCAATTTTCCTGTCCCTCTCCGGAGGACAATCCGGGTTAGGGTTGAATACGGGAGAGACGAAGCGCCAATATCTGTCCGTCGGCCCAATAACTCCATCCCCTTGAGCTTCTTATCACACTTATACCAATCATTTCTATTATCGTTCTAAGTACTCATGCCTCTACACTCTCGTCGTTGCTACTTATAAACCCACCGCCACAGCATCTAACGCCTGCAGTTGCCTAGTAGCGTGATCGGACAACTTCAACCCCATAGCTCGTGATGGTGTCTCGCGGTACACCCTGCCGCGGTCGAAGGGCCGCTCAAACATCAGCCCGCCGAGTGTCTTCACCCGCGAAACGGCCACGTAGGAGAGGCCAGAAGCAAACTCTGGCGCGGAGATATCGCAGACGACCTTGTCCAGGGTGATGCCCTGTGACTTGTGGACGGTGATCGCATAGCTGACCCACAGCGGGAACTGCTCTCTCGAACATGAGTTGGCGCCGACCATGAAGTCCTGCCGCACTCGGAGGATGGGAACAGCCAGCTTCTCTCCACTACGGAGCGGCTCCCCGTTCGGCATCGTGAAGGCCGGGCCGTCGTAGTCATCGAAGGCCACCATGATGACCTAGGGCGGGTCTCGCAGCACGTCGGTACCTTCTTTCCAGGATATGTCGTAGACTGTGCCCTGTGCGCCGTTGACGAGCCCGACGTCGGCCCACAAATTCCGCGTCAGCATCACCCTGCAACCAACACACAAGGGCAAGCGCTTGGCCAAGTTGCCGGCATTTGAGGATTCAACCTTCTCCGCACCAACACCCTCATGCTTTGCCTCGACCTGAATGGCGGGGCTGTCCAGGCCAAGCATGTGTTGGTGGTTGTACTCGACGACCTGGGCCTTGGTGGGATAGATGCGAAGCGCATCAGCAAAGCTGTCAACCTCCTCGGGAGAGAGCTTGACAGAGCATCTCGAAGCAAGGAGCTCCCAGGAGGGTACCGACACATCAGCCTTTCGCAGTTCTTCCAAGGCCCGCCGAAACGGGGCCTGGTCTTCGCCCTGCTGCCGCTGTATTGTGGTCAGAAACACCGACTTGTCGAATGAGAGGTAAGCATTACGCCCGACAATCTCGATGCCCTTTAGGTCGTCGCGTGTTGAGTATAGCGGCTTGTTAAGAACACGGGGGAGCTGGAAGAAGTCTCCAATCAGGATGACGCTGAGGCCGCCAAAGAACTCGTCGCGGTTCTCCGGAAACACCTCTCGTAGGCGCTGATCGATCCACGCGAGGGTTTTGAGGCCCAGCATGCTCTTCTCGTCGATCACGAGGTAGTGGATGCCCCTGAACCGCCGCTGCAGGGCGTTCAGGGTCGTCGGAGTCTTGGAGAGCGAGCGGTAATTTCCGTCGACGGGGAGCCGCAGCATGGAATGCAGAGTCTGTCCCCCTATCTGGTTGCTCGCCACGCCCGTCGGGGCCGCCCTGACAATGGGGGAAACTCGGCCATAGGAAGCTGCCTCGGCCTGAAGATGAGAAGAGATGACCTTCACCATGTACGACTTTCCAGTCCCACCTCCTCCGTCAATCTGTAGACGAAGGGGCGGAGGCTGACGGTTCTCGTTCTTGGCTCTGTAGTGGCGCATGACCGTGTCGTATACCTGCCGCTGCTGCGTGTTCAACGTGTCACGGGCTGCGAGAGGCATCTCTTCCACGTCGTAATTACCTGGAGCGTCTCCATATCGCGGCCTGGCACTTTCACTCTCGGAACGCGCTCTTCAGGGAGATTGTGGGGAAGTTGGAGGTCGGGGACCAGCCGGGCCACCTCCTGCCAATCCTCAAGTGTGATGTCCCCAGCATCCTCCCCTCGCTCGAATTCATCCTCTTCCGGCAGCGGTAACCCTAACCCTTTATCTGTTGACCCACTAGAGACAGACGTTACCTGGGAGTGGTTGAACAGAATTGTCAACCGCTGCCAGCGACACCATTGCTCGACGACCTACTGTCTAACCCTAAATCAACCTCGAGCAATTGTTCCGACTGGCGATGGGGGTGGTTCAGGAGCAGCTTGACGCGGCAGAAGTCAGAGTACTGCTGATGGGAACGGACCGGCTTGTACCGGGGGTAATAATACAACAACCGCGCGGTCAAACGCTTCCCACCTGTACCATCTTCCTCAATGTTCAACCATTGTTCTGTGGTGGAAGTGCGCGCCAGCTGCGTGGTCGGTTCCTGGGGCAGCTGTTTTGGGGTAATCCTTGCCCCTAATCATGGGTCCCGAAGGTTGCACCACGCCGAGGATGAGGCCTAGGTACGGCACCCGATTCCCTCCGGGTCAGGCGGCGGATTGGGTGGCAAGCAGTGGCAGAAGGTGCCGTGGGTGGCTCACGAATGCTGTGGTGATGATGACGAAGTGGCCCTGTTCATCGCAACCGGGAAGAGGATGGGGACGAAGAGCCGAGTTTGCAACATGACGGCCTGAATTTGAGGCAGTGTTCATTCATGCCTAGGGACGAAAGGCATTGATGACCCAGGTGCGAAAGGTGGTATCGATCCAAGCCCCGAGGAAGCCAAGCACGGTAAGCAGCTGGTAGATGTTTGGAAGGTTATCAGTCATTCCGATCTGCATGGGGCCGAAGATCTCGATCTTGTCAAGACGATCGACTGCAAAGTAGAGAGACCACTCGTGATCGTGTGTTAGGATGAGGGGCAGCGTAGGCAGCTGCGGGCCTGATTTCCCGCCGCCAACACCGAGCATTTCCATCCGCCTATGCCAGGCTGCTATCCACACGCCCAACTGCAGTCGTCCTTCTTCGAGACTCGCTCCAGCAACCTTGGTCTCCATGGTCACGGCCGCAGGAGAGCGCATCAAGGGGGGATAATCGGTTTGGTTGACGCAGAGACGGGCCGAAATGAGTCCAGAGGACCTCATTTGCTTGGCCAGCTCGACAAGCTTGTTCTGGATCGCAATGTCGAGCTCTGACTCCGAGCCGAGGTTGGGCGCTAGCACAAAGTCTACCATCTTGCCCTCAGCCACCTCACCTGTAATAAGGCATGGAAGAAAGCAGGGTAGAATCCTGGCCGATGTTGCGTTCTCGCAGATGACAGACGTGTGTCGCCTCGACAAGGCAAGCTCCAACAGTGGTTCGTGAACCTTTGTATTCCACGCCGCCTCGGCGCGACGGAGAGCTAAACACTCCCTTGCGCGGTCTTTGATGGCGCGGACCTTGTAAAACTCGGCGTGAGCGATGCGTGCTTGAGACGTGGCGCCCTGTCTCGTACGGGACGACAGCAACGCTGCGCCGCCATTGAAGGCCAATGAGATTTGTGTGGCCGCGGTGGGGCCGGCGCTCGGGCCATACGTTCTGATGCGATTGGGGAGCTGAGCGGGCAATGGCGTCGCCCAAAATCGCTATCAAAATCGGAAAATAGCAGCTTGATCGGTAGAGTCGAGCGTGCTGGTGCTATATTGACGATTTGCTGGTCGTGAAACCGCGTATGTAGCCCGATGCGGGCGGCAACATCATTTTGGGAGTGCGAGTTGTGGTTACGGCTGGGGGTTAGGGTTATAGTGATTCCAACCAGTCGAGTGGGTGGGTTCGGGTATCATTCGGGTTAGTGTCTTTTCGAAAGGGACTTGCTAGGCGCGCACCCCCCAAAATTGCTGCGCGCGCACCCCGCCCGAAATTGCTAGGCGTGCACCCCCTCCCCGCCCAAAGGATTAGGGTTTATATGGTCGCAACTAAAACAAATGAATTACTCTGCCCCAAAAGCGAAAGACTTCGCAAAACAGCTCAATTCCACTCGCTCAGACTACATACACTACGTAGAACTACCCCTATTTAGACCTCCTGAGCCGCACCACGTAATTTAGCCGATGGTTTGACCGCTCGGCCACTCCGAGTCCTCGTCATGGGGGGAGACGGGTCCTGAACGGCTTGGGTTTGCGCTGCAGAGCCCGCCTGAACCTGTTCGCTTGACTGTGAGGTCGTAGAAAGCACTGCGTTGCGCTTTGAGGCTTGTTTTCGCGGAGGCGCAGCCTCAGGAGCCACCTCAGAAACCCTACCCCTTTTCGTTGCCTTCGGCGCCGTGAGCAAGGATGGGCGCTTTGCAGCTTTGATCTTGAACCTCTCGAACCCTCTATCAACCTCTGGAGACTTCACCAACTCCACCTGTGACAGCCTACGACGTATACTGGGCTTCAGATGCGGCGCAGTACCCTTAGGGGGCCTAGGCTGGGTCCTCTTGCGTCGCTGGGTTGTCGGCTGAGCCTGGGACAATGGATTCGAAGCCCTGGCGGTGGGGGGGAGCCTTCTGGGGGTTGCCGGAGTACTGGAGTTCGTCGGAGCTGCAGGGGTGGAAGCCACACCTCCCCTGACAAACATGATCGCCATATCTAGGGGCACGGCGGCAGGCTCGTTTCTCGGTCTACCCTTCCGCTTCGTAGCAACCCTGGGATCACGAATCCGGAGGTAGGGGTCCCCCTCGTCCTTCTACAGTTAGCCATGCTACTATATTGATATTGGGGATACTTACAAGCCTGTTCTTGAGGTGCCAGTGATGGTGTACGTCCCAGAGTCGGATCTTGGCATCTGGTTTGACGAGTGACTGCGCCAGGATGTTGTAAATGCTGTGACGGCAAGGTATACCGTATTGCTGCGTAGCCGTACAGTTGTTTTCGTTGCAGGCTGGCAAAGGGCGTGCCTTTTGTTTCTTTCCAGGAAACGCTGCCCTGGCAAAGCGATACTCGCGGTTGATCAACTCCAAGGCTTTATACGTCACCTTGTTAGGTAGAGAGCCAAGGTACCGCCGTGACAGCCAATTCTTTCTCACACTCATTCCCTGTTGGCCAAGAACTTGCTGGAGATGCTCAAGCTGTTCGTCAGCCATCTCCTTGATACCCTCAACAAGGCGGACGCAGTCGCTTCTACCGTCGAGGAGGTAGCTCTTGATGTTGAGATTGCTTGACTCGGTTGGTGACGTCACTCTTGCGCCGTAGTTTCGGTACGTTCGGGTGTAGCACTGCGCCCACTGGTGCCGCAAAGGCATCCATTGCTTCTGGATATACCCCATGATACTTGGTTGATCAGAAAACTCATCCTTCAACGCCTTCTAGGCCTGATAAAATTGATCCTCTGTTTCCGAATAGACCATGACTTTAAACAAAGCCTCAACACCATTGTGGTCGTGGGGAAAGGGGCCGCGAGACTCAGTGGTAACACCAGGGTCATCTAAGGAGCGGATCCGTGCCAAGGCAGTTGCCTCCTCGGCATTCAGCCTAGCGGCTACCTCAGCACTACCCCCATCGTCACCAACATCCTCATCACCTTCAAAAGCCTCTTCGTCAAGGAAATCAGGGCTTTCAACCCTCTTGAACTTCTTCTTGGCATTGAGGAGGACGTTCTTTATGACGTGATAGATGCAGATCTGTTGTTGCGAGTCGGGGAATACCTCCAGGAGGGCGGCCTTAAGCTCTTTGCAATGATCGGTCAAGATGACGATGGGGGGCTCAACGCTGAACTCAGCTCGCAGCTCATGTGTCCCCCGGCAAAGCCAATCGAACGATTCCTTTCTCTCATTGTCGATGAAGCCGAAGATGGAGTTGTAGATGGTGTTGGCGCCGGTGAGCCCTGCCACTTGGTACAGAGGATAACCAAAGCAGTTGGTATTGTAGGTGAGATCGATCTGCATGACGTCTGAGTACTGCTTTGTGATATCCATCAAGCCGTTGAAAGTAAACACCAAGGCCAGGAGCTCAGTCTCATCCTCGTCAGCCCACTTGACACGGTATTTGATGCCGTTCTCATCAAACGACTTGATCAGGGCACCTGCAGGAGTATAACCACCAAGCTTTTCCTTCCGGATCTTCGCCCTCGCATTGTAGATGTCTTTCCTGATGTAGCTGGAATCGGGGAAGCCGTCTCTGATGAGCGCCCCGATCTCCCTGGAGCGGATTCCGTGATGCTTTGAAGCGTTGACGATGGTATCAAGAACCTCAGCGGCGATCTTCCGGTGTTGAGGATGGGCGGAAGCATGAGAAGAAGGTCCATGGTTATGGTGTTGAGGCTCGTCAGAATTCCGGAACACCCAGCCGTCTTGGGTAAGCTTGGCAACTGACTTCCAGGTGCAGCCGCACTTTCGGGTGCCGGTTTCACGTAGGCCAGCGGATTCACCGAACCTAGGCTGACCAAAGCGGTCACAAACAAGGTAATACCGAGCATATTCGCCTCGCTTGTTCTTCTTCCCATGTTGCCGGGTAACTGCGAACCCTCTTGTCTTTGCCCAGGCGTTCACGGCGTTCTGTAGGCCCTCAATAGTAGGCGCTGATATACCGTTAGGGGGGTTGGGAATGTCTTCATCGTCAGACGTATCCCCGTCGTGGTCGGTGAACCCACCCCACTCCGAAGCCGAGCCCTGGCTGCAACCGTCCCACTCTGACTGGCTGGAAATCGCGCCTGGTTCTAAACGGGGCCGCTCAACAAAGCCTGCGCGGTTTATAGCGCTTGCAATTGGTGAAGAAGGTTCCGAATAGCCTCCTCGATCGCTTGAATCGCTCGAATTGATGGAGATGGGCGTGGTGTTGCGTTGGGCGAGGTGGTGAGGTAGGGTCTCCGATTCTGTGAGGTCGATTGGCTGGAGGATAAGAAGATCGATATCGTCGTATTCGTCAGAATCCTCGCCTGCAGCCGAAAACTCTGTGGCGAGCGGCAGGGCTGGTGCAGGTTGTTCGAGCACCTGCGGCTCGACCGCGCGAGGGTTTTGCGACATTCTGGTGGGTTCCTAGCATTCTAGAACGGTCAGATTAGCCGTAGAAAACATGTTTTTGCTATGCAGCTTACCTGTGTTGATTGCGGGTTGGCGATGTTGAACCTCTGACCCTAACCCTGCAGGGTGCGCGCCTAGCAATTCTGGGCGGGGGGTGCGCGCGCAGCAATTTTGGGGGGTGCGCGCCTAGCAAGGCCCTTTCGAAATGTAGTAACAGGGGGTAGTTAATGGGAGCGAGAGGATGGGGTTTAGTGGGCCAGGGGAAAAGGCCAGGGGTAGCAAGGAAGAAGCAATCAGAAGCAAATTAGGTTATTTGGGACAGTTTGTTCGGCCGTTCAACCAAGGTATGGCCGTAGCAGAACCGGCAAGGCTAGAACATATAGCAAGATAGGAAAGAAGAGAGCAGAGAGCGAAAAAGGGAAAAGCAGGCGATAAACCATGGCAACGTTCAGTGAGCTATTCACGCCATTGCCCGCATTCCGCACGGCCGTTTGCCACGAGCATGGAATTGTGGTGACGGCGCGGTCGGTTGCGTCGCATGTCAATTCGCGGCACCGCCATTTGGCCGCCCGGGTTCGCCAGCGGATCATGGCCGAGGCGTTAGCGTTACGGGACGACGGTTCGTTGGCCGCCGATACGAACAATATCCGATTCCCCGACGAGGTGATCCCGGCGATCGACGGGTTACCCGTGTGGAGCGACGGCAAGAAGTGTATCGAGTGCGGGTATATACAGCGTGGGAGGAAGCATATCCAGAAGCATTGCCGGTCGGAGCATGGTTGGACCAACCCGCGGAAACGCGGCGGCAAGCCCGGGGCCCAGCAGGCAGGCGGGTTAGGCGAGGTATGGGTGGATGGGGTGCATTGCCAGCGGTTCGGGCAGGCCGGTGTATTGCAGCGGTTGTTTGAGGTGACGACGCCGGCCCACGCGGGCGCAAGCGGGAGCAGGGGAGAGACAGCCGACTTTGAAGCCGCCATCCGGGCCGAGTTCGAGGCGGCGGCGCGGGCCATCAAGGAGAAGGACGAGGCGGCAGCGGCGCTGATCGGCGACCAGTCGAGGTTGTCGGCCAACATGTGGGTGGGGCGGACGGGGTGGCCGCGGCATTTGCGTGGGTTTGACCGCGAGTGGTTGGCAACGACTATACTGGCGGCTCGTGGTGGAGAAGGAGGAAGAAGTAGAGGAGGGGGACTGGGGAGGGGAACGGGGAGGGGGGGCGGAGAGGACGGAGAGGCTGGAGAGGAGGTTGGAGGCCAGGGTGGGGATAGGAATAGAGATGGCAGGGCCCGCAGCGAAGCCGCGTTAGCCGTCGTATTGTTGGCCGTGGAAAGGGTGATTTGGCGGGCGCAGAAGGCGTCGCAGGTCGAGGTGGTCGGGTCGGCGTCGGTGAATTACATCGAACGGCGGGAGGTTGGCGGCGAGGCAAACGAGAAGCCGTTCAACGCGGCCCAGAAGGGTACGACGATGGCCAAGTATAGCGAGTCGTGGAAATTGCTGATGGCGTATTTATGGCGGACGTGGCGTTTAGAGCCGGTTGACCAGGGGGACGAGGACGAGGGCGAGGAGGGAGGGGGGGGAGGGGAGGGAGGGGGAGGGGAGGAGGACAACGGACACGACGGAGTAGGGGGAGGCGGCCAGGAGCTACAAGCCGGCATCCGCGATCAACGGCCGGCATACCATTTCACCACCCAGCAAGCCAGGACATCGGAA